TATACAATATCTCTGTTTAACTTGAGAAATCCATACTCGAACATGGATTTGTAAGAGCACTATGCGGAAAAAAGCTAAAATTTCAAGCGATCTCTATCATACGCTTAATAAAAGGACATGATTGCTATATTTTCAAATTTCTGGGCACAAAAAATTCTACAATAACCACCTCATTTCGTCATATTTATTAATACAAAGCTGAATTTGTTAGTAGTATACACAAGTTTTACGAGAAGATCCAATGCTGACGGTAGTTAAACTTTAAAGGTTACGCGTATACCGTATCGAGTTGTAGAGCTTAAACACTGTTAGATATAAGCATATACCAAGACAGCATAGAGATAATACCACTAGTATAGCATCCTATTATTCATACTATCTGGTTCCAAGATTGTTGAAAAGCAATGTTGGTATATGATTGATTAACCATACTTATAGATCGTAATATTGAGATTGAATTATGACTAGATATTTTATATATACCTATAACAAGAGATGGTTGGAATATATCGTCCAAAGTATGATGATATTTTAATCTGCTACTTGATAGAAGTAAATATCTTGAATTACCGATTATTTATTTAAACTAATAGTATTTTCTTAAATTTATAGTATATCATATATTCACACTCGATTCTAAATACAAATAATAATATTTAATGAGTGAATAAATACTTCGTACATACATATCTGGTATCCCAATATCGAAATATTTTAAAATTATCAATTTTATGGTTATTACAATATGACAAAGGATGACCTAGAATAAAACAACAGCGTTGTATTGGATATGCAGTCCGCGATAGGTGTCAAATACAGATTAATTAAATTTTTTTATTAATGTAACATTTAACATTGTGTGGCGTGTAAGTTTGACGAATATGCAAAACAACACGGCAACTAAAACTTATTAACCAGATCTTAATTAAAATGGTCAGATATTTCGATAGCTTATTGTAACTATTTAGGTAGACATAGCAGCTTAATTGTTTATAGTCAATCCAACGGTAGTTTAACATGCAGCATTAAAATATTGTTAAATGTGTTTACCCAAAAAGATAGTTTACAAGCATTGGCTTAATTAACGATGAGCAAGAACTGCGAGTCAAAATGTTATTAATTTAATTAAAGTAGTATGATATAAAACAAGAAGGATCCAATTCCTTTTCTATATGACTTTCCTTTACAACTACAGTATTTGCAATGTTCGTTCTAAAGCTGTCAGATTTCAAGGCTGGAGTTTATCCTTACTTTGACTCGAAATTTTTCTTCAACTGATACTTATCCAAGCATCATTGTGAAGCGCTATTTAACGATAAAGAATATTAAATTTCTTTTTTGAGCTTATTGAGTAGCATTAGTGGGTTTGGTTTAATATTTATTCTAAGTTTCTTGAGCGAACAAGCAGTATTTCATTTACATCTGCACTACATGCCATTATATGTAATGGCCATTCATAATCTGTAATTTACAGTATCTTTTCGCGGCGCGAAATTTCGTATGCAGGCAGAATCAATAGAAAGGTAGATTTCATAATACATATATTAAAGTATAATTGTGCGAGGGCACTGTTACTGCAACTCTTTATGAATTACTCATACTCACAATTATACAATCTACAGTCAGCAATGCACACAATGTAAGGGCTCTACTACAACATATTCGAAGCGCAGTATTGTATTAACTACTTTGATCATTCACTATTACTTATTGTTTTCGTATAAGATAGGAATGATTATGCATATAGTGGAATAAACAAAGAGCCAATTAGGCCAGCGGCGCTACATATTTTAAAAGTTAAAATTCATTAGGAATTGTTGCTTTGTGTTAAGCTATTGTATGTCTGGCGTCTGGGCTAATTCATTGATATTATAATTTACTACCCCTCAGAAAATACTTTAAATGCTCCTCCTTACCTATTATTGTACTGTCTCCGAAAAATCAATACAAATTTTCTTTAGGCGCCTCAGAAATCAGTTTATTTGAATTTCTTATTTAGCACCGATTGGCATGATTTTTAATTACTCTATTAAATGATACTGTAGGAATTAAGAATTAGACAATACACAGTATGATAATACATCTTTAAATTTTATTAGTGAGATACTTTGTGTATATACATATGTTATATACTGTACAACTGATATGCAACAAAATATTAACATAGCGCAATCTGAGACTGCCTAATGATGCGCTTACCAGTATTAATTCGAAATTAACATCTCTTCAATTTAACTCGCCCACACATTGGGCGATGTGGTGTAAACTTTAGGTCTAATTAAATTGATTAAACATTTAATTACCTTATCACTACACAAACTGAGTAAGTACAATAATATCCTGCATTCTTTAAATGATGTTGTGATATCATTATGTGCATCAATTAATGCACAGTAGCTGCTAGTTAGGCGTGTAGTAAAATAAAAAATAAACAGGCAAATGAGAGTATTTTCTAAACTTTACGGTTACTTTTAACGCAATAATGACTTTAAATCCCTAATGGCTAGAATATTGCAATGATCGTGGATAATAATCAAATTTTAAAAACCTTTGCACTCAAAATATTCTAAGAATTTTTATTGTGACTCATATAAGCATTAAGTGGAGGTAATTAGTCTCATGAATGGATGATTGATTGCCATCTTTTTTAAATCACTTCTCTGAAAGACATAGTAGATATGACCATGACGCGTACACATTTCCTTTGACGTTATATGCATCCTTAAAGTTAAAATTTATACTACAGTGAGCAGTCTTAGGTCTGTTTAGCGTACAAGCGTGTGCCTGAGGTTATAGTTGCCTTAGTGTAAAGCATATGCCTTACCGAGTTTTTTGAATCAATAACCAAATCTACGAGTGTATTAGTCTTTAACTGTAATACGAGAATCATATGCATGTTGGCCAAAATCATTTTTTGTTTAGCCACATTACGTAACGGTTAAATTTTGTCTGTACGTTCATGAATGCGAACGTAGGAATAGTACCCACAATTAGATAGTATAGTAATAAAAGAATGAATGATGACAAATACGCATTAAGACCCTCACACTGCTACCTCTACTTTTCTGCGTATATTGTCCATTCTTCGCCCTTACGTACATATCACTATCCAGACTGCTACTTCATAAATGATCCTACATTATTACGTACATTGAATTAAACAACTGCTAATGCTGCAATTTCATCCACATTCCTATGTCATGATGCAAGAGTTACTTAAATGACATAAAGCCAGACAAAACAAGACTTATTTCTTATTTTCAAGCTAAGGTATTGAGAATCTAATCATGACGATGTGGATTGTGTATTTAATTTACTTCCTTATATGATTGCGAGTAAATTATTTTGATTAGTACTACTTCCAGAAATCTATAAACTACCATGAGAATACCCCTTTAGCTGTATGGAATGCAAAAGAATCTATGCATAGCTACGCCATTATGATGCACTAATAGAATAGTCTATGTATAGTAGTATATCGCCTTGGTAGTGTGTTATTGCAATATTATATAACAATTTACATCTTCATAAATACTCGCACTAACGCACAGTTAGATGTGATTGATCTGTATTATTCTTGATTATATTTTACAGTATATTAAGAGTTACTTCTATGCATATCAAAGCTACTAATCATATGTTCTATGCAGTTCTTATTTTGCTATAATTAGTGTATATGCGGCTTTTCATTTATATAGCCAAATTTTATTACGTACATGGAAGCAACGCTGAGTAGAGGTGTACAATCTTAGCTACGCAGCTTGAAAATATACCGCAAAACAAACTAAAAAAAGTAGTAAGGTAACACTAGATGCTCTGTAGAGCTTGCATTGATATCTATCGATTTGACTATTACGTGTAAGGTGTTAGATATTTGCAATAGCATTGTATAGAGCTTGGATATATTCTGTAGTACGTAAAGTACAGTTCGTAAGTGCATGGGATAAAATTTTTTCGAAATCTTTATGAATTAATTACAAGTGTTACGGTTGGCGAATGACTACGATATCGAACTATGATGAGAGATTCTAGTGAGGGCATAATCTGTAATATTACATTCCTGTTGCACTAAAATTTCGCTACAGTTAAATTATTAAAGGTAAATAAAACAAAAACTTGATTTATGATTAGTCATAGAGTACTAAGTAATGTGTTTTCAAATCTCGGAAAGTACAGATAAGAGGACGTACAAAATTATTGTTTTGATAGGATACCCATTTGGGCTATTTGCTTTTAATACAACTTTACAATAATACGTATATCCCAATAGATTATCTTGACTATTAGTAAGTTTCAGTAAGTTAAATTGTAGCCGACATTTAACATACGATATCGATTTCCAAAATTCGAACGACGAAAGTTGCATATATTTGTACAGTATAAAAGACATCGTGAAATCAGCTTCTAAGGAGTAATCTGTTTCCTATCATATGATATAAATATTTTATCGTCATCTGCATCGAATTTACTTACGCTACAGTGACTACAAATCGTCATATAAATAGTGGGTATGCTATTTTGAAAGCTTAGGTATATAATTTCATAGATTCGTATTAACAGATTCGAAGGATATGCATACCCATATAACTGTAAAAAAGTTAAGCGTTTTACCTAGACGAAATAAGATAGGACTGTAATATGCAATAGCGAATTACGGCAAAGTTGTCGCAGTAATTAGGCAATAAAGACATAATATCCAAGCAAGATGCACTGATGAAGGTCACATCTCTAATGCAATTATAATAAATTAACAGTCGCATCACTTCGTGCACGTATATCATTATATTCATAATATTTCAAATTTAAAAGTACTACGAAACTGATAGTTTTTTGTTAATTAAAAACTTCAGACAACAGTTTTTATTTACTCTAAAATATAGACGTTATTATATTTACAGTAATTCTTAGAAGTATTTGTATAATATTTTATAGAAACTGTCTCATAGAATATTGTAGATTACAACGAAGGCGAGTATTCCGTTCGAATACTTATAATTATGCTACATATGACCAACAAAGTTGTGGTATATGTTTTGCAATTCTTCCATACTAAACTGCTGTAGAACAACAAAAGTACTGACATGTTTACTTGTGCCATTTTGAGCACATTTTTTGCAATAAACTAAACAAGGTTTGTCTACGGTAACGAATAGAATATTAAAGACTTCACATTTACATTGGCAACAACACGGAGCAGGCTCATTTTCGCGATATTCGTGCCATTTAACTTTAGTATTGGAGGCCTCTAATTCAGCTAATGTCTCTTTACAATCTTGCATCGATCGAAGTAGGATAGATTCGATATGCCCTTGTAAGACTTTCTCTTTGATCTTTATATTCTTTGCCAAATTCCAACTCAGTAATATCATCGGAACAATAGAGTGAAATCTTTCTATTTTATTACAATTGTATCGTTCCATTGCCCATTTGTATTGATTAGCTGTTATCGGGCCGACGTTCCAGGCGATGTTATTACACCATCCTAAAGATTGCACCCAATGAACGGTACCGACATTAACAAAGACGATATCACCTGGTTTTTGAATAAATCTGTATAATGGAACATTTAGATCAAATATTTCTTCAGGAACTGGCCACCACGATCCAGTGAGAAAGTCTACTTTGTTTTTTTTACATAACTTTTCGATAGATCTCCAATTGTGAACGGGTACTCCAAACCATTCACAATCACCAGGTCCGACATTAATGTTGACAGAGCATAAATTATTGTTTTCTTGATGGCCAGGAGTACGGCATCCTGGTACTTTCATGTATAACTGGACTGAGTTCATACCTAGAATTTCGTAACCGAGGTAGGTTAACATATTTTGACGTGATGCCACTTTAAGAAACTGGGGTAATTTGTCCATTTCTTTTAGTTGCATCTTCCATTTTTGTTGGTTTGATAGGTCAACATTTGTGCCAAATTTTACCATTTTATGTTGATTTAATTTTCTCCTCTTAGCTCCTCTGTTACTGCTTTGGCCAGAGTTGCTGCTACTATCGGAGTATGGTGATTCAGCTGATGATTCGTCATTTTGTAGCAATTCTCGTATCGAAGCAGCTTGATAGCGCGCATATTTAGCAATTGTAGTATAAGCCCGATTACTTTCACAAAGCCAAGTTCTTTTTCGATAACGTGAATCCCAATTTTCGTCTGACGTTTGTTGGCGTTGACTTCGTACCTCAATTTGATCATCGGCGCTATTATTTGCTAATGATCTCGATGAGAACAGATCAAGGTTCATGTCGACCGCTTTGGCCATGCCTCGAATAATAGTAATAGGATTCTCTGGTGAAAGACACCATTCCTCTAAATTATTCGAATAAGCTTCTTCGACGTTATCAATCTCAATTATAGGCGCGGCTAGTTGCAGTTTAGAGTAATTTGTACGCAATAGATTATTGTAATTATTTTCTACATCGCTATCTATTGTTCTACTGGAAGAATTTAAAGTTTTTACAAATGTATTATCCTCCACATTAGCATCGATAGAATTTGAACATATTGTATCTGATTTTACAAGATTGAAGCGCTTATCTAGAAATTCTGGAAGAGATTGAGGCTTTACGCTACTTTCATTGAAAAAATAATCGAATTCAGGTAGTGAGTTTATACCTTGTATACTATTATCGATCTTTTCTAGTACATTAACGTAATCTATGGCCATATCTTTGACATCAGCATTGACTGTAGCCTTTTGATAGCATTTTATAGCATCCTCTACTTGCATAACCGACGAATAAAGGCATCCTAGATTAAGCCAAGTTTCTGCATGATTCCAGTTAATCTCAAGTGCACGTATATAACATTTGATTGCTTCATCATTTCTCTCCAGTTGGTGTTGTAAAACACCTAAACAACACCAGATTGTAGGATCAGTGGCATTGATCTCTAATGACTTCTCATAGTATTTTAACGCTTTATCATTTTCATTGTTAGCAGCATGACATCGACCAAGCGGATAGTAAGCACGAGAGTTGTTTGGATCGTAGCTTATAGATTGTTGAAATGCGTCTATAGCTTTATACACATCTTTTTGCTGTCCATCATAGTAAAGCAAACCTAAGCTATAGCTCGCTGCTGCTTTAATGGAAAGTTCGCAGTCATCGTCATCTAATAAAGATTGGAAAGTTTTTTCACAAGTTGTTGAGTTGTGCATTGCTTGATGACACAGTCCAATATGTAACCGAATGTCTCTATTTATACAAGCAGGTTCAGTATTAGCTAAAGCTTTATTGAGATGCTTCAATGCTGCATTATAATCTTCTTTAGATTGAAGTATTATTCCTAACATATAATGAAGATATCCAGCACGAAGAAAGCTGTCTCCATGGCATTTATAGACTTTGAGTAAATATCGTAGCGCTCTATCTAAAAAGCCCAGAGCAAAGGCACAAATACCCATGCCGAATATGATATCGATTTGCTCTAAAAAGACTTTATCGCTATCTATCAGTCGACGATATAAACGGATTGCTTTGGTATAGTTACCAACTAACAGGTATAAATTGGCAAGCTGGTGAATTATTTTAACATCTTGCTGCTTCTGCAGATCTTGCTCGCAATACTTAATTGCATGGTTAATACGCTCGAGCAGTTGATTGCTACAATTGAGATTCGATTTTTGTACTGAAGGTTTACATAGATCAATTGTTTCAGTAGTTTTGTAATCCAAACTGGAATATTTTAATAACTCGTCGTAAAAGCTTTTATCTCTTGCCTCGGCTTCATTCATTGCTTGGCGATAGGTCAAGAATTTACTGCTTCAAAGGTTGTAAGTATAATTATAAGCTGTACCGATAAAATTAGTTCTTCTGTCATAGGACAATGTAGTTTACCGTGAAAAATATAATATGAGTAAAGGTTGTAGTTAGAATATAAGGTTGCGGACGGCCGTTGGCTAATTTCTTTTGAATTGAGCTTTTCTAGAGGCTTGCTTGCTTGGTCTATCTTTGTAAATAAATGATATAATATAGACGATCTACAATGACCGGTTTGAAGTAGAGAAGGGTAGAAGCAAGATTAAAATCATTGCATTGAAAACGATATTGAGATTATGGCAGTATCACATTGATCAGCAGAAAAGCGATATTGAATACAATGTGTAAAAATAAGTTTAAAATAGCAAATTGGCATGTACGCATTGACTAAAGTATCGATGTCGATATTATATTGTACAGTGTTGTGCAAAACCCTATTATTATCGACGAGGTGAAGACGTGTGCGTTAACTTGAGATAAATACGTGTAACTCTTACTTGCATCTTCAATTAAACTATGTCCTTCTTGACTAGGACTACTCCCTGTTATTGACTGTAAGATAAAATCAATCCCATTTGCTACAGGTTATTAATCTTGATACCCTCTAGTAGATGCTGTAAGTTGTATAACTACTGTAAACTAACTCCATTCTACGCGTATTATGTTTTTTTAGTCATTATTGATTTTGTTATTCCTTTTTATTGTGGTAGAGTACAGTACTGTCTCCTACAGTATGCAGAGTAGATACTGTAAGTCCATTGTAGTGGTTAGTAGTGGCGTCGAGTTGACATTGCCAATAAGAACTGTACTGTACAGCACAATACTTTGTACCTAGATGCTTGTTAAGCAGACATTAAGGCGAGGGATAAAGCAATCGTTATTATTATGCTAAGTACAGCAGTCTGGAGATAGACCGCCCATCATTACTGCCGATGTAAGGCAACTATGTCACACATTACTATGCAGCATTTGAATTCCGCAAGACATTTTGTGGCAGTCTATGCCGTGTAGTATACAGCAATTGACAATTCTATCGAAAAAGTTCAGGCTGTTGTACGATAAGAACTGCCAGACTTGCTACCTCGATTTTGATGTTGTTTTTAAGTAGTTCATTCGTTATTCTAACAGTGCTCTACATGCTGTACTGTACAGTACAGTATGTTTATATACTGTCCAGTATACTGTACTCGTACAGAATACAGTACTGGACACTTGCAGAACAACGGTACAATGTGCACATTGTACCGTACTGTATTGTACTGTACAGTCTGTACTGTACTGTACTGTACTTTCCGCAGATCAGGTCTAGTCCTTTTCTGTACAGTACAGAAGACGTATTGTACTGACTACAGTGCACAGTACAGTACTGTATTGTATCGTACGTACTGTACACTGTGGACCGTAGTTCGTTATTATCATACTTTTTACTGCAGAGGTAATGTAAAGCAAAGTAAGAAAAAAAAAGCTAGTAATCACTGATTCACTGCTCATTTGATCATTGATAATAAGAATGAGAATTAAATGGCATAGATGTAATTATAAGTGACCGTACCAGTTCCGGTGGTGGGAATCGATACAAGGTATTCTACTGTACTGTAGTACCGACGTACAGTACAGTACAGTATACTGTAGGTATCCAACATTTCTACAGTACAGTAGAAGTGGTTGTACAGTACAGTATAACTCTAGCGATTCGATACGTTTCGTTGACTTAGTACTGTACATTGTACACTGTAGTACAGTACTGTACACTGTATAGTGTATAGTACTAAACCGGTGAGTGGAACAATCCTCGATTTACGTACACTAAGAATGGTTGTTGTTTAGCGAGAGTAAAACATTCGCATGCTATTTACTAGTACATCTTAACTGATAACGTCGTCGTGGTAAGAATATTACCTCGATACAGTTTGAATACATCAAAAACTGTTATACATTGAAGAAAAAAGGTTATGGTACTGAGCAAATGAGCATTAGGAAAACCAATCAGCGCGTACACCTATACTACTGTAGTGGATTGAAGCACTCACTGTATGAGAATGATACAAAACAAGAATATTACTCTACTCCAAAGAAATAGCAACAAATTGGACTGCATAGATATGACGTTGATAGCATTTATCCTAATGATGGTGTACATACACTTGTTAGGATCGGTACAAGCTTCACATCCAGTGTTGGTCATACGCGGCCAGTAGTCAGGATGAGTGATTACGTGAGTTCACTGAGAAATCAATGCGTAATAATGGTATAAACTGTAGCGCTCTGCCGTAGAGACAGTAGGATAAATCCAATAGATAGCGTACTAAAAACATTTACAAATACACGTATATTCAGTTGTTAGTCGACTGCCATGGTATGGATTAATTACTAGCTATGGCGTTAATACCTGATCGATCGAACGATCCTAATAATTGACGACATGTACCTAAGTTAACTTAAAGTAATGTACGTGTTTTGGGTACTTTCATGACAATGAATGATTGTTCAGAGAGCCTGAGATGGACTATTGTCAGTTTACAATAAACAAATTGGATCAAGACTGAAAAGTAATATTCACTTATCGTAAGGCTATAGCATCTTACCTCAGTTCTGGGCGCTATTTTCAATTTATCTTGTTAAAATTCTGAATTTCAATCTTAGTCAAGAACAATTTTTAGTCTGGTCCCTCGTTACAGCTGACGTCCATCATAACATCTTTTAAAGTATGTAGGTGTCAAAAAGTGCAGCAGCGAATCATTAGCGACCCTAGTTTTAAAAGGCACACACACAGAAATGTACTGTACACTGTACAGTACATTTACTGTACACAAAAGTAAACAGTACAGTACAGTACTGTAACAAAGTGTAACATACAGTATGCATACAGTACTGTTCAAAGAGTATGTAACACCTTAACACGCTTACCTTGTACTGTACAGTATCATGCTGTGTTGCATTATGTCTACAGTATGCGTATTTGCGTCCAGTACGTACTGTCAAACAACCAATGGCAACAATGGAAACATGTTCTAACAATGGAAGCGTAGGAAAAAAACACGAATATGGCTCTTTAGTCCATTGTGTTTCCAAGAACAATCAAAGAACTTGATGTTTTCTTCAAGTTATTTTTACCCTTTATTGCAATTATAGTAACCAAACTGGATGACTAAACAATTATTCTTTTACACTGTACAGTAAGGTGAATAGTCAATGCTGGACTTCTTGGAAATGTCTGTCGATCTCCTAATGATGCAGTATGGACGTGTAGTACGTACGCTACTATACAATATGTCCATTGTAAACAAGGAAGCATAGTAGTAGTAGCATACCGTGGTATTCATAGTCCATCATGTCCATAGTTCAAAAAGGCTGTAGAGCACTGGGCTCTGGGGAATTCGTATAGTAGTCACTATTGTGCAGAAGAAGAACATTCGACTGTTTCCATAGTACAATCTACAGTATGAGGTGCTGTGATGTCTCTTAATAGAGATAAAAAAAAAAATTCGATGAATGTGATCTGTACGGAACGTCCGTTCTGTATAGCATCGAATGGCAAGGTTATTCTTCCTGTTATTAAAGTACAGTATCCAGTACTGTATGTATCTCCATGCAGCTTTCATAGTCAATCAATTGGGTAGTCCATGACTGTGGATTAGACCCTACGAGTATAGCAAAGGTTGTTTAAATCATTGCTTACCCCCTCTCAACTAAGATGTTCACCATTACACACCGATAATATTGAAAAATTTTGTCAATTGACATACTTTTAGTACTTGCGCAAGATGAATTGACGCAACGTCCAACAGATATTCTAAATTTGGCCATTTGTTTTTGACGGACTGAAATAGGTGCCACGTACAGTACTGTGACATACTGTACTGTGTGACGTGCAGTACTGTACAGTACACTACAGTACGTCACTCGTATGGTCTACAGTGTGTACTGTACACAGTACACTGTACTCTAGGACAGTTCACCAGACCAGTGTACTGTACAGTACATTGTACTGTACACTACAGTAAAAGCCTGGAGTACCTTACTCTACACTACAGTAGATGCTCATACGCGCCATACAGACAGTACAAACATTGAGACTTACTACGAGTTGGCGAGTACTGGCCAGGCATACTGAGCCATCGAGATTTCCAATATGGCGAATGCCAGCAACGAGTTTAATAGCAGCAGTAGCAGTAATACAAGTAAAAATTATCCCAAGGATGCTTTGGTGATAGCAACAATATTGAAAGAGATGGGGGTTCGGGATTACGAGCCGCGTGTTGTGAGTCAATTACTGGAATTGATATATCGTAAGTATGCAAGTAGATTACAAACGTATTTTCCAGTAGGTCAATTGCATTCCATATATGTTATGTTAATACTGCAATATGGAGTGCAGTAGCAGCCATTTGTGGCTCAATTCCTTTTCTCTTTGAGACTGTAACGAAATGATGTAGTTTTACTAGAAGACTATGATCTTCTGCATCTTTTCCTGGTCAACATGTTAGCGTATTTAGAGGAACTCGATAGTGTATGGTGTCGCCAATACGAAAGACCGTAATGGACCAAAATTGTAAAAAAAATGACTTGTACTGTGTAGTACAGTACAGCATTTGCTGGATTTCACTCGAAATATCATTAACGATGACATGAAAAGTGTACAGTGATTATAATAAGTATACTTACCTATTTCATATTTCTCTAAATTTTGTCCTCTAATGTCTAATAGGCTTGAATCATTAAAATTGTTGCTTTACCAATATACTTTATTCAACGACTTTGGATACTATGGTATTTGAGAATTGCATAGAATTTGCTGATTAAAATTTCGAGACACATGGCTAGAAAGATGCGACTTCAAATTTTACGTCAAGTTATTTCTGCCTAGTTACAGTGTGTCACAATTTTAAAATAAAATGGATTAGCATTGGCGAACCGTAGCCATTTACCATGCTACATCCAAAATAGGAAAGAGTATAGATCATAGAATGTAAAGATTCATCTAAATTATTCATCAGCTATTGATTACTACATAAGCTCACGTACAAATACGCGTACATGTAAATCTACACTTTACGATATACTGTACTCGTAAACTTTTATCTACAGCAAGTGATTCCTTTATATGTATTGCGCAGTCTTAACGATGATACTGCAGTTATTAAGCTATTATGAGCATTCGAAATGAAATCTGTTAATTATTCTGCAGATTATTATAGTTAACTCCACTGCTGACTACCGGTGTTCTTGACACAGTTAAAATATACTTATTTGCTGTCTATGGGCAATTTTTCAACATGACTATTTACTGCCAACGTTCTTGATAAAGTCAATGAAAAATTATGAATCTCCCACCGAGGTGATAAATCAATGAAAGCTGGCTAAAGCACTCATTTATGATATTTATATAGAACTCACTGAAATTAAAAAGTAAAGTAAGTTAGTTTACATCCAATTCTACCCTTGACGTGAGCTGATATGTTGCACGAGTATACCATAAAACCATTGCATCCCGTGTATCCAGCAGCACTCTACCTATCATCGGTGCATGTCAAGTGACCACGTAACTTTGTGCATATTCGTATCATACATATTTATACAAGCGTAGGTAAAATATAATATTAGTGACAACCTAATTATTATTATTCAAGGGTCCCTATTTCGATATGATTGGAAGATTGATTTTAATTTATGTAGTGACTGATATATATACGTTGTACAATGTAACTATCAAGATTACTCTTAAACTGTATTTTTAATTTTTAAAGCGATAATATGTATACTGTTAACTTATTCATTCGGATATACTAATCGATGTTACAAATATTGATAGGTTATGTAAGTGATATACTTGATGATGCTGCCATTTATTCCAATCATGCTCAAAAGAAGCAGTTAGACGCTGATGATACGCGCTTGGCCATTAAGAATTTCATTGATCAATCATTTACATCTCCTCCACCACGTGATGTATGACCATAATTAAGTGAAGTCAAAATTAATGCTCTATCTTCGTATATCTTTATATTTCTTTTCCTATTGTAACAGTTTCTAGTTGGTGTTGCACGTCAAAGGAATGATACTCCTTTACCGATAGTTCAGGTTAAAAATGGCTTAAGATTACCGCCTGAAAGATACTGCATGTCTTCCGCCAATTACCACCTGAAGCCTTCTGCCCGAAAGGTAGCGCAGTGCACGTTGCTAGTGTAGCGTATATATATGTTATCCTACAGTGTTTTGCAAGTTCGCTTTTAACCTTTACTATACATTTTATCTTCTATCGCATTACATGAAAGTCTTCTAGTCGACATGGCCATAATCAAAATGCTGCGCCTTCTGGCTCTAAATTACATAACACCAATCCTGTACCTACAAATGCGAACAGCGTCAATTCATCTAAAAGCTCAGCTGCCGCTACTGCTTCCAGTTCCAATAATCGTCCCAGCGGCCGCGTAGATAAGCATAGTAAGATAGTTTTGCGTCATTAAATCTTATTTTGAGAATTTAAGGAAATTTACTGTGTTATACAGTATTTGCAGCTAATCAGTTCCGTCATGTCTAAGTTTCACGCATTAATGTTGCCTAATGTATGGATCTCATTACTTGAATATAGAAGACTCATCAAATGTGCCCGGATCAAAGCATCCGATCAAAATGCCTTCTACCTACAATAGCATACCTAATATTGTTAGAGAGCAACCGTTATCTGTTACTCCTAATGCAGAATTGGCACCAACTATTAGCGATTCATCCTCTAAAACAAAAAATTCAGCTACAACAATTGCAAGTACTGAGCAATATGGGTCTAGTTTAAAAAGAGGCTCTGAAGAAAACTCCAGTGAAAGTGCAACGGCCGATAATAAGCTAGCAGTTGGCCCACCTGCGAAAAGGAAAAAGGATGATGTCTAGCCTTCACGGTTTACATCTGCGTAAGACTTTTGGCCTTGTACATTATTTAGTTGTTTTTGTACTATAGCTTACGGTGTACTCGTTAGTTTGCCGTATTGACGGTACTTGCTAAGATGTACTCTTATATAGCGGTACAAGTTCGATAACCTGATTAGGTTAAACTATTCTGAAATTATATTTGTACATGAGACGGGCAACTGCTTTATACTGTTTTGCCAAAAATGTAACTCTAATAATGTTAAATTTAGGTTATCGTGATTTAAACGCTGTGAAGAGTTGATTTTTTGAGTATACTGTACAAACACAAATTCATGTTTTCGCTAGCTTACTAGTACTTACCTGCCTTTCCGAACATAAATAAATACGATAATGCGTCATGATTCGGTATAGATGAACAAGCGCGTACTTTGGAAATCTTATTACCGCAATGTTTATAGAATTTTACCTGCATACTACAGATACTGGTTACCGACTATTATTGATTAAATTACAATTATTTATGTTCAACTGCCGTGGAATAACAACTAATAAGTTGGAAATATTTTCGATTTATGCGTAAACCCAGAATCAGAATTTTAAAATAGGTTATATCTCTTATTTAGTAATTTTATGGCAGCACGGCATATATTGGTTGATATTTTTATTGTAATGAAGTAATAGCTCAATATTTTAGTTCCAAATCAGATTAGAATGGCTTATTATAAAATCTAGGTCCATTGTTAGTTTTGTTGCATGTCATTAATGGCTTTTAAAAGTTCTGACGTTTTACTGAGGTTATTGTCGATCAGATCGTTGATACACTCCATTTGAAATTTCTCGGTATTCACATAATTCAAGTCTTTCACTGTTGCAAGATTTTCAGTTATGTTTGCCGACCATGGTTGCCATATTGATAGTGAAGCTAATATGCTGTAAAGGAAAACACACATTCTCGACTGTGTACATTCGTACAGTATTGTTTGGATACTAGATTTGCAAAAAATCAGCTGTAAATTTGGGATTAGTTTCTATACTTGGACTACTTTTACATCAAGAGCTCAAAAATTGATAGGATACCATTGAATCGTTTCAATTCTTGCTGCTTTTGCATTATAGCACTGTAAAGTTGATCGAATAGCGAAAATGGTAAATAAGTGGAGTTTCGTAGTTACGACTATTTCAATGAACAAAGTGTACTGCGTTACAGAAATGGTAAGAAGAATGACCTGTGAACATTGTTGTCCCATATTGTATTGTTATAGAACCTGCTACATCTTTCCTTGCTATTAGAAAATGCCCACTTACACCAGTTGCTTGCATGTTTGGCATACCTAGCAAATGATTACATTCCTTTTAAATTGTAATGAAGTAAGCACAGTATCAGCTAAAGAATGAACTAAAGTCTGATACTAAAATTAAAAAATGATAGCTGTTAAATAAATGTCGCGCGATCGAGTTTACCTATAATAATTGTAATGTGCTTCGGTCTCTGCAGGAATAAGCGTAACATTTCCATTTGGAAGTATCAATTCATACTGCGGAGAAGTTATATTTTCTTTCAGCAAGTAGCGTCCGTTGAGCATGATCCCATCGTTAAAGTGAATATGTATTCGTCCTGTACTATACGCAATAAATCTGCCCAATTCGGTGATTGTGATATCTTCTTTCATAGGCTGCGTTTTTCGTTGTAATGCATTCGCAGAATTGGATTTCTTCTATGTAATATTACATTTCATTAGGAAATAAATTTAAACACTATAGTGCTACATTCAATTAAAAGCTTAATCCTTCTTACTAAGGTCGGTTTTGCGTCAGGATATTTATCCGGAGTATAAGATACAGTGACTTTTTGCCTTAGCGTTGAAGGCAAGCGCTTAATTTGAAAGAAGAACTTTAGGGACTGGAAAATAATTCTTTTCAACTCTGCTTGTGCACTTAACAAGTCATTCCAGAGCTGCAGTTTATACTGCGTCGAATAAGTCAACTGTTGGAGCTTTCGAATTTGGGCAAAAATTTTAACAATTTAAGATGCTGCATTTTGATAACATCTCATTATGAAGTATCACACGTAAATGTACGCAGTGGCGTTAGTCTACCTGTTTTAAGGAAGTGTCATACGAATAGAAATCAAAATAATTGGCAAATTCTCCTCTAGAAACCAAATAAGCTCCATTTGGCAGTAAAACTTCTACTCGAAGGTGGTCATAAAAAAATCTGCAGTCACAGACATAGATATAGAATAATATATTAGCATGTAGTAGACTCTGTCTATACTTGTAGTTTTACACATTAAGATAGTCATTTTCTAAATGATTATAGTAGATTTAATTTTATTTATTTTATTATATATAATTATAGATGTGTAGGTAATTTTCAATACCAGTTTGCATCTAGTAGAAGATTCGTACGTATACTGATCGTTATACGAACGAAATTTTCTACTAGATGCAAAATTAAATTAATTATAATCGTTATAATTACCGGTAGTGGCAGTTGTTCGCAATAATAATACTTATTAGCTTGTTATCTGTTAAATTTTGTGTTGGTGGCTCCGAATCCCTATTGAATATAGGGAATGGTACGTGTACCAACAAATCATCGTTATCGCTGGCGCATTCATCAGGTGTCTTTTCGTCATTATCTGTATCTTCCTTTCGATTCGCTATTAAAAAATAATGAAATTGAGATTGTGAACTGTCGAAGGTTATCTGATGAAAGTTATGTAATTTGAATGGTATCGCGTAATCTATTTACCGCTACCGATAACGTCTAGAGCTAAGTGCATGGGATGTCGCCAACATTCTAAAGCGGAACGAATACTATATTGTTGAACTATTTCGGAGTATTCTTCGTCTCCATTTGAATCGATACATTTAGCAATAAATTTCACGGTAAAGCTTTGCTGGTGATTTTTCAGAATTAATGTGGCTGCATTGTTGAGAGCAGTGACAGTTACTGAACCATTTGAGTTTCTTTTCACATGTGGATGTCCGGAAGCTTTGGGCCAGATTGCAATAGGTGAGTACCGGTTTTTGATCTAAATACGCGTATACAGTATATCAATATCGGGATAATTCATGCAGTTGTGCGTGAGTACGACTGTACGAGTGCAGTAGTTGTTAGTTGTAACATAGATTCCGTAAGATAATTGATTTAGAAATGGATTTACATACCGTTATCTATGACGTTTTACATATTTTTAATAGATAACTGTATAGTTTTATTAGTTTTATAATATTATTATCTATAAACTGATAATTATATAATTCATGTTGAAATCGATTTACTATAAATTGACTGACTTTTTCAATACAGTTTGGGTACAGTTATGTCTAAGGGAGATTAGTGTTGTGCTACTGTTCCTCCAAGCGATAGGAGATCGTCAGTATTTAAGGTCGTACTGTACAGTAGGTTAATGTCAGGGAGGACAAACCTGACAATAGACTTATAGTGTGGAGTTTCTATAATAGTTTAACATTTTCCTCATTACAAATTTCGATTTGTACCACTGTTAATAACTTTCACAGCAGTCTATATCAGTACGTGTACTTCCAACACTAATTACTTTAAAGTAAGATTGATATTGGTATGTGTACGGTTTAGACTTTAGTAATATAATCTCTGATAATATGAAAGGTCCTACTTCTGTGCATATATAATACTATCCAAATGAATGTTGCGTAGTTTTGCATTTGCTTTTAACAAGTGTTTGTATTTATACGGCACAATGGTAGCAGTATACGTGCAGTAATACTTTAAGGTAGTCAAGCTTTCTCACCTCTTTATGTTCTGGATTAGATATCCCACAGCACGGATATAAAGTATATAGATTTCTTGTTTTTATCATGTAGTGAATTTTTTTCTGATTTCGAGATGTTGCAAAACGTGTCATTTGTTTAATCGCTTTATTGTTGGAAAATGGCATAGAATGATTTAGTATCGTTGTATAGTTTCCACATTTTGAGAGTGTCATTGCTAATCCGTCACAAAATCTAGCTTCCACCATGCCGTTGCAATAGACGATCGTCTGCCAAGGATAATCATCTTTGGCGTTGATATCATGATTATCCTGATAAGACATTTGGATACCTTGAATGCTATACGCATATATATAGATGTACTCGTATTTGTATTAATAAGTTAGTGTCTATGTTTACGAATTAAGGTCCAGTAACAATTAATTAATTAATAAATGATAAAATGTAGTTTCCTTCATAAGGGCTACTAGAGTAGTCCTTGGTGTTGAAGATGAAACCAACTGACTAGAGCCAACTATAGTAATGGCAAGATGATAGATGGATCTAAACGAATCATTATTGGAAATTAGAAAGATAAAATAAGTATTTACAGTACAACTATTGCAAACATCAATTTGTTATTATTGACCACTGACCAGTACATTGGCCTACAGTACAGTATATCTAGCGCATTCCAATCAGTTCATCAAGACTATACTATGCAACTGTATACGCTGTAAATCAAAGTATTCGATCGTTGAAAGAATCCACACTTTATACTTTGGCCGATGGCTCTTTTAACCTCGAAATTAGGGAGATGTTGGAGCAGTTTGCAATGGATGCCAACATTTACTCATTGACTGGTCGTTAGAAACATTTTTAAACCTTGAGCTAGTTACCGCGCTTTCAGTCCAGTACGGGCTACTTGTACCGTACACTATGTACTGTCAGTACTGTGTACAGTATGTGTTAGTACAGTACAGTACAGTACATTGTACCGTATTTGGTACAGTATCTTGTACTGTAATAAGTTCACTGTGTTGCTTAAGGTTTTCTAATGGAGTCTACAGTACGTCGAGTACTGTAGAGTACATCATAACAGTCACGGTGGCATGACATCATTTTTGCTCTTAATGGGCTCAGGCAGTACTGTGTCACTCCATAACGCAAGTCAGAGTTCAAGGAGTGACTCGTTGGTACAAATCACTTTACCACCGACAGACGACAGCACACCGTGTACTGTACAGTACGTACAGTACAGTGCACGTGTGACGTGTCATGCTGCACCCTGTGGCTTACTGTAGTGTGTCTATTTGAAGGTGCGCATTCCTTCACGCTGTCGTTTACAGTGTACAGGACTGTCAGTTCTCTTGAATAAATTCGAGGCAAAATAAATTGCAGTAAAGCTGTAAAATTGGCCTAAAATTTGATATAGACAGATCGATGAAGGAACGATCTATCCACTTTTAAAACTGTAATGCAGTAAATATCGTCCTGATTTGAAATATACAGTACGTTAGCCTGGTTTTACAGTTGACACTTTTAGAAGCAATCGGTTAGTACAGACGTACAGTACAGTAAAAATAACATCTGACGTCATGGGCAGATCGGACGTTAGGGCTGGTGAGTTGTAGTCAAGTCACTCCGGTGTGCTGTTTTGGCAGAGTACTGTACAGTACATTCCACTAGAGTACAGTACCATGACTACAGTCTACAGTATAGCACAGTACTGTACGATACATCTGTCCATCTGTAGTCCCAGTCATGTCCTGGATTTTTTCCCGTACTAAAACCACTCTACAGTACCATGAACTGTGCTAGAAAAATACAGTACAGTACTACACTGGATTAGGCTTTCCTTCTACTGCACAGTATCGTAGCACAGTACTGTGGTTCGATTAGTGGTCTTAAGCCAGTGCCAACTGATCGAATCCCTCACCAGTTTGAAACAACTATCACTCATTAAAATTATTGTCGCCATTACTGCCTTGATCTGAAATTCACTTTGCTACATCTTGGATTATCCAGTTTATTAATTAACTTAAAAATAATGACTAGCTCGGCGGACTTTGGGAATCCATTAAGAAAGTTTAAATTAGTCTTCTTAGGGGAACAAAGCGGTAAGTGGACTAGTTGAAATCAAGATCAATGTGTTCTACTGTGCTGGAGTGTGTCAATTCAACGGATAGAAATGAATAGAGGTCATCGCCTTGTTGGGCCTTTTTCTTGCCTAGTAGAAGAGTAGAGTAGTATCTACCACACATACTGATGAAACTTCATATAGTTATGTTTTTGAAATGAAATACATCTTGTAGATTTTGTTCAATGATGACTAAAATAGATAGCATCATCCTTACTATTTGCTGAAATCATGCAATATTTGAAATGGAGATGCTTACGATCGTACCGTATGTTTCCTTGTCTTGCTCTTGTACTCTACTCGTTTTATATACCTTGCCAATATGCTGCAGTATCAATGATGCAACTTTGAAATACTAATCATGACTTTACCACATGGTTGTAGTTGGTAAAACGTCTCTCATAACAAGATTCATGTATGACAGCTTCGATAATACCTATCAGGTAAGTTGAAATTCTACTCATTTGAATTCGTGACTGCTATTGTGAAGGAGAAGTCTTGCCCTTCTATCTATCTTCATTGAACTATGCGCTGATTGATGTAATTGCATAACACCCTACAGTGTACTTACAGTATGTTTGCTAGCCATCGATGTTGCCTATTTTCAATACAGCTAGATAAAGTTGAAAATTCTCTTTACTAATACGAGAGATTAACTAGGCAAAGACTGATGGTACATGGATGTCACGATAAACAACGATGACATACTTTGCTTCAATTCATGAATGTCCACTATGACCGTATAGTTCAGTAATAATTAGACATCTGCTACACTATGATTGTTTCACAACTTTATAAATTTTTGCTATGGATCGGCCTTAATTAATGAATAATACCAATTCATTGCCGCTATACTATTAATCAATAATTTTGCATTTTCTATTTTACAGGCTACGATCGGAATTGATTTCTTGTCTAAAACGATGTATTTAGAAGATAGAACAGTAAGTCAATATTGGAAGGGGTTGTTCGTATTTTTTATCCATAGCAACTAAATTGAAATTTTTGACCTAGTATCACTATAGTATTTTAGCATCAAAGATTACAGTAGTATTCCGCATTCATCATCTACAAACATATAGCATCCTAGCAATCATTTTCTGCTAGTAATAGTCTGCAAAATTTTATCAGCCATGTTACGCTATCCCATGGGCGTTCGCTTGATTTGAAAATCATAATGATGTACAGTGGTACACGTGTATGTAGAATTTACAAATGTTTAGTTCTTGTACATTGTCTCGATGTACTTACCGTATGAGAGTTGTTAATTAATTAATTACAATTAGCTGTTAGTGGATTATACTTGTTGTTAGTTGGCTTGGGGTGCGTTGTTGTAGCTAAACTTACTTAAACATGTAGATTAATTCTATCAAAATGCAACTCTACATTGATATGCGTGTAACAGATCAATCTACTGTACAGTATAATGCTATACTAGAAAATTGTCTTTTTTACTCTTTAAAATTGTACCTGATGAGATTCTGTTTCAGTTATGCCTTTCTCGATCGTTTTGCTGTTATCTAGATAATTGAGTATACTGATTTGTACGGATTCTATTGAACTTGTGGTTAATATTACGGTCTTTATAATTCGTTCATTCTCATGTGGCTACCACACTGTATAACAGTGTGATTCTCATTTTATCTATTTGCGACTTCATAATAAATTAATTTAGCAAACTCATCGATGACGTTGTAACGTAATTATCAATTAATTGTGAAATGTAGTTATATCCGATTTTGCTGACTCGATTATGATTCTGTACTATACGATAAAATTAACTTTATTCGAGTACAGTTAGTAATGTCGATTGGCCTTTTTAAATTATTATAGTAGTTAACCTACGAGTATTTCTACTTTTTTAGGTAAGGTTGCAATTATGGGATACAGCAGGACAAGAGAGATTCAGGAGTTTAATTCCAAGCTATATTAGAGATTCAACTGTTGCCGTAGTTGTGTTTGATATCACTAGTAAGTAACGTGTTTTAAACTAAAAAGTAGTTTACTATTAACTTATTAGTGTACTTACTTATACGAGTATAAATAGGTTTTGATACTTTGGCAGTTAACGCAAGCTTAATTAGACAATTATTTTGTTAAATTAATGCTCCTTTGTAAATCTAGATGCCAATTCTTTTCATCAAACTTCGAAATGGATTGATGATGTTCGTACTGAACGTGGCAATGATGTCATTATCATGCTGGTTGGTAATAAAACAGATCTCGCTGACAAAAGGTTAATACATTGCAATAACTGTATTAGGTTGTTAAGGTTGCCTAAGATTCGCCAATACACTACCGCAATTGCCCTTACTATTGTTTGACTCTCGATAAAAAAATTTTGATTAGGCAAGTCTCAACTGAAGAAGGCGAAAATAAAGCCAAAGAACTAAATGTAATGTTTATAGAGACTAGCGCTAAAGCTGGACACAACGTTAAACAGGTTTGGGAGTAATCATGCTAGTATACAGCGTGTTAATTGACTGGATTTTGATGATTTTTGCATCTGTCAATCATCATGCAGTTATTTCGACGAGTGGCTGCCGCTCTGCCCGGAATGGAAAGTGCACAAGATTCAGGAAAGAGAGGAGATCGTATCCTATGTTGATTTTATATTATTTAAGAATATTCTAAACTCAATCTTTTTCATTTTTGCAAGTTTATTTTATAGCTTCCTAAATATTTGGGAGTTTCTCTTCGTTTAGCTTTGATTTATCATTTTCCTTAACTCCAGGAACAGTTGTAGAGGTTGATCTTCAGCCTCATCCAACGGATGATACCCCTTCTGAAGGAGGCTGCTCATGTTAATCGGACTTGAAAAATCATGAATTGATCCAACGAAACTACAAGTTTACTATAAGCGGTATTTAACTACAGCAGTTTTGATATTGCATCTTGGTATTAAGAATTCGCAACACGTTGTTCTAGTACAGTATTAGTATCGATTGTTTGGCAATCATCGATAATTAATTTGTGAAGACTTTATTTCAGAATAACGTGAAACTTATTATATGATTTATATCCTTCAGTTCGTATTTGACAAAGTTAGCCGATTGCCAGTGGATTGGATAACAGTCTGTAATACGTACTATAATAACATGCTAAATATTGTGATAGAATAGATTAATGCTTCGGTATTTTACTCGAGGTTAATGGTATTTTTCATTGCTGTTGTAATATAACCTTTAAGATGTAATGCCTAGTGTAGTGATGCAACTCTACTTACTAACTTACAGTGAATACAAAATGAGACGATGTTATTATTATGGATATAATTTAAACCTCTTTGGGCGATCGATAGTACTGTTGGTTAACTAGTCCTCAATTACCATTACCATTAAAAAACTAGATTTCTATACGAGAAAAGTACAAAAATTTTGTTTTTGGCGGCTGTACCTTATATTATAACTGGTACTGCCGTATAGTACATTTTAAAGTACTGTACACATAAAATGCAGCGTTGCCTGTTATAGATCGAATGTAAATTGCATGTCTTGTCCAATAAATTATCCCGTTGTTGGAGCATTTTAAATCTTGGATATAATTTGTTGCTCAATTGAACTAACATCTGTAAACAGCTACTTCACTTCAGTGTTATAAAGTTTTCATACGGAAATTGAAAAATAGTACAATAAATTCTAAAAAAATGTACCGTAGATTTTCATAACTTAAATGTAAAATTAATTAATCCGGTAACATTTACGAATATGGATTAAACTATAAATTGTGGAGCTGATCCATAAATATTGATTGTAATGAATAGCAGCTTCAACTAGCAAAATTGCAGACTGTAGATTAAGTTCCTTATTCATAAAGTGATCGTTCTTTTATTTACTGATACGGATATTCCACCAGTCATTCTCCAGCGCAAACTTGTTGCATGATATGACTACATAATTTCATCATTTGTAAATATTCGTCAGCACCGTCCATTAAGCATTTATCAATTTCCTATTGTTCCGAAATACACGTACGATATTATAACTGCAGTTGTTGTATCAATTTCTGCATCATTTCGAAGATATCAGTAAAAGATCTAGTATACGTAAAACGATTTTACTTTACTGCACGAGCATTACTTACCGCCATCATCTGAGCTAAAAACGACTTTTTCTTATCAGACAGTTCATCTACGTCAACGATTTTGTCATGGAGCTTCGAATTGTAAAATAGTAAACTCATTAGTAAGTGCTACTTTAATGAAATTGAGTTTAACTTTCCGCGAGCTGTTTGCAAAATAAGATATTAATAACTTACTTGAGATAGTAGTTGATATGCGGAGTAACTATCAGCAATTACATTCTGACACGAGAACATGAAAAATAGCGAGATTTAATAACTTTTAATGCTGCCGTGAAAATCGAGCATTAGAAGCCATTTCAAACTTGGTAAGAAAGGTTTCAAGAATAGTTTACTACAGTATATTAAATCAAATTGTCCTTAATGTAAAGAAAGATACTTTTAAGCTTGTTTTATCGAAAGCTGTATAAAAGCTGTTATTCTACGTTCTTAAGTAAAATACAAGTTGTTGACCGAGGTTCGAAAGTTTTCATCTTGGTGTACCTGTATTATTTTATCCAACTTTTCGTAAGAATTCAGGCGGCAAGTTTCGAGAATAGAGTCGATTAGTGCATCAGGTATAACCTAATATGGTAAAATCAGGATATTTTAAATTGGTCTTCCTTTGTATTACTAACGTAGCACTAGCTATCGAGAAGTACAGTCCAGTTACCCCAGCGCTTTCGATTATTCTCTCAGAAGTAATACGCTTATCGTTATACAATCGTGATACACTTTGTATATAGGTAATAGCCTACGATGAAAGCAACAACAGGCACAGATAAAACCTATCAAGTAATTGGTTAGGTACTATAATTTTTTATATTTTAGGAAGTCTCGAATATCTGCTATGGGAGTCTATAAAATGTTTTATTCCTACCTTTCTCATGTCACCTTCTGATATAGATATTATGTTCCGTAAGGCCTACAACGACAGATGGGTACATTTTATATATGTGTTTTAGCTATTTGGAATATTTCTTCAACTATCCTTCATAATAATAAACAAGTAGTATTGTAACAGCACCTACTATGCTAAATAACACATCGGAATACTATCTTACATCAACTATTAGTATTATGGTTTACTTACTTGTTTATCACAGTCTAGGTTTTCTTTTTCGGAAATTGCACTTAAGTGGTGTAATAATATATTTTCCGGCAGTGGCTTGAAGCGAAATTTGGAACAGCGAGAAGTCAAAGGCTCTATAATTCTATAAAAGCGAAGCCAATTTTTTATCAATCTCAAATGACTATCGTCAGAATGCTATTTTGTGCACTGTATCCGTAGATCTTATGTAAAGTATAGTAGTCAGTTGCAATTGGCAGCTAGTGTGCGTTAATAACTGAACAACCTATCTCATGCCATTTGATGTAGCTTACCTACTAACATAGTTACATATTAAACAAAATCTAGTAGTTTTCGAATACTTTTCCATTGTTCGCCGAAGTGCAGCCTATGTAGTAGTGAGTAATGTAATGCATAGATAAGGTAATAAGCAAGAAATTGAAAGCTATAAATGCAATATACTGTATATGTTTGTGTACCTGTGCAGCATGGGTCATGGAATCGGCTTCATCTAATATTATTATTTTAAAGGGAGGGCAAGGTGTACCACTGCATTAACAAATTAAATAGTAATGCCGATAAATTTTTGTAGTCATTACAAATTGATTTCAAATACAAGCATTGCAACAAACAACTGATTAAATTGATGTAGAATGCTATATATTATACTGGTATGAACAATTAAACCATAGGATGGTATATCGTTGGGTCACAGTTGACCGAGCAAAGCAATGACTTACTCAGGCCGTTGATTGGCAACCGATAGCTGTGCAAATGTCTTTATTTTCTCACGAATGACCTTTCATTATTATACGAAAACATCAAAGATTACATAGACTAAGTATTCTTCGTGAATACGAACGCAGATTTAACCTTTAATGTAATACCCACTACATGTACAGACGGATATACGAAAGAGCGTCTACTTTAAATACTTGTACTGTATTGACTGTGTGGGTAATGTTCTCAAAATACAAGTATACTTTCTACACGCATTAAATTTTACTATATTCAAAGTATAACAAACAAGGGTTCGATTACTAAGTAAGTATTGTAACTATTGGTAGTACTGTACAGTAGTGCATCATAACTAGTTATTGCGTATTCAATCAATTAATTCGCAACAAGATGCTAGATATGAGGACGTATAATTTTAATTATAACTATATGCTTTACCTGGATGCCACGATCATCGGATGCATTTAATTCCAGGACTCTCGATCTATAAATATCCGATCTAATCGGAATAAATCAGGACGCTTTAAAAAGAGTTTCAGCAATAGCAAAGAAAACAGTTGCTACACTGTGCCTTTTACCCTTTCGCAAATAACACGTTGGATATCTCGTAGTATTTTAGATAATAATCTTACAATAAAGTATTATTTTACATATTTTTGAAACTTCTACTGTACGTATGTGTTAAAAGAGTTACTTTGTCCAAGCGCTACGTTAAATTTATCGTGAAAGACAAGGAGGAATTGATTACAGTTTCTTAAGTACTGAGGAGTACCGTTACTACAGTAGTACTTGTGGTACTACGTACAGTAGAATGGCATTGCTTGCATGCACTTACGCGTCTATAGCATAGCAGTCATGCATATATGGGCAACGTTATATGAATATAAATGATAAAAGTAATAGCTGCACAAATCGGATATAATCTATTTTCTATTGCTGTAGTTCTGAGTAAAAAAAGGCATACTGTATGCTTTTACAAGACGTATCGTCTTGTAATGGCAAGTAGATGTAGAGAGTGCAAGGAAAGTACAAAATATGTAGAGCTACACTATAGCAGAAACAAATATTGAACAGTATACAGTACGTTATGTAATATATAATTTTACAAAATTCTCTGCATAGTGGTTATAAAGTACTGTCTATTCAATGCGTGCAATCAAGGTGTACCCGTAGAGATGTCTTGCTGCAGCTAAAATAGTAGAAGTTTTGCCAGTGCCTGGAGGACCATAGAACAAGAAATTGGGTAGCTGCAAGTAGAATATCCGTATGAATACATTTAAAAATTACCCTTTGATTACAAGACGTTGCATTTCAATTTGTCCTATTGACATATGAACTGTACAGTGTAGAATCATGACATCATGCAGGTAAGTGGACCTACATCTGCACCTTGCAGGCATTTCCTCAAGACGGATACCACTTCATCTTGATGTGCAACATCATCGATCGATCTTGGCCGGCTATCATAACCAAAATGGAGTCAAAAAATGGAATACCAAGTATAATAACATTGTAGTAAAGCATGTTTCTATACGTACTATTTTTCAACCCATGGGACGCTGACATTACTAGAGGATTTTCGTTCACCATCGGTTGGCATTATTTCCGAGCTCATATTTATTTTCTTTCCCGCCAGCTCTGTTGTGGTTTGTTGCATACGGGGACTTGTAAGTTCTAGTGGCCCGCAACACGAAGTCCCTAGCGCTATCCGTCCAGTACTACAGTACCGTATTGTAGCCTTTACAGTGCACAGTACGATGTACTGTGCACTGTAGACTAGGGGTCTGGACCAGACCGAACCAGACCATACAGAGAAGACTGTAGATACTGTACGATTAGACCTGTCATACGATCAATACAACTCATACATGTACATGTTTGAGAGTCGTGCAGCACTGTTAGTATGAGTCATCGTGTACAGTGTACAGTACTGTAGCACTGACTGTCAAGACTACTGTACTGTACACTGTACACTGTACACGATGACTCATACAGTACTAACACTCATACAGTACAGTATATGTATGAGTCGTATGATCGTATCTACTGTACTCTTCGCTTCTGGTCTGGTTCGGTCTGGTCCGGACCCTAGTCTACAATGTACAGTGTACAGTACCATGACTGTCGGATTTTTGTACTGTACCGTACTGTACTGTACTGAAGGCTGAAGCCTATCTAGGTGACTCCAAGACACTCTTGATCTACGGGTAGTAAACACAGCCGAGAGTGCTTCAACAAAATGGAATCTACCACCGATGTGATACAACCGATATCAACCAAGCAAAAGATTGAAAAATGTATCCAAGTATTGAAAGACAAAAATTTTGGAGACTGCCAGGCTTTACTAGAGGACATATGTGATAAGGTATATTGCATTCTTTGTAAATTGATCGTAATCTTCATCTATAGGACGTGAAAATGAAAAATTATCGCAGTTGTCTTGAATGGTCCTAGTAGTGTCCGTATAGACTTTTCTATTGAGTGGAGAATAAAGTCGATTGTACGAGGATATACCGTAGGCACAATAGTATACGATGCATGATATCATACAGTAGCCTATCAATGATCGCACTGGATGATACGATACCTTGACTAGACAAGTCATCAATGAAAAGATTGCGACTATCAAGGAAATTCATCAACTTTATCCATTCCTACTCTTCCACTACAGTACTATATCGACACATAACATGATAGGAGACAGGATTGAAATAGCGGATCTGCAACTACATACTGACTTTTTTCAAGCTGTAATTGATGGTCATTTTTGCATCCTTTTTCTTCTATTAGCTAGATAAGCAATTCACTTTTGATCAAGTGACAGGAAAACTTTATCAGGTAAATTGATTCATCATGTTGTTATGAACTGTAAATAATTCTAAGCAAATCGATCAACACTTTAATCATATTAAATACACAAAAACATGATGAAGATAGATACTGTGTTATACAATCAATGTATTGCTCTAAAAATTTTCAAGATCGTCGTCATTTTCTTCCATACTTCAATGTAATCAATCATATTGATGCAGTACAATATAGCACTACAGTAGCCATTGTAAGATGTCATGTTGTCATGAAACTATAAATTGACCAATATGATATATATATCTATTCCTTTCTTCTATTATCCACTACAGTAATATTGGGCTGATTTAGCTTTGCATTATACGGGAATACTTGTAATACAGAGCATGCGATCATCACGGTTACTTTAGAGAATAGAAATAGATGTATATTCCATTTCTTGGAGTTAAACCTATTGTAAGCGTACACCATTCGCTGTGTATTCGTCACTCAATGAGGTCCCGAATGACAAGGTATTCTAAGATGGACTCGTACATGTATTAGTATCATGCCGTAGATAGTACAATCGATTCAAGGTAATGGCATGCTATTCCTAGTCAACTGTATTTCGTGGATTGTATTCATGATAAATGACAAAAATATTAGAAGATGTACTCTCTCGCATATCGTACGTATATATTAACATACTACGATAGGCAGTGATCGCACTCGATTCACTATGAGGTTTACTCCGTTCATCGGCTGATTGTAATCATGATGGTGTAGTTTAACACGCGTACATGATTCTCTTGATTACTCTTACCCAACAAGGTACGGATTGGATAGTATTACTATTATAACATACTAGGATATACATGTTAGAATGTTACCATAGACAGTACACTCTCATTCAAAGTAATAGGCTTCTATACTCATCGACTTTACCCTTGAATTGTAATCATGTAGCGTAGCTTAATATACGGTTGCACATCATATTCTTAATGACTCACTTAATAAGGTACTGAATGGCAGAGATATTATAAGATCTTTACCTCGAGGCATTATAATTTTACGTTAGACAGTAGACTATATTCACTCTTGATCGCATTCTACACTAGTTAATTTTGTACCCTTGATTGTAATGATCATAATAGACAGTAATCTACAGTCACAATGGCTGAGATCATATCCTTCTTACCACTACGGACAACAGACACAAACGTTATGCATTATTACTTGGCTATTATATTTATTATCTATAGATAAATATAAAATAGACATATGTAAACTTGACTACATATTACAGTATAATGTAGTCCTAAGCACAATCTACTGTAGTGGGCTATAAAATGGCATCATTATCATGATACCAAATATAATTTATCGCCTTTGCATTAATTAATTAATTAATAAAAGATAGTAGTCGGTAATACATACACGACTTCTATATTCTTACCTATTGTATTCATCATCGAATACACTAATTTTCGGGCTCTTCTAAATTTTTAATATTATCCAAATGCTATTACCATGTTATCTTTTTTTTCGCCAGATTTATCGATCATGAGTATACAATGAGTACAGTAAACAAACTATCAATGTAGTAAGCAGGCTCCTGTTTATCTTGACTATTGCACTTGATGGGATATTATATATTTATCACACCGTTTAGTGCTTGCATCGCTATGTTATGCTTTTAAAAATGAATTTAATCTTAAACTTACTATTTCTGTGCAAATTAGAACTATTAACATTATTTAGTATATGGTACTTTTTAACCTTGACTACAATGTCATACTATAACATCATTATTACAGTAATAATCTATAATGATTGCTCTACAAGACGTAAAAAGTATCAAACATATGCAACCTTTTGCGACTCGATATACATGGATACCTAATAATAAGATTATAAAGTTGGCTTAAGTAACTATTCAGGCAAAAAATTAAACGATACCTTACCACATCAACTAATTTTCAGTCGTAACAATTTTTGCAATCGAGTGCTTCTATCAGATTCAATCAAAATATCATGACGATTACTGTATTAATCTACTGTAATCTTTGAAAGTTGATCTCGACATTTATTAATTATTATCAGCTATTTATTTACAATGGTATCATTTCGATATCTGATAAATGAAACTCAAGTGTGTGATCACGTATGTGTTAATGATTCATTAATTTAGCTTAAGTCGCTAAATAATGAAATGTTTAATTTTTAAATTGTAGGATCTGGTTATAACGCTATGTAAGGAATTAAAAGCCAGCAATGACCATAACGAAATCTCGTTAACGTTACGTCGCCTGATGCTAAGCACACTACGTATATTTAGCCGTGATAGAAGTGTGGCCATGAAGTTTAGTGATGAGACCGTTATCAGTATGCTTATACAACAAATTGGATATCATACAGTAGCAGAAGATAATGTTAACACACCCTTGGACAGCAATAATGAACTAGACAACAGCGGAGCAACAACTTCAGAAGAGCCAAATCATGCTGGCATTAGCGACGATCAAATTCAGGGTATGTGAAAGTTCTTTTATTTAGCGATTAGAACTATCACTAACTCGGAATCATATTTCTTGCATTATCGAAAATTGTCAGCAGTAGCTAAATTGCAAAAAATAATTTTCTTAGACTAATGGCTAATGGCTACTGCTATTTTTTTACAGTTATTATAGAAGCTCAGAAGTGTCTATGCAATCTCATTTATCAAAATGCTAGTGCACGAGCTGCATTTCAGTAAGAGTCTAACTACCTATTTTGTTGCTGTATTCAGTACCGCTTTATTTTTTTAATCTAATTTATGTTTTAAATTAATAAATTTTATACAAGGGCAAGAAATGGGTTGGAAGGCATCTGTAATCATGTACATCAACATGACAAGTTCCCTTATGCTGTGAAAGTAATAAACTTATTATTAAGTCAATGATGATACGATAATCAATTACTCATTGTTTGCTATAATTACTTTTTCTTTCCTAAATCAGCTATATGATCTTCGTTTATTGTTCTTATTATCTGCTCTCCCTCCTCTACAGAGGTAAACTTTTTTACGATGTTGGTTCATACACATGTAGATATAACTACTGTATATATATATAACCGTTACAATAGGCAAATCTGTCTAAAAATACTTCACATGATTTTTAGGAGTACGCTATTAGAGAAGTACCAAGGGTTGAAGTTAATAATTAATCAAATCTTGCGCTACATAAGTGAAGATGCAGGCGTGAAGAACGATAACCCAGTGGATCATGATCAACAACAAGATGTAGCCAATGCATATACAAGGTTTGTTCTCGGATACTTTAAGAGATGCTTAGTACATTATTTAGATACTGTAACCAAATCCGAGTGTACAGCATGCATTTGTAAAATCGTTAGCAATTGCGAATGGACTAGCTCATTATATATCTCTTCACTAGGAGCAAGATCCCGCTTAGTGACGATTGTATGTCCTTGGTCTCTGAAAGTTTACGAATATTGTTCAATATTACTTTAGAATTGCAAAATCAAACATGTAACGAGGTGAAAATTGTTGTAACTAGCTGTAGTTCATCATATTTCATAAGATCATGATGATATTTTCATTGTATTTGAACCTGATAGTACTAATCTTTGCTATACTTTAAAAACTGCAGGAAGATCTCAAACAAATAGCTAAGCTTGTTGAGACTGTTCGAAAGTACATTATACATATATTAACAGACCTCCCTGTTGTATCAGTCCTCCAAAAGTATGCCTTTTAGGTTTATTAAGATATTTCGTTATTAAAACATGTTATTTCTTTAAATGTAATCTAAACGTAAATATTATAATTTTATATAGAGATATTGTGAACATATTTGTCAACATACCTCCAAAACTATTATCAGAGCTGCTAATATTACCATTAAACGGCGATGAGGATAACAATGAATACGAAATTAAGGAAACTGTTGCTTTCTGCAATCGTAATATGATAGTTGTTCAAGGCCTCTTGGATTTCCTCCATAGTCGGCTTCCAAACGTTGTAAGAACTCTAAACATGGAAGATACTTATAGCAAAAAGTTGCTTTTATAATTTTCAAATATTTGTCTGAATAACATGCGTAAATTTTTGATTGATTTACCGTATTTACGATTTAACTAATTAGGAATTGTTGTCGCAGCAATCAAGAGATTCTTTAAAGCCAATTCTAACCTTGTTATGTTCACTGTCTCGTGCCGATAGCTATATACGGAAGTACCTGAAATTAAAGGTTAATTAAAGCTTATGCATTCGGTTTATTGAAATAACAGTAGTAATAATAAAAATAATCGTAACTTACAGTCTATTGACAGCGTAGTTATATTTATATTGCTTAGGTACTCCCGCCCAGAAAAGATTTTACTAAGCGTCCTGAAGAAGGCAATTCATTAGAAAGCCGGTTTGCGTTGATTAATATATTTAATTGGGAAGCAATTTATTATCATTATTGTTTCTCTATTTTAATATCTATGACTAATGCCTGGATTAAATTTACTGTATTTGTGCAAAGTAAAGATTTCTCAAGTATGAAATTTGCCATATCGTAATTATTGTAGATTAATTGCGTTACTGACATCTCCTTGGGATATCAAAAATTTGGTTGAAGATTTCTTATTTGTTTTATGCAAAGAAAATGGTAGACGCTTCAGTGTTGTTTTAAGAAAATTTAATATTTCACGGATACCTAAATTTCAGTTTTTGTCGCAATTAACCGACTCTAATTAAATATTTCTCCTTTCTTCAGCTGATCGCTTCATCAAACATACTGGTTATGGTAATGCAGCTGGAATGCTGCTCTCACGTGGTCTACTTGCCGGTAATCAAACTGTCGAAACGGTCAATTACTCGTCAGATGACACCGATAGTGACACCGAAGAATACAAGGAACAACATGATAAGTTAGTATCTCTCGATTCCCTGAGCTGTTTTCATTGATTTTACGTGATATCTTGTATGCTACCAACAGTAATAATTTGTTTCAACTGTAGGATTGATCCAGTTACTGGTGCTATTAAAGCAGATAATCAAAACATATTTGAAGGAATGACAGAGGAAGAAATTGAGAAAGAAGCAGAGCATCTATTCACACTGTTTAAGAAGCTAAATGAGTAAGCGTGTTGCACCGGATTTATTTAATATCACATTGATAAGAAGGTATGCTCGTAGGAGACATTTACTGAATTATATTTATTTTTACTTGTAGCCACGGAATTATACGACCGGTTGATAGATCTGGACAACCTATTAATCTACCTGACCCCAGTATATTTAAGAAAACCGAAAACGAGGATTCGGATCAATCTGATAGCTAGAAGCATGATGTAGCAGAGTCTATCTATTAATAAATAGAATGATTCTATTTTAAGGTTGTACAGTATAAAAATGCTTTGTAATCTAAACAATTTCCTCTAAGTAACTGATTTTCAGTTTATGGATAACAATGCGCAAGAAATTGTACAGTGTCGTTAATATAGTTTATGATCGTGAATGGCTATGTATATAGTGGCATAAATGATCATTTTACCCAAATTTTAACTTCATCCTCTAGCTAATGCAGGGATTTTTCGATATTCTGGTACTATTTCCCAACTTTACAGTGTATCTTCTAAATCAGATAACCGGTAATACTAGAAAAACTGTTTTAAGATTGAGTGAAGATATTAATACTCAAAAGATCTAAATTTTAGTCTCTTTACGTTTCAAACGTGAAATATCTAGCGATAAGTAATGATAATATTCTTAGAGATTGTAACTACTATCATATTGCACGCATATTGGCATACACGTAATTGTTTATTATTGTGCACAAGGGCGACTGCTGCCTGAATACTGGCATTTGGTACAGTATTACAGAGCTTCATTCTGGTTTAGGGTTTCTTTGATAGAGTGGATAAGCTAAGCAATTGTCTTAATTATGTCAAAGTTTTAATCAAAATAAAACATTAGATGCTGTTTGCATTGGTATTGCCATATTTAAGCTAAGTGACGTATACTTCTAACCCCAGAATAAATACAATTCAATTGGTACACACTGCAAATTTGAGCTATTTTACGTAGATTTGTTCAATACCATACTTTAGTCGGAATTCTACATCGTAAATGGACTGTTAGGTAGTTATCAAGAAGCGGAGAATATGGTGCGGTGGTATAAAGTAAAAATACATAAAGACATAGTCCAAACTAAGAATAAATTTGGGCTGTACGGATATGCAAGTGCTACATACTCTCGATTCTTGTGAAAGCTAAATAAATAAGATCTCGATGTCAATTTTTCTGCACTCTATCAATTTGATATTACTCCAAGTTAAAACTTGCAAGCTAATTAATTCTATATTACACATTCGGCTGTATGATAGGATACAATAGCTTCGCTGCTTGCTATCTGCGTTTTCAAAATTGTTGCTTGATTGAAATAGGTTTCTAGAACTTGAATCAATTTCATTTATTCCAATATAATCTATTTCAGTCCAGTACTGAAAGATTCAAGTTTTCGCTAATTATATTCGATAGTTTCTTATTATAACTTATGCGGGTAGCTGATGCTCTCACTTCGTTAAAAATATAAAGCAGTATCTATATCGCGATTATACTGATAGACTGGTAACGTCAACGCTATTACCACATATGGTGTAATTAAGAGCGCCACTTTAAAAGTTAATATGCCGCCATGTACTAGTATTGATATAGCTTTCATATTACTCCTTAGAGTATATCACAACAATAACATATAGCTGTTTTATTTTTATCAGTAATTTAGTTCTTAAATGTATCGAGGATGTATAGAATTACTACTATATACCATTTTTATTTTAATTTATGCTTCAATGCGCAATTGCATTGTTGGTATATGCTTCTAAAAAATTTGCACGATATCCATTACGATAATTGTAAAGTACTGTATAGAGCTATGAGAAGGATAAAATACTGAGTATGAGATGTACATTGTTATATTATCGTAGCTTATCCTCTGTTCGTCAAACTTGATATGGCCACAGGCAACTATGATATCTCTGCTATTAAATTGGCTTATTCCACGTATCTTTATTTCACTGTTTCACACTAATTTAATCTTTTGTACAAAAATTCCTTTATTTACTTAACTAGAACATAGTATATCATACATCCGATCTTCAATCCAATTTTTAGATTGTAGACTACATCTCTTACTGTAGGAATAGCTATTACAAAGTCATGTCGAATTTTTATTCTTTTTAGACAATACTGCATCTTTTTATATTGTTTTCTATTTCAATCAAAGGAAGTTTTTTCCAGAACGTTTTATAATTCATATGTTGTTTCTTTCAATTCAGATGCAATGTACCATTATTAATAGGAGTAGCCTTTATTCTAACTATTATTGTCGCCATTAGACTACATTCTTAACATTACAGTATGCACATAAATAAGTATAAGACAATAAATTATAAAAAAATATAATATTTGCTATTGTTATGAGTATGTTCGGATTCATAAAATTACCCTACCTTATGACGAAAGGACGTTATTGCCATAGTAACTGTCAATTCTCAGTCAGATAATGTTGATTCATAACATTCAAGAGGAATGCAAGAACAAGAGTGATTTTATGTTAATTTTATATGAGAATTAACTTGGTAAAGTTTGACGTAGCTGGCGGAGAACAATAACGGCAGGATAGTTTAGTTTAATAGAGGATTTTACGTAGTGTTAACATCTTTTTCTATCTGTGTAATCTGGAATGAATTCAAGTTCAACCGATTTGCAGAATCATTATTGTGAATTGTTTTCTAGGAAAGTGATTAGTGCGATTATCCCAAAAAAGTAACCTTATAATTATTGGTGGTGTAAATTAACTAATCATGGCCAAGTCCGTCTGCTTGGGTGATGTTGTGAGCATCTATTCTGAGGAGAGGCAAGGTTATGCCTTTGCCGTCGAATCAAGGTAATTCCTTTTATCAATGAATTTTGGCAAATTGATTAATATTACTCTATATTGATTTGACATATTACTTCAATAGCTTATCAAATAATATCTGGCCAAATTTTATTCATGAGTTAGACACGATTCAACTAACTTATTTTAAGTAAAATTTATAACCACATTGATCCATAGCCACAATGCTACCTAGAATGGGATAGCATAAAGTTGGAAATGTGCGATAACTTCTTTTTCGACAATAATAGGTTTACACGATCATTTTAGAAAGTGTTAACTAACATATTCGTAGTGACTGATAGTAATCATAGTGTATAGTAGTTAAAATTGACTTTTTGTCGTACTGTTTACTTACTACGCTGATAGGGCCTTTCACAGATAGTTTTAGGCATACATGACTGCAAAGATTCCGTTTAACTGAGATTGTAAGATGTGTACTCGATCTTTCTGTAACAGTATCATCATGATCAATTCACTGTAAGAAACGAAGTCTTAGTAGGATAATCTTTGGTATATCATAATACGTTGGTGGATAGGAAAGAATAGATTATTGAACGTAATAAAAAGTGTTGATTTGAAGATGGGCTTCGTCAAAGCTCACAGCATGATTCCTAAGCAACCATACCCCTGTTAGCCTACTACAACATAACAATCTATTTATAAGAAGTTCAAATCTTATTTTTAGATAATGATGATACTTTAAATATAGTAGGATAACCTTTTGAAGGAGAGATTTCGAACTGATGAATGATTGCAAAGATACAAACTCAAGTCAAACTATGCTTAATTATTAAGTAACTTTTGCTTAAAGTAGAGGGACGAGCCTAGATTGAATGCGAAATAAGTTTCTGAAACAGGCCTGCTAATAAATAGCCAGTAAAATAAGCCTTCTTGTCGACTTAAAACGAGATCGATAGTCTATTGTAATAAAGGTGACATAGTAAAGGAAGTAGAAACAATTTTCTATTGCAAAAATAGACGACATAGCTTATGTAGCATAGGCGTGCATGCACATTATCGGTACTTTTTCAAATGGCGAAAGACCCGCTTACCAATTACACTACATGATTTCAAAAAAATCCTAAATTGATCTGTGAAAAGATACTTATTCTTAATTAATGATTATTATTTCAGCAATTTCACGAATAATAAGCCTAATGTAACGAGTAAGGAGATTTTTGTTACGCAATCACATATCCATTAAGATTTATAACTTCTAAATTCGCCGCACGTTGATGAATAGAATATATATTCGAATCTCGTCCGATTTATAATGACGATATGGATAATTTTACGGATGATTTTGTTACAGACCAAGAGATTATACTAGACAGTCTCTTTTCGTTAATATTTATAATTGAAAAAATGAATAGTTTCAGAAACTACTAAGAAATTACAGTGATAAGGGAGTGCTTATAGTCCTTTTAATATCATGATTATGTCATTACAGTGGTATTTCTGTCTGACATTAAGAAATCTCACCGGTAGCGATTAATATTATCCGGTAGCGTGTTTTTATCGGATATGCTTATTATATTTCTATTTGTTACTAGTTCGGCTTATGCCGGGGTTTGTATAGGGTCCAACCAGGATCGGCTAAATCCTCAGCTGCCCAATTCGCAAGGTAAGTTAAAGTCAGATATTTACACCGGTATAAACATTGCTTACCATATTTTCATTCGAACCTACCGAATAAAACTCGTTCGATATTTTGGATTGAGGAATTCATGATGGCATTAATGATATTTGTTTTTCTACGAGCATGATTTAATATTTGAATTGGAAATGATCTTTCCTATTTTTACTCTTTAGTTGCTCAATTTGTGATATGCACCCAAAATCGGTACAAAAATAACAAGAAATATCGGAAAGCTGTAGAAGCTAGCAGGTACAATGTGGTTATCAAGTTAGCAGTAATAGTACTGTAGTTTCCCTATTTTACTTGTGATACTTGTCTCCAAAAAGCTGCTGTCTATATGATTTAAACTTTAATTTAGCCAGTAAACTATTCACCATTCAGTAGGCTCTATGTTAGGATTAACTGCATAATATCTATATATTTGTCGTAGACGTATTTCATGGTCTCTTTAACTATACTTTGTCATCATTAATCATTATCTAAAATAGTACCCCTAATAATAATTGCATCTATATTCTAATTCGTTAAATTGTTAGTAATCTGATTCTTGCTTAAGCAAATTTTTGTCGAATGTTTTTTCCCACACAGAATGAGATTACGCTACCTATACTTATTTAGAGTTTTAATTTTAATCTAGTCCTACAAATCATACTATTACTAACCATCCATTTATCTTTTACTGTCAAGAATAAAAACCAATAATTGACATTTTCCCTTATATTAACGTAATTCTGTTTTAATATTCTTACTCTAGTCGTAATCCCGGTGATCTGTCGGCGAGGTTCCAGGTTTCAACGCTTAAGGTGAATAAGATTTTCACGTCACTATTTAGATGAGTGCTGTGTATAAAAATACACCACCATCGGTATGATATCTAGATAGGTTTTATTACTTTCCTATAAATTAATATTACTCTTAATATCGAATAGAAATTAGCCGACGCTGAGGCAATGGATAATAGCCAGGAGCAAAAGCGACAGACTGGCAGGCAACTAACCTATGGGCAAGTTGTTCAGGTATATCATTTACAGCTCATTTGAACAGTCCGCCTATCGCAATTTCCCTCATGACTAAATCAATATACTTCTAACTACTAACGTTGATTTATTTACTTTGCAATCGGAACTAGCTGAAACATGTATTCACTAATAAGTACATTAGTGCTAGCTCAACACATACTTCTCAAACCGAAACAAGCAACATGTTGGTAAGTTTGTAAGCACAAGCCAGATTTTATTTCTGATTCTAGCTGTAGCAGCAACGATAATAACTGTTTCTAAATCTGTAGCTGTAAAAGTAATGATAACATTTCAGTTAATTAGCTAACCATATAGGATCGATTAAGTTCGATTACCTTTATCTGTAATAAATTAACTGATAAACTACTTATATACTAATTTATGATTGCATCGTTTAGAGACCTAACCAAACAATTTCTCGCCTAACTTTATTAGGTTCAACTATCTGAATATGAGGCTAAGCATTGTCAATTTCGAGTGATGCCAAGATATAAAGTCAAATCTGAAGGCGATATTGTATGTTTAACTAGTTTCATAGCCAGAATAATTTGGATACTAGATAGATACAGTATTGGAATGTACAGTATATTGGTCAAGATAATCTGTCACTAAAACGGACAGGATTGCTTTCTGATAGATCCATGAAGGTGACCAAATTGTCCTTGAAAGTGTTAAATCTGCAGGTCAGTATTTGCACTGCAGCCAAAGGCGCTTTGGAAGTTTAGGGGCCCAAGAGGACAGGTAAAACAAGATATATAAATAGTTTACTACAGTAAATTGCGAAATATTTAGCCTTGGTTATGATATTAAGATGTGTTGAGATACGGTTATAATACCTAGATTTGTAAAATCGTCAATATATCCAATTTAATTAGTTACCAATGCGCAACTGAATACGAAACTAAATTAAAGCCGATATGTTACGAGTAATAAAATCTATCCTATTCCATAACTCTACACTAGCTCTCTCTGGCTTAGCTTACACAGCCTAAATAAATATTATTTATTTACGTATTCATATTCAAGTGCAAATCACTAATTTAAGACAATGAAGCTTCGGAATTGATGATAGTTTACTTTTGTAGTTAATAATTTTCCTTAATAATAACGTTAGTCATTACATCAGCAATAACTACTATACATGTATATGTAAATACAAGATGAATGAGTTATTTTATGGTACTAGCAAATATCCTAAATAGATCATGATATTGAAAGAGTCCATCACGTCTGACATTGAGGAGCCTGTCATAATTAAGAATGAAAATAATCGATTTTTATTTTGAAAATGTTTAGCTACGAAATGAACTTATCAGTCCGATTGTCTGGTTTTACAATCTATTCTAACCAAAAACCAGAGGCCAAGGGAGAGGAATTTCTGAAGGTTATTAGCTAAAATTTTAATTGCTCAGGTTGCATGAAAAGACTGTTGTATATAATACGTGAGCATTTCTAAAGGTGTTGATGATTCTTTCAAATTTTATTAGGGAGTTTCCGTTGTTCGTTTATTCCATAGAGAGTTGGAAGCTTATGTTACAGCTGAAGGATTGTTCGATGATCGAGTAACAGAGACAGGTGAGATGGAAGGCGACAAAATTAAGCGTACATCATTGCTTTTAGTCTTTGTATAACTTAGTACAGATCTGTTAACGCAAAAATACTCCTAGAATACTAGGATACTTGCTTAATGATATTTCATTAGCAAGAAGAGCATGTAAGATTCATTAACTTAAATATCCTAGAATGGTATGCAAAAATACTATCTTCAATTAGTTGAAGAACTCTATTGATCGCTAGTTAGCTTGACAAGCTTATTCGATTTCACTTTGTATTCTATCTTATCTTGCTCTTGTTGTCAGAGAAGCCTCTAAAAATATAGTTAGAAATGTAGACGTACCGATTTCCATCTCAATAAGGTTACTTATGCATACAATTAAACCGATTAGTTCATCTACGAGTTCGGCCTGTGGACCCTAGCAGACCAAAGTCTCTTAATCCTACATCATCTGCTATAACTTATTGGCAAATTGAATTACTGGATGAGCCTATGAAAGGTAATTTGTCTAGATCCCATTTAATCACCTCACTTTAAACTATTTTATGGTTATATTTTCGAGATTTATTTGAATTGAAATATTTTAACCTTGGTCATAAGTTGGAGCTTTTATTAGATCGACTACAGGCATAAAATATGGCTCAATCTTAGCAACAAGTAATGAGTTCGATTAATGACTTACCCTTTCTAAATTACTTTATTCTATAGGAAGCATAATAAATTGGGGCGATCAGTGTCGTCTTAGACATATGGTAACGAGGAAATATCTAATTGTTCAGCCAGTGGAACAATCTTACGTAGTAAGTGAACAATATTCATATCGTTGTCATTTATAGTTAATTTATCGTAGAATAAAGGAGTTATAATTCAGAGTCTACCACAATGATTATGTGTACTTACTCCTCAATTAGTATTAATATTTTGGATGTTGTTTTAGATTGATTTAACGGATGATAATAAAGATCCACTGACAGTATTCCGCCTCCATTCGTTATTTGAAGTACATATACTTGGATATAGCTTATGAAATATTTTAACTTACCGATTCAATTTTCTTGTGATCTATTTAGCCATGAGACTAACAACATTAATGCTTTTATTGACCTATGTAGGAAAATGCAGAGATTACCTACGAAAGCTATTGCAGAATTGAACATTCGCTAACTGGGCAATGGTTGCACGCTTTGCAAGGTCTACAGTCATGAAAGAATATCTTAGATTAATTCTTAAATTATGATAATCGCATTCTCGAAATAGTGATAGCTTACTCTAAGAACGATGAGATTTCTATCGTATCATTGATCTTGAGAGTTGATTACTTGTCTTTCCATTTGGTATGCTTGCTAAAGTTTCACGGGTTTTTGAAGGCCAATTATAATCAACATAAATTGAAATTTTAGCAAGTCACGATATTTTATCATTACTAGACAGTCACTATTCTAATATCTATTCTTAATCTTGAATATTTCCAGGGACATATTATAGGAAGTCAGGTGCAAGACCCGGAACTGCCGAGAGTAGAACATTAAAGGGTTTAGCTTATGATGGAGGCCAACTAAAGAAGGTAATTAGCTTCTAGAACACTGCTATTTATTTATTGATATAATATAGTATATATCTTGAAGATAGGAAAATAGTATTAGACATCATAGTTATCAATAAATATGAGGAAGTAGTCAATCGCGTATCGTAGCTACAATGAATGATGAAAATTATTTTTCCAGATGACTGTGGTAGGAGAACGCATGTATGACGACGCTTATACAATTCAAAAAGTAAGAGAAACTGATATTTTACTGCAACAATTCCAGGATAGATTTAGCTCGATTATTATATATTGAGCTTTGCGTACATATAGCAGATCTTTACAAATTCTATGTTATCCACGCTATGTAGGTGGAAGATGAATTTCTAGCAGATTTTAATTATATGGCCGGAATGGTTGCCAGTGTTCAGAAATTTATACGTAACGTATGTTCAATAAAATTGAGTAATATGGGATAGAACGGGATAGCTTTTGTGCTACCTCTAGTATATTTTACATCCAAAGTAATATGATGTATTGACTGCTAATTCGATATTCAGTAGCTCTGATAGTAATGAAAATAAATGATTTAATATTGGATCAATTATACATTAACTTTGAGCTGTCTTACAATATATTAACAGCGTGGCAATAATGTCCAGTTAAGGCATTCATCAACATCAAAATTTGTTTCGGTAAGCACTAAAATTGAATAAGATGTTAATGCTACTTTACCTACAGGTAGTGATTCTAATTTGACTTTATCATCTTCTACCTTTTGCACAGACTTTAAAAGAAATTAGTGACTTCATGATCGTTAACGGTGAACCATGTAAGCATCGCCAGAAGCTAATGAGAAATTTAAAGGTAAATAGAACAAATATACCTTCGTTCGATATATGGTTTTGTTTACGTTTAAGTGATTCTATAGCAGCTAATTATTCTAGATGATGTTAACACAAATTGAGAAGTTTAATAGACTGTTATTTAGCTTCTATAGCTAAAGTTATTTCAATATACATGATGTTATCATTTCTATTATTGGATTATTGTTTAGATCATTGAATTAATTGTGCAAATTTTGGAACCATCGGATAATGATAAGTTAGTATATCATCTATTTTCTGATTACGGTTAAATAGAACTAAGATAGGGATTATAATAGTATGACCATCTGTTTCTCATCCTTATGCTAATTTCCTCATATTGCCCATAGATTTATTCAATCAATCTATTGTGAATGCTATAAACTGTTGAATACCTATGTTATGGGAGATAGCAGGTATGAGATAGTATTGATTGATGATCAATTTGAGACTTGTTCCGCCCTTGAATAAAGTCTAATATACATGGAATTTACAGGCGATGAATAAGACTAATAATTATAATCGCTTTGACATATTTCCAATCAATCTTTTACATATGTAATAGCTTAGGAATAATATTTAAGAATACGAGATGCATAATATCTTAGCATCGTGGTATAAATAGCTCAAAAGACTAATGATAGATTATTTATACAATAATCAACAGTAAAAGTGGAATATACTACGGGTTGTCTTTAACTTGATTGAATATACGCGTATTAGCAATATTATCCAAAATACACAAGATAGAATGCAAACGATTATATGCCGTCATGAAGGAGACTCAATACAGATTTCGGCAGTGCACAAAACCTATACCATTAATGATAGGACCAGTAATCTAGAATCAATTCTATGCATGATCATGATTTCATATTGAGTATGTTGGAGAGTTTAATTAATAATTCATTTATCCATTGAACAGGAAAAATGAACTTTACATTGCTAGACATATTGATTTCTTTCAAACAAGAATCGGATTAAACGTGAGTTTTATCCCTCTATCAAACAATTATTCAGAATATATCGATCATATTAATATTTCTATCCTATATCCTATATCAAATATTGTCGAGCTTTCATTTAATATCCATTATCTTGCCAATATTAGAATAAAATTGCTTTAACTGCTGCCGAGATGACAACTGAACTTATTCGAGATAACAGGTTAGCTATACTAAAAATAATCACTTTTATGCTGCATCCTGGCAAATTCTATACTTGATATACTCCTGAAACTAGATAGAACTTTATGAAAAAGGTTCATAACTCAGTTACAGTATTGCCAAATTTTATACTAATATATTTTCAACCTTTCCTTTCGTCCATAGGAAAATTATTGATCGCATTGGTCATAAATATATCGATCAATTTATTGCTTTACTAACCAGCAATAAGGTATTATAAGGATAGTAATTTCTATTAGAGAATTAAAATTATACTATGTTATCTGTCAAACACATTCACTGCAAATCTGGCTATCACTTTTGATAGAATTTGTTCAATATCGAGTCCAAAAGAGTTTTCATTACAGGTTTTAAATTTGATATCCTGCCCTTACTACCGTTCTGATTTCTATTTTATAGTACTATCAATATCTGGATTTATTGAATGTTCTCTGTGTTTGTAATGGTCGAGCAATACCTAACAATCAAAGTTAGTCTAGACATTAAAATAGAATTATGTTGAAGTAATTAGTAGATTTAGAAAGAGTACATTAATTGAAGTTGCCAATTCTACTTTGCAGCTTACATCACTGAAACTTTATTGAAAAGTGGCAAAGGAGAAAGGGTAGGTAACTGTAAATTATCCTTCGTGCTCTTAACATAAGACTATAAAATTTTTTAGTGAGATGTAAGAAAAATTTCAGGATACATTATTTACGATAAATTGATTTTGAGAGTGGACGTATTCTTCATTTGGGCAATGATACAGTGATAATATTGGACAATTCGCAACTTAGGATTACCTCTTTATCTTTCAGAATGTTGTTTACTTGACCGAGTTAGGCCAACGTGTTAACTTGAATAAAGATATCGTTTATGTGTCGACATCGTTAGGCAGAAATTGGGTTCCACTTCATCGTTTTATACAAGTATTAAAGCTTTCATAATTGCATTTCAATACGTTACTTCACGATGCTTATCAGTAGTTACTTTTTTATTCAATGCAATAGAGTGAACGCGATCCAGAATTCCTATTCCTTGATCATCAACTTGATTTATTTAATAAGCTCTGTTGGGTAAATGACTATTGAATAAGCTGCTACGATAAGGCTATTGATTAATCACCAAATTCGACATGAAACAACGATTACATTTTGTAAAATCTTGATATCATTCCCTTTCTCTTTCAGGGTCGCAATGAGTTTGCTATTAAAACCATCACTCAGGTATAGTTTCCATTCCTTGCTACAGGGCTCCTAATTTTAACGACCTTATGATATAATGATCATGAGCAAGATAAATATTCGTATACTGCGACCATGGCTTAGAAGTCATACAAATTTACTCTTAAATATTCTAGGATCTCGAATATTTAACATGGCAGGAAGCATTTATATGTCTTAGAAATGAAGATCTGCCAGATCGATTACGTGCTCGATATTGCGATCTGATAACAGGTAAAGGATTATTTCCAATTTTTTAGAACTAGCTTGGAAGAGTTTCGTCATATATTACAATTATTTCAATGGAATAAGAGATGAAAACTTTTATTCGTTATACTTAAGAGTTGATTAAAATAATTTTCTAGGAATGTTTATCAATATACCTGGCAATCATTCAGTTCTTGATGAGCTACAGTTATCATTTGTAGGTCTATCTATTAATATTCTGTAATAGAAGAGTACTTATCTTACTAATGATCTATAAATTTTATTGAAATGGTTATAGATTTATAGTGACTTGGTCAAGGATCGGAATGGAAAGAAAAAGGTACCATTAAATTAATAAGAATTTATCTTGTGTATCTATCATGTTGAAGATATTATACGATCATGGTTACATTTAATGTGGTTCATTAATTCAAGAAGTCCTTTCTGTACATTCATAGCTCTGTATACAGTATTTTATAAGTTAGCAAATATTTTGATCGCCAGGCTAACATTTTTTACTCATAACAGATTCAAAATGTTCCATTATCCTTCATGTCTGAGCTAAAGCAATGGATTGCTTCATTCTTAGATGCTAATAAGGTTAGAGAATAGGCTGCCCTGGAATTGAACTTGAAATTAAGATAAAATTGTCTACAAAATAGGAATATTTATGCTTAGTATACTTGTAAATATTAATGTAATAGCTACCGTACTACGCTAGAGAATAGGGCATTGAACATGAAAATTTGATAAAATTAAGATCAAAATAGGAATAGTAATACTTAATATACTTGTAAAATATTAACGTAGTATAATAATAGCTAGATTAGACAATACGATATTTAAACGAAATTATGATAAAATTGATGTCAAAATAGGAATATACATATTTAATACACTTATAAAATGTTAATATAATGGCTGCAAGAAACTTATGGTATTCCAAGATTGATTCGATTTCAAGATTAGTTAAATAGAATATTAGATATACAGTAAAGGCTATAAATAGATCAATCGTATCCTAAATATGTTAAGTTTCAGCATATAAATGGAACAATTGTATATCTGTCTTGATTATTAGAAGTAGTTTTTATCATGTTTAAATGATTGTAATATAGGATTCAAGAGTAGAAATTGAGTACATTATCGTTTCTAAATTTCTCAGGCAGCGATATTACCAAAATTATAATAATTATCTGACAGTGGTTAAATTAATAGCTGAGTTTACATCAGCTATAATTTAAGAGCCGTATAGTTTAAAATTATATCCTAGAAATGAAATTCAAAAGATAATTGTTTCCGAGAGTCATTCTATATCGCGTTTGAATTTTATAATTTAGGATATGACTGCTTCGTTAATTGGACATAATATGCTGATCGAGCAAGTACGTACTCAAAATTAATGGAATCATTCAATTTAATAAAGGATAGTTTAGCCACTACTACCATTTAAGATTGCTGATGACTTGATATTTAATCTATGTATATTCTATGGTCACTACATGATTAGGTTTTAAGATTAGTCCAAAATCTAGTGAGATTTGGATATTATGAAGATCTAACAGATATGGAAAAGCTAATACCGCCATTGTTATCCTTGCTGGATGGTCGCAATGATAAGCCTGTTCCGTTTTATACCTGTAAGAGACCGAAATAATTTTCTTCTCGTGACTTATTCTAAGCTTCCCGTTACATTATAAATTATATCAGTGTATAGAGAATTATCCGATGTCTGATATTAAATTATAAGTTATTTCTTACCTATAATCACTTTAGCATTAAATTCTGACGAGACTGAGCAATTATTACGCCAATATCGTGAAGTCGATCGATTTAAAGAAAGTGCTGAGACGAAAGCTGTGGTAGACGCTAAATACCAGTAAGAAAATTAATTTTATTTGTTAAATTGAATTCATAAAATAAATGCCTTAGAAACGCAGCGATGAGACTGATTTGACAATGATCCTATTCTAAACTATTATTTTATTTTACAAACTAAAGGGCTATGGAAGCTGTAGATTTGCTGTTTAATTTTCGGTTTAATAAACGTTTAGAGGTATAAATATTTTGGAACGGATCTATTATCCTATTATGGCAGCATACCTTAAAATTTTATTCTACATTTCACATATACTGTAGCAGCTGATCGGTTATTGAATTTCTGTTTTCATTCATGTGTAGCTCTTTATAAATGAATTCAAGCACATTTATGAAACTAGCGATGATCTCTATTTTATTACAAATGAGAACTTTAGTTTAGAGGGCAACAGAAGGTAAGTTTAACCTTTTAATTTACATTTTCATATGAAAATAGCCATTAAAAGCAATTTTAAAAGCATGCAAGGATTCGTCGATAGGATAATGAATCTAAATTATTTTGTCATAGCCTTTGTAAGAAAGCTCGAGAAAGGCTTAATGAAATATTTGAAGCAGCCCAATATTTCGATACAGAAAGTCTACGCGATATATTTTTGGTAAGATATCTTAGATTTGGTTTCGACCAAGATAGTATAAGGCTATTTTATCCGGACCTTAGCATCAAATTTGCATTATCGATCCTGATGAAATTTCAATTACATCAATAATGGCAGGATCTATCCAAATATGAATATAATCAAATGGTGGTAAAATCCATGCACTTATTACATCGTCTATATTCTACAAACTATACACTATTCGATCGTGCTGTTCAAGCCCAGGTAAGATAACTTTGGGAATGGTGTTCCATTTTATGGCGCTTCTAGAGAGTAGTGTTTAGGTTATATCGCTGTTCTTCCGATATCGTAGGTTTTAATCAAAGATTCATCATGTGAAGTTTTTCGCCATGCTCAGAAAGCGGTGCCAGTTATCCGTCGAATTCTTGCAACCAATATGAATAACGATCAAGCAACAACATTGGGTGAAATACTCGACACTTTTACAGGGTTAGAATGAAAAATCCTTTATAAATTTACCCAATTCAATTTGTTGCGCTTCATTTTTCTTATGGTATCTTTAAGGATTAATTTTCTGTTTGATTATTTAAATTTGCTTGATTTTGATCTTGTAGCTTTTGCTCACTGGAAAACGATCCTACCGAAAGGCATTCGATGAATCAAACTATTCTGTACAATTTTGGTACGTTCAATAATTTTTCTTATCCTCTAGCTTGCTTACAACCTCTGCACAGTAAAATTCAGTTGGATTAACGAATTTGATTACACTTCGAGCTTGTTGTAAGGCAGCCTTATAAATAAAGATTCCATCGGATTTTTACTTTCTCTTACAATAATTAGAATTAGTTTAAGCTAAATTTATTTGGTTTTCACATTGAGCTAGAATAAGAGAAGAGTTTTTACTTGCTTTTGCATTGATTTAAGCTAGTCCTAGCTAGATATACCGTAAAATTCGATTGAAGTTGCACTTTCTTTGACTTTAGTTTGACTTTGAGCTGATTCTGGAATCAGTTTACAGTTAATTGAAATGGATTGATAGCTTCTTTAACTTTATTTTAATCACAGCAGTTGCTAAAGTTATCGTAGTTTCTTAGCTATATAGCTATGTTGTAGTCTTATATGGTCATTTTTTCTCTAGCTACCCTATCAGATATTTTCATTACTCAAACTTCTTTTTACCTGCAGCAGCCTCTAACGTTGCCGTAGATTCTTAGTTGCTTTGTAAGCTCACATGGTTATTTTTTTTCTAGGTATTCTATCAGACATTTTCGATATTTTGGGGCAAGAATTTGATGCAAAGTTGGCGGTAAGACAATTGAATAATTTCCCAATATAAACAATATGGCTGATAGTAATAAATACAGACCATCATTTCTTATTCGCTTTGATCAATACTACTACAGGATCAATATAAGGGAGTTCAGATGATATTTCAAAAAAGTTTCAGTCTATTACAAGCTTTGTCTAGGTAAGTTCGTGATTTATTCTTTCATTTACCGCATTCACGGTTAGTAGTAAAACTTTTTGAGGCCTAACTAAAGTGAATACTGTTTCTTTTTGCTGGCTCTCAATATTAAATGACTAGTCTGAGATAAAAATGAGAAATAATTGCTTAATTTTCTACCTTAATCTGGCCAATCTCTACCGTTAATTTAGTGTATTCCAAAATATTTTCTAGGATTAAATGTATTTCATGCCATTCATTTAACGTTAATATGTATTCCATATGAAATTAAAGGGGCAATAAAACGATCCAAGATCGCGTCTATAAGCGATTAAATTCGCTGCTGAGAGTAAAAGGAGCTGTATCTAGCATGGCATTAGCTCTAACTGAGATTTTTACTGGTAATAAAGATACTTGCTTGAAAATTCGAGCTTCAGAAGTGTATGCAATCATGAAATTAGTTGCCGAATATAAGGAAGAAGCGCCGGAATTGATCGACTTATTAAATGCTATCGTTAAGGTAATGCTACAATAGCTGCATCCAGTTAGAGAAGTTCTATTTTCGTCTTCGGTACGTTAAAATGTACTACTAAGTATGATCACTAATATAAATTTCCTTACCTTTTGCACGCCTATCGGTAAACTAGGTCGAAGAATTAGATTTGCCTATTAAGCGCAACCAAGGTTTAGTTATGAAATATTTTATGGAATATCGAGATCGAATTGCGGAAATTATCGATAATGTCGATAAAAGGTGCTTGCAAAGGATTGATTTCATGACCTAATCATTACTAAAGTACTTATTCAAGATAAAGAGAGTGAGAATGTTCTATCTTATACCTTTTAATGAGTAATTTAATTTTTTTGAACGATATCATACAGGAAAGCGTTATGCAATGATCAGGACAAGTCCAGTAAACTGCATCAATATTGCTACAGTCTGATTAATTTATTAGCCACATGTGCAGAGGTATGCTCCCAATAACCTATCCAATCCAATCCACTTTAGAAGTTAAATGAAGAGTTGATATAGAACTTCTATGTCAATATTGTTCTCTACTATATGAATAATTTTGGTAATCTGTCCTTAGAGTTAATTAAAATAGATTAAATTTTCCAGGATTTGAAATTGATGTACAGATTAATTTTAACCTTATCAATAGCTATCAGTTATGCCATAGTTTATGAAATTTTATTTATTTAATTTCTAATTTTCAGTTGTAATATAGTTTATAAAATAATTTCATTACTTTATTCTATGTCAAATTATCCAATTAATCAGAATTAATATTGATACGTAGATAAACAGATTAGTTTTTAATATCATATGTCGTTAATAAATATCTTACGCTACTTTGGTCCTTTATAATATGAAGCTTGTAATTAGAACTCTCCCAATTCTAGACAGAGCGGATAATAATAGCTAATTCTGATGTAGAGATTAATTTTAGTTTGTATAAGATACAGTAAAAGCCCGATAAGTGCGACACTTTTGGTTTGTAATTAACTTTATGAAATTATTTCATAGGGAGAAAACAGATTTATTGAATCGATTTGCCAAACTATTTTGCCCATTGAAGACATCGTAGAGGTTTGTATAGACGTTATTTTCCATTGGATAGTGATAAATAAATATCACTAGCGATATAATACTTTGGCTGATAAGTATGAAACTTGATTCGTGGATTCTTTCTTAGGTTTTAAATCATCCAGGAGTTGATGATGATATGAAAAATGCCTACTGTCGCTTTTTCCTTTGGGTCTACTTAAATACAGCTGGAGGAATGTATGAATCTGGTGCAGCTGATCTAAACCATGATGAGTATGTTCATCTTAGCTTATTATTTTCATGATAGTATACAGAACTGGTCAAAATATTGGGTTCATTGCTATTTTAGTTCCTAATATCGATATATTCCTGTTGAAGTTACTTAATTTTCAATTTTTTCTTCTTTACCGTAGTAAAATGTGGATATTTATCTCGAACATTTGCTCATCTATTGGCGCTTTTAATGACTTTGCAAAACTTAACCCTAATAAACTCAAGGATATCTTTAAGAAAAATATCGGCAGTATGGGGTAAATATTCTGGAATGATCGTGACTTTATTATCACTTTGCAACATACTAATTGATTGCTAATTTTTCATCTAAAATAATTAGGTACGAAATGGGGAAATATCGTAGTATGAAGAATTATCTATTAGAGGGTGTTATACCGCTATTACAGGTGAGATTCAGATAAACCATTCCTTTACTGTAAATTTCTAATTGCAATACGGATCCTATCTGTGGCTGCTTGTTAGATTGAGGTGGCTGAAGATTATCTAAATAGTTAGTAATTTTCGCGTTTAGTGGTCTAACTATCCTACCGCAGTGATCGAGCTTGATCTTCCTGTAGAGATGCAGAAATGATATAAATACGGTTCACTATTAGCCGCTGCATCGGGCTAATCTGGTTATCGATATAGAGTACCTACAAGATTAAACTGAGAGATTTGATTTATAGTTTAAAAAACAGTTCTCACTACTGATATGATGAAGATACAGTTTCAATTTATGCCATGTTTTAGAATATGAGTAGATCTATCTATAGCCGTACTGGAGCGATTAAATCATCCACGAGCTAGATTTATGCCTTGACAAAATATACAGGCTGCTTTGATCGTTTATGAGTCAATATCCAAGCAGTGATTGAGCTTGGATACAAACTCATAAACGATCAAATCTCTAAGTTACTTCATTTGATCTAGTAATTTATCTAGTATCAATTTTAACTTGCGTTATTTCAACTTTAGGCATTCTTCAAGCGTGTCTATATCGTAGAATCGGAAAGAGTTGATATGGAACAGAAACATATTGATGCTCTTGGCCAAAATTTAGTGGTTAGTACTTACTCTTGAACTATCGCTAGTTTACATGAACGCGACGTTAAAAATTGTGTTCTCCTCGTAATTATAATTAGCTATTAGTTACCCTATAAGCAGGCGATAATCTTTTCCCCTTGTAACGATGGTATTTTCAAAATTATGTTGAGTAGACCTTTTGTGGGCTAGTAGCTGAACATTTAACCAGCTCTTCCAATTTAAATGCCATGATCAACTGTACGACGACAGTTCTACCATTAACAACTTTACCTATAACCATTTTGAGTGATTTTCAAGATCGTTTTTCCAACCAAAAGTCAGTGATGATTGAAAATCCAGCTGTTAAAGTAAGTTAAATCAAGTTGCAAAATATCCTACCGTTACAAAAGTAAATAACGTCGGCATTATCTACCGCTAGGCGTATAACGAGTATTATAAAGAAGAATCCCATTTAAATGTCATCTTGAATATCTTTGCCGTGAATTTTAAGCGAATTTACCAAGGCGAAAATACCGTCGAAGCGCAAACTGGATTTAATAGTTCCGAACGTAAGTTGCCAATAGAACTGTTTGTAGCGGTGATTTTACTCAGTGCTAAAATCTTACTCCACGTATTCGCTTAGAAAGATCCCATGTATATTCTATGCCTTTATCTTATCCCTAAGCATGGTTATTGCTTTTAAATTACTGCAGAAAACACACGTATTTACTTATGAAATTCCAATCTACATTCTATATCTTTACTTCATCCTTAAACATTGCTATTAAATTACAGCAGAATATTCCCGTATTTACTTATATTTAATCCAAATTCTATGCCTTTACTTAATTCCTAAACATTGCTTATGACTTATTACAGAACACATCCGTATTTATTTTTAAAGATCCAATTTTAAATTCTATGTCTTTATTTTATTCCTAAACTTTTCTACTGCTTTCAAATTATTGCAGAGTATACGCGTATTTACTTATTCCGATTAAGACACAATCTAAATTCTATGCCTTTATTTCATTCCTAAACTTTGCTATTTCCTTTCAATGATCGCAGAATACGTTGAAGAAGGTAGCGATAACGAGTTGCCTTTAGGGGAAGAATTTCAGCTATTTACCCGATGTTTTGCTAGGTTAGACTATTTTCTACGACATTTACTCAGTTGAATATTTGGCATTTTAGCCAGATCATTACCTTAATCGAACTCTATTTGATCGATATAATACCTGAATTGTTATCATGACCTCAATTCTTTTACAGAGAGTCTCCGACGGGAGTAATTTTCACTAATGCTGAAAAATTAGTCAAGCTTTTAGAGTAAGGGATTTCAATTCGTTTCCATCATTGAAATTGCTACCCTATAGAGTATTATTCTACTGCAAGGTTGCCAAATCACTTTCAACCAGTACCTAATGACTAGGGCAATTTTTATAATTATTGTATAGAATTTCATCATCAATGACTCGTTTAAGTGAAAAAGAACGAATACGACAGGAATCATTAGATGTTAAATGTTTAATGGTAAAATACTTCATCTATCGACTTTGCAATCATACTTGAGCTTTCGACTGCTTTCTACGATATCTAGAAAATGATTAATCCTTGATTTTGATGTTAATAATCCTATTCAAGACTTTACGTGCTATTATATATAATCAAGTTATTAAATTACCGCCTGATTGGGAAGAAAAACCAAATGAATGGGAAAGGTAAGTTGGAATATTGCCGAGGTAGTATATTGATCTATCCGACCTCAATATCCAAATTCTATTTGATTATTTAGCCTACTGAAATCATTGAAAATACACAAAACACTCTAATTAGTTACGGAACGATGATTAAGGTAAGCCCATCGATGGCATTGAAATATCCTTGAATACTATCATAAAACGAAATATCAGTCGAGAAAGGTTTTCTTATACGCATATCTACTCTCAAATTGGCATCCTATTTAGGTCTTACCTTTACTCTCCCGACGAAGTGATGACATCATTCGAGAATTACTATCTTTTTTAGCTGCTATGCTCCTTGAGGGTAATAGTATGGCTCAAGCAAGTCTAGCGCAGTATTTTCTTGGCACTAGAGAAGAAAGTTTCTTTTTCGCTATTAAAGGACGTATGAATATGTCGATGGTTGCTACTAAAGAAAAGTAAGAGCAAATTCTAGCGATTAATTCGTTCAATATGGTAATCTTGTTGGGAAGAATTCAAATAGCATAAATTGGTCTATACATTAAGTTAACTTAGACGTTTTGAAAATGATTATATATTATAACTAACGTTAGCCTATAGGAATATTTCCAGAGATGTATTATAACCAATTTTAGGGCATAACTTAAAATAGTCCTACTGTAGTAATGATATCAAAATATGAGCAGCTAATTTAAAGATGCCGTAGTCGGTATAAAGTTTCCATTGCTTTGGATATTGCTAATATGCCTTAAGGAGAAAAGACTAAAGCTCAACTCTATCTATCTTAGGCGAGTTTTATTAGCTCAGCATAAAGCAAAAATGGACGAAAAAATTCAGCAAGCTAAAAGCTTATCGAAAGCTGTCACAGCTGGTAAATCTGGAGGCAAGGTAAAGAGGACATTGGTGATAGTAGTTACTCTTTTATTTTCCTATTTTCTATTAGTCAATGTATTCACTAACTCTGAACACTTCTCTACCGATGAATCCTTTGGCAATGATCTTGTATTTACTCGTCTTTACTTTATTCATCAGAAATTGGTGGAAGGAATGACGCATGGTAAGCGTAAATCCAACGCCGTTGCTCCTTTGGCAAGAGTTATGAAATCAAGAAGCGAGAGTGAAGTATGTCGATTAATATAAGTAATATTGGTTACAATTTAGAGTAGAATTACATCTAATTATCATTTGAGATTATTATAGCAAATCTGTCCAACTTAATGATGAACATTTCTTCACAGTCGCCATTGGATCAAGACGATAATGATGAAATCCCACACGTTAAGATCATGAAAAATGGAGAAAAACAAGTGAGTTAAAGTCTAATCAACGATTGCACGGACGATAGGCTGAATAGCTTGTTGTAATTTCGATAGCTTTCTACTAGGAATAAATTTGATATCTAATTCTGGAACTAAATCTAAATTAATACAGAAATTAATATCTCAAAATTCGATATCACGATTCAGCCTGCCAATGGAGTCTGAAATCGAGGTATAGTAGAAAATTCCTGAATATGAATCCGTTTTACCAGCATCCACGATAAACTTTAATAGAACGCTAATAGTTGTAAAATTTTATCCATAGATGAAGAGCGTTGCTCAAGAATCTATCGAAGAGCAATCAGAAAATGCCATACTCAATCTTTATAAGGATGATGGCTATATAGAATTAGTTTTACGAGTATTAGCATCGATGTGTGACGGGCAAAATACTACATTACAGGTGAAAAAATGCAATATCCATTTTTCCGTCAATATCCATTGACTTCTAACTTTGGTGTTATTTTACAACTCTGTTTCTATAGAATTATCTTCGAGAGCAGCTGGACAACATTAAATCCGTCAATTTAGTTGCTGAAACAGCGAAATACTTACATATGCTCTACGATAACATCAACTCTAACAATATATCACTGACAACGCAAATCTTTGTTACATTAATAGAATATTCAGCGGTAAATAAACTGTTCCTTATTGAGCTAGATAGAAGTGAAAATGGTTGTAATAACTACTGTTCTTGTTCGAGAAAATTGCAATTAGTGAATCCTCTACCTTATCATACTTTCATTTATCCATCGTTAACCTCATGCAATAACGAATTTTCTTGGATTATAGGGCTGCTTTGAAAATCATCCGGTTATTTATGATAGCAAAATAATTGATTGTATCAATTTCATTTTACGCGAATCATCATTTCATGGCTGCTCTGAAGAAGAAGTAAGCTAACTGAAGGGATTCTAGGGCTAAGAGATTAATTATTGATTTAAAGAGTATTTCATTAACAGATCTCAAAGCATGAGAGCATCAGTATAATTTGGAAATTATTACGAATTAATCTAGAATTATTTATATATCGCGGATAATCCCGCTAGCACGGATAGCGTTTACTTATGGACTTGTACTTGCGTTTGCATTTAGATTTATACTCTGAAGCAAGCTATTGTAAAGCTAGTAGCTTGCCTGATTGAAGATAACTGTAAGCAGTCCTTAATGATTGCAAGAGTAAGTAGAATGAGGGGTGGAATTGATTATGTTCTACCTTTCTTTATGCTAGCGATGCCATAGAGATCGTTAATGTTTTGATGCATATGCTTGTTTAGGAAATTAAAGAGACGATTGATGTAAATGCTGTTCTCGATGTAGCTACAGATTGCTATAGAAGACAGGTAATGATTAAGAAATTCGATCCTTCTTAAATGCCTTATCGCCAGCCAATTCACAGACTTTTTTATTTTCATTTTAGCAAATGGCACAAGGGAAATTTAAAGATCTAGTCGTTGATGTTGGCTTTGGTTATTTTCACATCCTTATGCGTTTACGTGATTTGGATGAAAATAAAGTAAACTTAGAAAGTAAGGCTGGAATAACTTGTTTGCTGCTCGTCGATGAAAGTCTAGGCCTAGTTACTCATTTATTTTTTTCCTTACTTGATATTGATAGCTATTATTGGTTGTGATTCATCTGTGCTACTCGACAAGACCAAAGAAAGAGAAAAAGGTCAGCATAGCAGAGAGAGAATGATGCTCTGATATCAATGATCAAGAGTTATATTTCATTACCGTATAATCTAAAGCCCTTAAAAACCATTTGCAATTTCTAATGCTACAAGTTTCTCAACGTTCCTTTTAAAATTATGATAGATGAGAAATTTATTCGATGGAAAGCCATGGAATATTATCAATACAATTCATTATCCATTGAAATTTTACGTGAAGGAATCTTACAGAAAGTTCATTTTCGAGTACTGGATAAGGTAGCGTAATTAGTTTAAAATTGATCTTTGTTCTATATCGCGGAAGGAGTAAAGTTCATCCACAATTATGATTGATAGAAGACGATTCGAATAGTTTAATGCTTCTATTTAGAGATGAACCTAATACTCTGGCAAAGTTTTCTCATTTGTATTTCTAATTATGATAGGGAAAGTTAAGAGAAGGAGTCAAAGAAAAAGTAAAATGGAACGTTAATAGAACATCACCGAGCAATAAACTTCGAGATTTTGTCGATTGGTCGAAAGATATTCGAGAAAACATTCGATATCAAGTGAGTAAGATCATTCATAAAAGAGTTACGCACTAAAGAACAAAAACAGTATTCTAGAAGCATGAGAAATACTATATATGCAGTATAATCTTTTCTTTTCTACTTAGAGAAAGTAAATCATTTATAACGCGGTTACAATGATTTAAGTTTAGCTGGCCTTCTGTAGGGCATGACCAGCTATAAGACATTAGTTACATACAAGCTCGAAGAATACTGTGATTAGTGTTCGCCCCTAGTTCTTTTTCCAGCTACGGATAACTTATAACATGTTATGAATGAATTACTGATTTCTGGAATGTATCTTTATCTTTCAGTCAAAAATTTTAAGTAACAAGATTGCAGCCTTTTTTGTTAAGAGAGCGTAAGTATCTGAAATTCACGGATCAATTTATAAAGTAAACGAGGTGTCTGGTATTACTACGAAATAATTAGAGAATAGTTTGAGGTTCTGTCCTGGTGGACGTTAAAGTAGTAGCTTGTTATTGTCTCGATAGCTGTAGGGCACCGGATAGGTCTTCATTAAGGAAAGAAATTTCCATAATCATTTGTCATGACAACCTTTCATAAAATTTTGATCGCTATCTCAATAACAGCTTTCATTTGCTATTTGCTAATGTAATAGAGATGTAGCGAGTTAATCGATATGTTACGGCTAAAACCCGATCCGGCTATAATGCGTAATAGCCAACTACAGCCCGAATTAAGAGTACAATCTTCTGAATTTCGAGCTTAAGACGGCTATATAAGAGCCTATAAGTACAATGTTCACCATATCTAATATTACAGTAATATTCGCCTAGTGTTTATGCAGTTTATCAGATCTGTTCTAGTGAGAATTCAGGAAGAATACTTATCATCATACTTGAAATAGCCAATACGGTACCTAAAGTAAATCTTGGTTAGCTATCCTAACAATTTTCTACCCATTTCATTTGTTACAGAGATATTTTTACACTGGTTTTAAATATATTAACGCTAGCTATTAATATTCTAATGATTGTGGATTGGAGAGCAGCTGAATTTGGCGTTGCTAATCCGTATGTAGAAATATTATTAATCTCTATTTTATCCAACTAATTATTTCAGAAATACTTCAAACTAGCGTATCGAATCAATTAGCGAAATATTTTTATCATTCATTAAGCGCAATTTAAATCAACATCTCGTAATTAAATTTTATTCTATTCTGTCTAAACTCTAGTAATGCAACTTTATTTGCAAATCCTATACCCGTGGTTACCTTACCTATCTATAATATATTACTGTTTACGATGGGACCGCTGCATAGTGTGGCTTGTTTATTCATCATTATAAGCTATTTTCTATCAAATCAACCCAAATTACCTACAATTGATATTTGGGGATCAAGGTGACAAGATATTGCAGTCAAATTCTTCACATAACTCAAATATAAATGTTAAACTGTGCAGCTTATTCATTTTTGCTATCTTGGATCATAGGAAAAGAGAACAAGTTAATATTTTTGCCCCAGCCAAGCGGCAACGAACATCCTATTTAGAGCATAAATTTCTGAGCTTTAAAACCTTTTATTTATTGGTAAATTCATTTATCTACAAATCTATATTTAAATAACTTGATATAAGTTAAAGCATTGTATCTAGCATCCTTCACCAGTTAATCAATTGATCTACACCACGTTATATCGATAGTAAAGTGATCCACTTTAAGAAATTATAGCGTTTACCAGTCCTGTATGAATTGCTAATAATTCACGAGCCAATTCTGATAGTACAGTTGCTAAGAAATACCTAAATTTTTTGCTATTTGATCATTGTTTGTTTTAATTAGCTAACCTAAGGTTTCGTTTATGTCATGATGATTAGATATTGCTAGTCTTTTCTATCTTGGGCACTTGTTATCGTGGCTACTTTTTTGCCTTGCATCTCTTACACACGGTGGCCAACAATAATCTCTTTAGTCGAATTATTAAATCTGTGACATTAAATGGTAAGATTTGTTTATATTTATTGCATTGATCTTCATTAATTGCCTCCTTAATTCGAATTAAATCATAACTAATAGAGTTATTATTCTAATTATGGAATTGGGTTGTGTAATTGAGAGTTACAATTATGATGTTGAAATTATGAAATTTGCCTTAGTAACTAGAATTGGATCATAACAGGGGTAGTGTTTAATAATCTGATTGCTAAATTGGGTCATATAGTTGAATTAAGAATTTAGTTATCTATAATTTTCCTAATTTAGATTAAATCGTTATGATAGAGCTATTGAAATCAATCTAGCTATTAAGTCGAAACAGGAGAACTGGAATTAGCCAATTTTACCAGAAACAGCCTTCTTGATTGAAATTATTTTAACGGATGTACAAAATGATTCATCAGCTGTACTGAGTTCTTTAGTTTAAAAATGATCAGATTTACTTTTAGTTGTATCCTTAATTAGGATAAACATAGTATAGTATGTAGAATGGATGGTCTACAAGTCCCATTTAATCTTTTACATTACGCTCTATTTTATCTTTTAAATCTTAAAATATATTTATCCATATTTTAACTTGACATTTGGCGGTCTACTCATTATTAATACATTTAGCAGTCTACTCTTTGGTAATCCAGTTAATAGCCCTCAATTAAAATTATTTCATCCTTTCGTTTTAGGGAGATCACTGATCGTTGTCGGCATTTTGGGAGTGATTATGATTTATATCTATTCAGTAATTGCTTTCGCTAGCTTTAGAGAATGGTTTGATAGCCAAGGTGGTCTATTTTGTGGAACCCTTGGACAATGTTTTGTAACTGGTATAAGAGTTGGATTTCTTAGTGGTTTCCATGAGGTAAGTTGCCATTCACTTTTAAACTAGGATTATTAATAAGCTTATTACATCGAATTTCTTAACCCGTAATCAACTTTTATCTAGAGTCGTTATAGTTGCATGCAATATTATATTAGATCACTAAGAAAAGATCTTTAACTTACAGTATCAATGAGTAATTATTGGTCATAGAATCACAACCTTAAATATTTATTAGCCATCTACAAATAGTTTTTAGAACGAGATAAGGCTGTATATGTACATCTAGTAACACATTTCGATTCAATATTCTTTGTATATACGTGCATACTCAATATCAATTCTCGCTATGTTATGGCTGTTAGGCGCTTGGTCCGACGAATCAAAAATTTGAATTCTATGCCTGGAAATTAGTATTTGATTTATCGTTTTACATCTTAGTCACGACTATTGGTTTAAACATCATCTTTGGTATCATCGTTGACACATTCTCAGAATTGCGGCAAGAAAAGGTAAAACCAGTCGAACGAGCAATTTAAAAGAGGATAACAGCTGTTTCATGAACTTCATTATTCTAAAATTAAACTCTAACTGCTACTATTTTGAGATATTAAACAAAATTGAGTTTGGCTTAACTTATAGCATTAGCATGTAAATCTTTTTCTCAGATAAATTAACATTTATCCCATTATCTTACCGTAGTATCAAACAGAACATGATATGGAGACCTACTGTTTTATTTGTAGCAAGACAAACTACGAATTTGAACATTATGGAAAGGTAGTAATAGCATAAATTGCAAAATTAATAATACCTGTAGATGAATTTATAGAAAGATATATGCGCTATTATTTCAGTTGTATGGCAAGCTAAATAAAGACCTACGTGTGTTTTCGAAATAGTCTCTTTTGCTAATTAACGTATGTCTTTCCCACAGGGATTTTATCATCATGTTAAACATGAGCATAATATGTGGGATTACCTCTACTTTTTCATCCATTTGGATGATGTTCGAAAGAATGACTATACCTATATTGAATTATATGTTCATGAATTGGTAAGTTGCCCATAAACTTGTCTAAATTGAAAAAAGCTGAAAAGATTTCAAATCTAAACCTTAGTTAATTTTCCGTCTCGATCTTTTTTGAACTTCTCTCCTCGAGAGCAAAGTAACGTAATTAATACTTGTTAGATAATACAGTTGATGTTGTATGCTCTATACTGCATACTCGCACATCGACTTCTTCTAATAGCAGCAATAACGACGATATTTTAATAACCAATTATATCATAATGCAGATGGAGAAAGATCAATTAGAATTCTTTCCCTTGAATCAAGCCTTGACGCTACAAGATTTTAATACATCTCAAGAGCAGAAATTAGAAGATTTAGCTCTTAAAGTAGAAACTTTAATTAAGCGACAAGAAGAAAATGTACGTATACTAATAGAATGCCGCGTATTAAAATAAAATTACAAGATTTGTAGTTTTAATGGACACTTTCAATTAGACATGTAAAACTAGATACTGAGTACTGTATCGGCATTAGTGGAGACTCTTAGAAACTTATAAAGTGTGTTTCAATAATAATCTTTGCTCATGTTATACCCTAAATTAGGACTTGGTTAAGAAAATGGAGAACAAGCGGCGGAAAGAACAAGATTGGGAGCAGATGCATCGAGATATTGCTATTAATAACGGACGTCAACGATCCAATACAGTTACCGGATTTAACGAATATGCTGCTGACGCTGAGGTTTAATAACAAGTAGTCAACATCCATTTAAGTAAATGTGTATCATGCCTATGTATCTGTTATATGTGCTAAATGTGGAAGTAGCCAGGTTATTAAATTTTCCGTGTATCTCTCTTAGCCTATATGAAGAATGCTTTTATTAGTATACTCGACCAGAACCAGGTTATACCTTGATAGTTTATAGCTATTATACGATTTATTTATTAATTTAAAATTTAATTGTATAATTTCATTCTACATTCTAAGAATTTTTAGTCGATTTTTCAGTATTTTTAAATGAAGATAAGGATTCAATGTCATTATTTTGAGTAGTAGCTATATTTCATCATAACACTTGCATATATATTCTGAAAGAATTTAGTCTACTTCAAATTATTGACGTGCCTATTTTTTTTAGCAAGCATTTCATAATTTGTATTACACTTAAAAACAGCTCTTGTGATCCAAGCATAATGGATTCATTTTGAAAATGATCATTGACGACCTAAGCCTAATAATGGTTTAGTAAATCCAAAAGCCGTATGGAAATCGTTAATAATTGTTCTTGCATGTTGCATCTTCTGGTGCTACGCAATTTTTATCATAACCAAGATACTTTTGCTAGCTCTATCAAGGTTATTTTAAGGCTTAAGGCCCTATTGCAAAATGACTTAACCTTATTCATTTCTCCAATAATTAGTATTTGTTTATGTGTTTTAAGAAGTTTCGTATTGCTTAACGGAAATTATAAGAATAGGCAATTAGGATTTATTGCTAGCTCTGCCAACTTTTCTACCAATTGTAGATTTTCGAATACTAAATCAGAGTTTAAATCAAGGTTGATATATTGGTATTTCAATCATGGATATCAATTGGTTTAGAAGCGTGATAATTTAATTAGCATTAATCTTGCACTCCTTCATTACTTTTCCTATAATTCTTATTTTTAAACATGAATTTCATTGAATCAGATGGCACTTGAATTGTCCGCAATGAACTATTTGTGGATATTAGCGTAGTCGTCATTAATGCACTAACTTTAATTAAGTAATCTAATTTATTAAGAAATTGATATTATTTATATATCGATCTAAAGCGTCAATTAATAAAAAGAATTTTACCAGCAAAAAACAATTTTTTACTTATATATAACTCTGATTACATTGGTAAATGTAGTCCAGTTTCATCAATATTAGGATAATGCATTACTTATTTTGGGGGACATTATTGGCACAAGGCATTATATAAATCATTGACGAGGTGGAAATGTTAAGTATGAAAATAGGTAATTTGCTTAGATTGAATTAAAATCAATAATTAAAGTCGTAGGAATTCGAATCAGAAAGAAAGTAAGAAAAAAAGTCAATATCAATATTACACTAGTATATCGTATAGGCGTCTATAAACGATATCGAACATTGTCTATCTAGAAATCATAGAACAAGATCAAATAAAAAAGTTTTTCCATATAGTCAAGACCATTCGTTTATCTTATAGAACATTTATGACCATTAATATAATTTATAAATTTGGATATATAACAATTATCTGCATTGAAAAGGAAAAAAAATTTCTCTATTCAAGCATTGATCGCTAGGCGAGCATTTCAGAACAACATATCCTCAGCAATTTTAACTCTAGCATAAACTTGCGGTGTTATAAATTACTGTTGGGCCTATAATACAAACAATTTGGAAATATCTTTTAGTGGAATGGATGGAGTATATATGAGTTAACAAATTATTTCCGCTGATACGGGTTCGGTTTTGTAGTTTGCTGGATAGATGAAGCTCCAGAGAGGCTAGGGCGATCAACATAGGTCTTTTTTGGATCGAAAGTAGATATGGGAGCATCGGCTCTTGTACGAGAATTAGCTATTAAATTCTTGTATGGATTGGGCTTGTGCGATACCTATAATTTTATATCAAGAATATTCTATATATTACTTTTCTGATCATTAGCGGTGGGGATAAGCATTAATCCTCATGGAAGTTAAAAAGAATGAAGATTTTTTCAAGCCTAAATAACTGTCGTCTTAAATGAAATTTTGAGATTTTATGCTGTGCTCTAAAGGTACAAGCTAAAGATTTAGTTCTATGAGTAATTAGAATAAAGTTTAAGATTTTATTGTAAACTCTATTGTAAACGTACAAGTTAAAGATTTAGTTCTATGCAGGTACTGCAATAAACTTAGTTTAAGAAATGTATACTGCAATTATCTCACTGGTATAGGTAGCAAATGAGAGTTTTGGAAACAGCAGACGTACATTCAATAGAGAGTAAATGCTTTCGTTACTTGGACTCCTTATCATATCACTCATTGACGGAGATATCTGGCTCGAAGGTAGTGAAGTCTTTTTATAACCGTATGTTGGACCGCTAGAATCTGAGGATGTTGACGCATTTTCCATCGATTTTTGTAGAGCAAGTACAAATGCGTCAGCGCTTTGTTCATCGAGTTGTTCATCCACTTTTTGCGAATTAGATGGTTCGCTTGTTTTACTACTTTCGATATTGATGTTGGCCATTTCTTGTTGTAATTTATCATCCAATGATCGGAGCCTGAAATATTTTATAGAAAAAATTAATATGCACCTATTTTGTCGGTAGTGGATATATGATTTCTTGTTGTGGAACTTTAATGCACTAATAAAGTCCGTGCAGATATTATGGATTAACTGTAATATATAATATGTAACAGAGAATATATAATGTAATGCAAATATTGCATCTAATATAATATATTTTACCGGTAGTGGACACATGATTTCTTGTCATGAAACTTTATTACACTAGTACAGTTCTAGCAGATATTATGAAATAAATGTATTTAATATGGCTATCCTGACACTAGACAATGGTGGAAGTTATCGCTTTATTTTGCTGAAATACTTACTGTTCCATAGCTATATTTTGATCCGTACTAGAACTTGCATCGCCCTTTGATCGATTAGGTAGATCAATCTTATTCTTTCCTTTATATTTTATATCATTGCTATCTTGATCCTAAACATTATTTTTGATCGTGATAGTGTTAGTATTAGCCAATCATCTACGGTACATTTCTCAGTTTGCAAGTTAATAGGAATTGAACTTACGGAAACGGCAACATAGGGATTATCGTGAGCACCACCAATATCAGTGCTATTGCTTTGGTCGCGGTCGCCTTCCTCATAGATTCCTTTCCTACGATAAGAACGGGATGAGTCAAGTCCCTGAGCGATGGCATCATGTAGTGGGCTATTGCCAAGTAAACCAGCGATGATAATCAAACCAGCTCCTGTTGAAAATAATAGGACATAAATTAGCTGAGGTATTAGCAAGTCCATTTTAATAGCTAAATTCTCTAATAGTATAAGGTGCTGGAAATGAAATATTTTTAATGAAATGGTTTATAAGGAATAAATCAATTGCTAAAATGATTTAAAAGAAATAAATCGATTATTTCTGTCCTATAATATAGGATCAAAAGCTAGGAAATACGAGTGTGTATAGAATGACTTTAGGATACTGTATTTGGATGATAAGATGACGATACTTACCGACAAGTGTAACTATGAATGACCAGGTTGCCCATTTTCTTTCTCGTAGAATGAAATATTCTTCCACTGCTGTTACTGCAGGGATTAAAACGAGTAAACCATCGGTATTAATTGGACCTAAAGATTATCATACGAATATATTTAGTAAAGAGCCCAATCAGCAATTCCCTGCATTTTACATCCTTTATTCCATGACATTCAATTTCTGTTGTGACTGAAAACTGACCTATTTGGCGATATAAGGCATATCTAGCCAATGCTGCTAGGAATGCTAATAGTACTCCGGCATAAATAAATCCAATAAGTCCCAGGATATCGTTAGTGGCCATGCTAATTTCCTGTAATATTAGATAATATTACAATATTATCGTATGTAATAAATGCAAGTAACGTATCAGTTTAGTTTACATTATTGCAATCTATTTTATAATTTTTTTTTCCATTGCATTCCTTAAATGCTAAGCTATCCAATTTTCAAATTGGACATTAGTACGACATAATTTTGAGATATCTGCATTATGGTATATCATACTGGTGAAATCTGAATTGCTAATTGCCATGTAAATAATTGTGCGCAATTCCATGCCGCACAAAATTCTTGATTAGCTAAATTAATTTTGAGAACTATATAAAGTAAATCATCATCATTAAAAAGATAGATTTACGCTGTATAATTTTCAAATCGGGTATGGTAAGGCATATTTTCATGGGCATCTACATTATATTATACCGTATCGTAATGGAATCTAAATTACTAAGTATCATGTAAAATCATTTTATAATAATTCCATGCCACACAAAATTTACGTTAAATTAAATTCTCATTATTGAAAAATTCAATATAGGTTTAGGGTATTTTTAATAGACAGCACGGCATAGTAGTGGGTTTCTGATATATCCTAGCCTTTGTTCATTGTAGCCATGATCAAACTTACAAGTGGAAATCCGGACAGTCCATTCAGCCCTGCCCAAAGGGAAATACCAGTAATGGTTCCTATAACTTGCATTAATGCACCACCGACCGTGTAATGAATCATTTTACCATATCGTTTCCAGAGTACTAAAAGAAAGGAATGAAGTGATATAGTGTGCTTTTGAGTACTAATGCACTGTTAAAGTTGAGTCTATAATTTAGCTAGGAAAAAGTTAGTCTGACGATAGTAGTAGAAGACAGATTTACGAGAATTGAAATTAAACAGGTAGCTGTGAATATTGTAATGTTGAATTGCGTCTATAATTTAGCCGGAAAGTGAGTAAACTTGAGCACGGCAATAGGTGATGGATTAAAAGTGATCGAAATAAAATAATTTACTTTGAATACTATTAAACTGATGACATGGTGTCCATAACTTACTGGGGGATAAGTTAGTTTAATGATAGTATTCAACGCTATTATTTGATCGAAATGAAATTGTTAACTTTAAATAGCGCTACACTGTTGAATTTGTGGCCCTTAATTAGTGGAGAAAACGTTTGTTTGAGGGCAGTAGTAGAAGATGAATTTAATAAGATTGAAATGAAATTATTAACTATTAAATAGTGTTACACTGTTGAAGTCCACAACTTAACTAGGGAAAAAGTTCGTTTAAGGGAGGTGATAGAAGATAGATTAATAGGATTAAATCATTCTAAATATCAATAACTAGTCTAAATAGATTTCTTACGGGGAAGGTAGTTTTAGCCTATTTCTAAGTCTAGTATGTTAACCTACCTGCGCTAACTGACCACGAGAGAGAGCCAAGGAAGCAGAATCCTAACGCCATAAAATAAAATAACGGGTCTTTGCCGCATGCTTCCGTATAGCTGCTTTTAATACATGTTAATATCGCTGGAGGTAAGACTTGCGAATTGCAAGTGCAATTATAGGTAATCATTTCGTAAATTGTTGGCGTAACAGTCGCACCAACGCCAATAAATCCTATTAGTATTACTAAACTTCGTAGGACTGTCGTTATTGCTGATGTTTTCTATTTAAATGAATAAGAAAATGAAATGAATTCTTTTAGTAAAGTTTCTTTCAGGTATGAATTAGTTAATATTGTTTTACTGTGGAGTACAGTAAATGTAGTAATGATGCTTTTCTACACATTGCTGAGAAGCAGAAGTAGAGTTTTGAACACAAGTTTTAACATAAATATATATGTAGGTGTAGTTTGGAATAGACCATTTCTTCCGAAACTTTCTACAAGTAATGATGAAATAGAGAGCTTTCTAGCAAGATTGAATGATAGATTGTTTTCTTACTATTACAGAGAAATAAGATGTAGAATTCTCAAAGATTCTTACGCAGCTTGCTAAATGAGTTAAATTTTAGTAGATTGAATTCAATGTAAATTGGACCGAAATTGTACTAAATCAGGTCTAAATAGAGCATTCCGCAAGCTCTTGAAAGTAATACGAGTGCAAGTATCATTTCCTAATTAGATCTCGACTTTATTAGCTGCAAAGCGAGTGCAAGTCACAAGTTAATGTTAAAACTGCGTTACAAAAAGTAAAAAAAATTTAAAATTTAGTGCTACGAAAAGATTAAAGGCGGCAATATTCTACCTAATCCACCCCACATTAGAAATAGGCCAAAACGTAGACAGAGTCTTATGAAGATATTCGGTAACCTTTGAAATAAGACTTTGAATTTGTTGTGTAAATTAGTGTTATGGATCTAATACGTCACTAATGGCAGTTGGATATCAAATTGAAGGGGAACTTTGGGAACTCTAATAAAATGGTTGTCTTTTATGTAATCATACAATAAATTATACCAGCCTTGCTAAAGATATTTGAATTGTATATCATGACAGTTTTTAAGAGTCTTCTAAATCAGTTTCTTAGAAGTAGTTTTACTATTATTATTAAACCTTAAGAAATGTCACAAACTGAAAGCTACCGAAAGTATTTGATAGAAGTGGATGTTTCCGGCCTTTATGACCATTTTTAATCTTTTATATGTACGTGATTGATCCATAAAGACAATTTACAGTGACGTTGTAGACATTTTCCACTTTCTTCGTGAAAGTTTATCAAGTATGACAATTACTCTTACAACTTTCACTCCTTCGAGACAGTCTTTAAGGAGCGCATTTAGTATTGGATAATTAATACAGTATAGAATAAGGTTGATAGATAGGCCGTATTCAATATGGACTACTGTCCGTGTTGAAAAATCTCCGTCTAACTCCATGTTTACAGTAGATTGCACATAGAGTTAGTCAGAGGCAACGATCCTGCTTTCAAAGCCTTGATTTAAAAAATGAAACTACTTAGAAGATACAAAGAACTCTAATAAAGTGATAAAAATGTCTGTAATCCATTCTGCCATCACAACCGAAAGAAAATAGGACAAAGGGTGATGTTCTTGTTATTACCGATGGATGAGAAATGTAAATGTTACTTAGTGAATTAGTATAGGAAGCCATAACACATGTGCTAGAATGATTAAACAGAAACACTTTCTTTTATCGAATGAATACTGTTTCAGTACTTGACTATTATTAAGGGATAAAGACAAAATTTTTCCAGCCTTATTCGTCTATTTGATCTACGCTATCCGCGTCATGATAAACTGGGATAAAAATTAGCCTTATCCTTTAATTATTACAGTTGATTCTAATCCATAAAAAAATCATAACTTATTCTTTTATCAGTTATTTGCATATTCTTCAGATCTAGCTTGAACAATCAATTCTTCTCGAATAATATTAGAAAGCACTATATATGTGTTAGTAATCATCAATGGAGCCACTTTCTTCTGTCTAAAGAATATTACTTCAATGCTTGACTGTTCTTGGATATCGCAAACTGGGATAAAAATTAGTAAACTAGTTTACTAATTTTTATCCAGTATTTGGCTATCAATAAGTAATCGCGGATAAAAAAACCAATTAAATTTTACTGTAAACCTTACTAGCGCAATACGGAAATACATGGGAGTGCTTTTCAATAACTATGTGCTGTAATAAATTAGGTATATTGAATCTATTTTTTCACCGTAGGGTCAAAAATAAGGAAAGTTTGTACCCCATGGATAGAGATTTATTGAGAGGAATCAATTGAGTATATTCTTCAATCCTAACTTGATCCCTATTATGCCTTAAAGCAATCTTTTTCCAAGGATGAATTATTGCAAATTGTGACTGTATTAAGTTTTGCGAGCAAAGTCTTTAGTAGACTTGTGGGCATTATTGAAGAACGCTTAGCGACCGTATCGATCATCGGCCAATGATACGTTATAAGAACACTCTATCTTGCTTTTTAACTCTGACCGTGGGACAAGTTGATTTTTGAGTCAAACTGGGCTAATTGACAACTTCGTTTACTTCCGGGAGACAATTTTTGTACATGGAACAACTAGGGCACCATTCTATAATTACCAATAGATTTAATGACAGGACGTTGCCCATTCAACAACACACCTATCTTGCATAACTTTCATGTCCAAAACGTAAATTAACCGTTATTGTAACCATCCTAATTAATTTACAGTATGTTGCAAAGTGGAATCAAATCTAAAATTATGGTTGGCCAAAGGCAATTCTAAACATATCGATCCTATTCCTATTGACATAAGCTCTTATTGATTGAATAGAAAGTAGGCAAGAAATCAACCCTGTTGATTACAGACGACATCCTAATGCATGAATTTTCCATACTAAAGGAGCAAATTAAGCACTATATAGCTTGATAATGGATAAAATGAAACATAGTTCAGCTTGAAACTAGACCAATTTTAAATTGTATCAGTAAAATTAATTAGGCGTAAAAAATAAAGAGAAAAATTGCAAAATTGGTGTTTCAACCCCAATGCTATTTGAGACTAGTCAAATAAATGTCAAGAATAATGCCTTATGATAGTCAGTTGAAAATTATCAAGTGAAAAATGATGGAGAAGTAGATGAATAATGGATTTAAATTCTTATATCCTTCGCGTCTGATGAAAGGATCGCTTAAGCAATTATTGCACTAAATTTGGATGTAAATTTCCATGTATCGACAACTATAATTAGCTCAGTTATACATTAATAGAAAAGATAGAATTGAAAAAATCAAATAGAACATTCATGAATACATACAGCTTCTATCTGAAAGCGGCATAAGAGCGTATACTTGGGTCAGTTGTTTATCAAATTTTGATCGTTTCGTTCAGAATATAAGCTATCATTTTATGTTTTAGTGGACCATTTAAACTATATATAAAACTAGATAGGTTATAATTTATTACCTGCACACATGGAAATCGATCGAATAGAGCCGTCCAAAATGGAACTAAAGCCATAAAAGCGCCAGGAACAATAGGTGGTACCCATTTAATTGCGTAAAGAAACAGAAATGATGGTGCGGCAACATGGAATAGACCCAATCCAATCATTTTGAGATAATTATAAGGATTTAATAATGTTCGTCTTATAATTATGCTATTTTTTGCTCGGAAAGTTATAAAAAATAAAGCGACAAGAATAAATGCAATAGAGCTGAAAGAAGACGAAAAAGTAACCAAAATGGCTGGATGAGGAAATTTTCTTAGAGCGTATTGTAACAAAAGTGGCGCTGTGCTATAGGTCAAGGCTACACTAATAGCCATAATAATCCACTCAATCTTCATAATGATGATGAATTAATGTCTTTCCTACTACGGATAGAGATTAAGCATTAAAATGAAGAAATGGTTTAAATTGTAATATCCGACAACCATCAACCGTCAATTCTAGACCTGCTGGAAATGAATCATGCCACTTACCTATAATAAAATGGCTCTTCAACTTCAAGTAGATATTACTAATTTATAAGCTAAAAATAAGATGGAAAAATCAATTTTGGAGCCATATAGCGGCTACTATATTATCAAAGTAGAATTAATATAGATAGTTTATGATTCTTAACAGTGGATTTGCCTACCTACTAACTTTCTGACTACAAATGAGAACTAGTTGTAGTTGTAGTCGAAAAGTCGGTTTGGGGTTAGCATGTATAGTTACTAGGTCTTGTCTATCGATAAACTAATTTTCTACTATATCAAAGTAACATCGGATGACAGTATTATTTGTACTGTCGATTTGGGAGTTAATTGATCTTTCAAACTAAATAATGCTAAACCATAGACGTGAAAGTTGATACAACAATGGAAGAGCAGCAGTTTGCTTATGCCTTTCTATAGTGTGTAATAATTCCAAAACTAGAATACGACTGAAACCTTACTTTATTAACTATATTATCCTAGGGTGACATTGGAACAACTTGGTTTTATTGCAATATTTTCAGTATATTCGCTATTCATTAGCTATTGTTCACCTACTGTTGTTTCAATTTTATTTACCATCAAATACAATAATTGTAGGGCTATAGCTAAACAATTCTACTTACATACGTGATCTAATGATTGATAGTTGGAATAATTTCGTCATATATTAATGTTGTTATAAAATGGGCGTCTATTCTCCACGCCCGTTACTGTCGTTGACATTGTTGTTATCTAGAGCTGGATACAGGGCGTAACAGCTATATTTTATTGACCAACATGATTGAACTTTTAGATACTCTTCTTCCTTTGAGGTGTTAACTACAAAGAGTTACACTATCTTAATGCTATGATTCCTTTACTGTAGTGTGAAATAGGACTGTTTTCAACGCTATACTTGATTTACTATCGTCACGTATTAAGATCTCACCATAATTGGATTCTTTCCATATCCCTCCCCTTCTTTTCTTTCCCAATTTCTTTCGGGAGTTAGATACCGTCATCATTCAATTTACATCGCATGTTGCATGATATTAGAAGACAAATGTCAACAAATGCTCTTAAATTGAGATGACTTAGTATCTAAGAACAAAAAAGCAACTGTTGTAATCAACATCTTTTTTCTTCGTCCTTTCAAACAGATCTATTACTTGAAATCAATCAATGGAGTAGGGGGTAATATCGTTTTTACGCGTGTTCTTTTCTATTTTTAGTTCCCATATAAATAGGTAAGGTAGAATATCAAATTGAATTAAGATGAAAGGGATGGAATGAAATAAGTGGCAGTTCAAGAATATCATTACCGGCATAGAAATTAGCTATCTAAAGATAAAAAGTAGACGGTCCTTATAAAAGGATGAAATCATAAACTAAAGTTATACGTATAACACATGATTCATCTGACCTAGTTAAAGCCTTCTGCTGTAATTTATTCATTTAAAGTTTAATCATGGGCGCTGTACAGATGTATGAGTTATTAATTCACCAAATTAAATAGACTATGCAGTAGACTATATATTGGTCAAGGTTATTATTCTATGTTAACCAACATAGGAATAAATTTTTAACAGATTGAATGAAAATTATCCAGGCTAGGACTATGATGGTCTATTGTTACCGTTGTCTATCAAATCATTTCCATAACTCTTTGATGATAACTATTACTACATTGTAAAGTCTGCTACTTGATATGTCAAATTACAGAATCGGTAATCAATAGAATGTGGACCAATCTACTATTGCAACCTCAGATTTTATTCATACCTTAAATTAAATTATCCAAACTATTTAAATTGCCTATTGAAAGTTTCTCCAACTGCAAACTGCTTTGATAACTAAAAAATACTACATCCCATAGATTGTAGTCTACAGACTCCTATTTCGGTACAAGTGGTTAGAATAAATCACATATGTAACATTGTTGTCTTTTCATATTATTAATGCAAATGGTATATTATGTCATATCCAGTCGTTAGCTTCTCAATTAACCCTTTGTCATATATGCGACTGTTTTCCATATCAAGTAATACTAAAGCAAATGAATATTTACATTACGATCTTGTCATCGAATAAATGAATTTTATTAAAATCCAATTACAGTTGCACGGTAGTAAAACGAGGCATACTTGTATGACGCTTAAAAAGTATCTATAGACCTTTTCGATTCCAATGAATTTTGCCAAAATTCAATCTTACTATTTATTCGGTATACCGTAATAATTACGGAAGCTTACGTAAATGTAACATAAATACTCTCTAGCAGTACAATATCTATCTACATACTGTATTAAATCTGTCAAAGATTCGATAATTGTTTCTTTTTAATTCGAGTAGTTAACTGGGAGGCTTAAAAGTTTATTCATTTTAACTATTTTCAATGGTCACTCTATGCGCATTTCCTTCTTGTTATTTGCTACCAAAGTATAGTATTTCCGATAGTTTTTAACGTATTTATAACCTACATTACATTAACGCATAACTACTGTATTGTAATTATAGCTATTAATACTCTCATATTAACTAAATATGATTATTAAAGTGTTCGTAATTTCTGTTTATGCACGAAATAATACGTTTACGGTTTATCTCGTCGCACTGGATCATGATTGCACTGTAGCGTGTTTCCAGTTACAAGTATTTACACTTCTGCACGTAAATGCCAATATTGCGGTCAAATTTGGTAAACGTAATGATATTGTAACAATCAACTTCAGTACATTTAAGTGACAACAGATGTAGGTACATAATTTTGATTTTATTTTCAGAAAATAAAAAAGCTGTTCTCAAATGTTATTGACCAAATTTTGCTAATATTACATAAGATAAACTGTGATTATAGAAGATAAACTTCATATTATTTTTCCTTAAGAACTACGTGAAAAAAAGTAACGTTACCAAATCATATAGTCAGATACTTAAAATTTTTACTTATAGTGCAAGGCGGATCAATTCGAGAACAGTAACTTTACGGAAGCGCTAAAATTTTTTCGCAATAACAAATGTTAATTTTTTTAATACTCAGAAACTGCTACGATTGTGGGATAGCCATTTTGTATCATCTAATAAAGAAATTTTTACATTCGGTTAATTATCGAGCTATTTCGTTTGCTTTGAACCTTTAGCAGTCAAAAGTCTTCGCTATCATGCACTAAAGAAAATTTGACAACTCGATAACCTGGTTACGAAATATTCTATAGTCTAATAAGATTAATGCTAGGTAATTTGAAAAATGAATTGTTAGGGTTTTGTTGCTAAAACGGTCATGATATCGAGGTATATTGTGGTAAGATTGGGTGAATCACATCCATTTAATAAATCCAGGAGACAGGTATCCATTGCGGAGTTATTTGAGTTTGATCTACAGCAGATATTAGTTCAGATACTGTTGCTTCGACATTTTCATGATGAAGAATTAAATCAAAATAGTGCTGGAATTGACTTTCAATTTTCTGTGAATCACGAATGATACGGGTGATCATTTCATCCTAAATATCATGAATTCATATCGAAACAATATAAATGACATTCAATCGACAAGAATTATACGCTGCAACATCCATACACAATACTCGCACATAATAAAAATAGGTAACTTACCGACTTTCCTTTCTTAGAAAATACGGATACATCGCAAAGTGAGCCTAATTGATCAAATGATGGCGGCGAAATAAACACAACATATGGCAGGAATTCTTTATTACGGAGTACTTTCAAAGCCTATGAAGTAACAAGCCACGTAGACCTTTAAACTAAAATAAAAGCAACTAAATCAATCTTGACTAAAATACAATGAAAACACGTTATAAAATACCGATGGTTCAACATCTATAACGGCAATTTTTCCATTTTCATGAACCGTTCGGACGGCGTCATAACTGATACCAAAATATTCAACTTGGTTTTTTTCCACTTCAAAGGATCGGTATTCTAGATATTCTCTATCTTCAATTTTTCGGAGCATGTCAGGTTTAGACAAAAAGTTAAAATTTTTACCAGGTGTTTCGCCCATTCTTGGTAGCCTTGTAGTATCTGTAACAAAATCCAGATTTACAATTATTATCATTCGTGTAAAGAAAAATTCTGTTGACTACAAGGAATTTACCGATTGCAGGACTAGCAAATTTGATCGGACTTGACTTTATTAATTGCGTCTTAACTTGCCGTTTGCCTACGCCATTTGCACCTGCAACGATCAATCGCAAAATTGAGCGTACCAAAGCGTAAACACAACAATTAATGTTTACTCGTAGTACATAGACAAAAAATTGTTTACAACTTGTACTTACCGAGTAATACTATAGTTTTTCTCTTACAAAGATTAACTTGCATAACTTCTTCGTATGATGGAATATCAAATACATCAAAGTCTAAAAAAGTCATATAGAATCTTAGCGTACTTTATAGTGGAAAGGTGTCAAAATCAATAGTATTATAACCTGAACTTCTGTCTGCCTCGTACGTTTCTTTACTATGCTTCTTTTTATTAAGAAAATTATTCAGCCAAGCTGTACAAGAACACGGAATAAAATTATAATTGTTTGATTCTAAATATTTTTAGGAACTAGGAACATTACATGATAGCAATACATACAATGAGAATTTTTCTTCGATGTAGGGCGGCAATAGGTCCACTCGCGCAAATCAGGACAGGGAATTAAGCCAACGCTTTCTGGATTATTGATATGCCTAGCCTATGATGTGATGTTCACAGTTCATATTAGACTTTGGTGAGAATCTAAGAATACAGATAGCATGTACTGCATACTCGTATATTAGAAGAACATTACCTGCCACCACTTTGTGTCATCAGTATTGACTACTTCTAGGATATTACCAATTGTAAAGGATAAACCCAAGTGTTGGCAAGGCATTGAGTCATCATTGTCACCATTATATGTAAATTGGGATTTCAGGTAGCACTGATAACATGAATTAATAATTGTTATGTTGTAATAATTGGTAATTGGTAATAGTAAATGCTAAGAGAATAAATACCTGCACAGATTGTGGACTCTGACGCGTGGTAGGAATTATTTTGAATGATACCTTGCCTGATAAGCTGAGCTGTTCAGAATAAACAGATTATTCAGTACACAATTATGATTTGTAGAACCTCGAAGTGCTTTCATATATACAGGACCATCTATTTTAAAAGATTAAGTTAATAATGCAAATACCATAATTTGGCGCAATTTGCTGGGTGTAAGGTGAGAAACGACAATACCATTAATTTCTATAATTTCATCACCGATGTGGATCGTTCCTGTAAGATAATATCACGAAATGAATGTGATGGGCCAATAATTTAGGAAAACCGTAGATATTTTCAGCCTTACCTTGCTGATGTATGAAGCCATTGTGCATCACTCTAACTACATGACATCGTTTATCTTCGCGCATTTTCACCGTCATTCCCTGAGGAGTAATAGATGCTCGAATTTAATCGCATGCAAGAAATAAGATAAATTCTGAAATATTTACAAGAGGCTTAGTTTACTAACCAGTCGGGTGTTCGGTGACTTGTCAAATTCAACTAAGCGCACAAAAATCTTATCAGAGTCATCAAAGCTAACAGTGCTATTATTTTGGGGTAAATCAGCGTCACTATCATAGTTATTTGATATTTTATCCATACACCACAGAAGACCCTGCAATAGATTTCGAAATAAACAGTTAACTATACGTGGATATACCATTACTAGAGTGCAGTATTTCGTGACTAGATACTGGAGATACTGCAGATGAGTATTAATTATGAATAATGTTACCGAAAAATGTGGCTTTGACAATATTTTTAAGAGTTCATCTTTTTCAGGCACTTCGACTTGAGATCCATTACAATCTTCCATTACCTAAATATACAATAGATGCTAGCCTTCAGTACTCTGTTATTCCAAATAATATTATTGGGTTCTATCTTACCTTTGATATAACATCACCCTTATCTATATTTTCTTCAACAGTTAGGGGCTCATGCAACTTATCATAGATCTATTGAAATCATTTAAAGTATTACGTAATCTTAAAATTTTATGCATAGAAGCAAAGCCAATAAATTGTTTATTCTACCTTCAAGTAAGCCTTAATCTGTGGATTAGATAAGACGCTCTTTAGGACACTAAAATTTTCAATACTTGCACCGGATAGCTGGTGTATCTCGGCTAACGACTCAAATAAGTTCTCGGAGAGCTCTGCATAGGATAAGAATTAGAAGTGACTAAATTTAGTGTTTAATTACAGGAATTGCATACACATTACGAGCGTATAGAACTAATAGATGGTTATGGTTATACCTGATACAGTCATTGTATCAATGGAGCAGTTGACTTGATATTTCTAAGTAATTAAACAGATTGTTACGTAATTATCCATCATGGCTTAAGGTTTATTAGCCACAAAAAGATCCAACGCAAGTACTTTCGCTTAAAAGTAGACCTTACATTTTCGTCTTCTTTATCTTCTACCGCTCCAGTTTTGACGGAAACAGCATTACTGACATATTTCTGTGAATTAATACAAAATATCATAGTGTTACCGATCACTACATATATACCGTAGAATTTGCCTTATATCAATTATAGTTAGGTTATTACGTACCTTAAATCTTCTACTATTATTAAATTTTATCATTTCATTTACACTTTCTTGAAGATGAGTTTTTGAGCAATTTTTGAAGTTCTAATTAAAAGTTTTAATATATGTCATTTCTAAGCGATAAGCAGTCAACAATTAACAATTAAAAGCAATATGTAATACCCTAATGAATGGATGTTGAAGAGCTTCAGCAGCTGTTACTCTTTCATTAGTATCATATTTCAGCAAGCAACTTAAAAGATCTTTAGCGTCATCCGAGATAATATCCCATACGGGTGCATTATTCTAAAATCAAATATAAACAAATTATAATCAATGGACTTCTTTATTATCTCAACATTGGACAAAAAAATTATTGTAGAACTGTCATAAGGATATTATGATCCTGTAAGGATTTTAACGTTTTGGATGATATCTTACTCTATCCAATAATTATTTAATATGTCACTGTATCTCATCATTAGCAATAATGAAATCTCGATGTTGTAATATTACCACTGCATGTTACTTACTTCTGGGATGCCACATTCGATAGTTTCATAAAGTGCATCACCACTACCATTAAAGGGTAATGTTCCACCCAATAAGAGGAAGAATAAAACGCCTGTTACAAAGTGTAACGTCAGTTACGATAAGAATTAATAATTTCCATCCTAAGTTGTCAAAATGTCATAATGAATCGCTTACCAACGCTCCAAATGTCCACTTCTTTGCCGTAACTCAGCCTCAGTACCACTTCTGGAGCCATGAAATGAGGGGTTCCTATACGACCTGAATGGTATGAGATGAAACATAGAAAAACCTTACAGTCCAATCAGAAAACAACCATTAAATATTTCTTTTATCAAAAAATTACCAGGAGTACATAATTCGTCATCTTTCAGCTGCACTGCAATTCCAAAATCATTTAATTTGACTGGCGATTTTGTATTTTGAAAGGCCATCAAGATGTTTTGTGGCTATAAAATAGGGAATAAATGGTTAGCTGCAATAGTTATCAAATGTAACACAAACATGTGATGAATTTTTCTGACAACTTGACAGTATTCTATGCGAGAAATAAAAGCACCTTGATATCACGATGTACAATATTCCGTTCGTGGCAGTAATTCACTGCTTCCAAGATAAGTTTCATGAAGTAACTGTAATTGAGTGAGATTACACGGCGATAAGTAGTGTAAAATGCAATCAAGCTTATAGTACGTGTTCGTTGTAAATACTTTAGCCTTGTATATATATACCTTATAACACTTTCACAGTAAGAATATCCATCATTTGCACGTGATGTAATCTCATAACAGATATCTTCTCCTTCCATGCTAAAATAAATAAGCAGAAACATAAGATCAAATTAAGAATATTCATTATTCACACCAGATATCTTTCTATTTTTATGTTAAAGGAATTGATATGGGTAGAAGGCCGAATTCTCATCATATTTACACACTCAATAAGCTTAGCACAATGTAATATGTAATGATTAAAATGAAAATAGCAAATTTGAGTACTTACTGTTCAAAAATCATGAACATTTTCCCTGACATGTAATAGCTGTCGATCATTTCCACTAATAAAAAAAGAATTTGATCTTTAAAATTTCTGCGATAAAAGTTGTTTACTCAACAGGATAAATTCAGGCACCTCTATATGTGTAATGTCGCTATTCGTATCAACTATATTGAACAAGTTGTAACATAACGAAATTTTTTAAATTAATTTTCTTGACTAGATTATGAATAAGCTATTTTGAAAGAGTTTATCTCTTACCGATATATGGATGTTTCAATTGCAAGTGAATCTCCGCTTCATGTAATAAGTCTGTTATTAGTAATTGATACAACGGTAGATCAGTATATCATTCATTCCCCAAATTTTAATTTAACAAAACATGATATAAGATGGCATAAATCATGGTATCAGTAATAGTAAATTTGAAATGTTAAAGATTTCAATTAATCATATCTAGACTAAAATTAGTGATACAGATTTCTTAGGCAATCATCGCCTAAATCTCATATAACAAAATCACGATCAGCAGGTGGCAGAGTGCTGAATGATTAGTTATATATCATCAATAGTTAGATAGGGTACACTATCGATCCTATTCCAGCCTATGCCTTGCTTCAATGTGCATTATTACAGCATAGGAGTTTTCCACTGATTAATAATGCTATTCTTAAACATTGTAGACTAGAATACTATTTTTCTAGAGATTCTACAGCATGTTTAGCTCATTGATTCAACATTCTCTTTGTTTGAGGTTAGGATATTTGCATAAAAGCTTATATAATTGATCAATTAACAGCTTTTATCATTTTTATTAAATTTCTGCAATAGTACCTCACATAACTTGGACGCTCCATAGCAGAGAAATGTTATTCTTTAATGAAGAATCAACGTCAAGCGAAAACGCATTTATTACAGTAGAGTAACCTAGTAACGTGAAACGATATCGATATCCTGGAGTGACCGTATACCAATGCGCATGTGCACCACCATGCAACGACTCTTCCTCTCAAGTGATGTGTATCAGGTATGCACTCTACTAACTTCTCTATAACGTTTCAAACATTACCCTGTATTGTGGTGAGAATCAGTTCAGCAGCATTACGTAGTTGCTTTGTATAATTAAGTATATAATAATCATCGTACCAATCCACTAGTGTACTACGCATACGGTACTTCGAAAGGCTAACCAAAATGACTCCCACCTGAGCAGCTACTTCAGCCTTTATGTTACGTTATGGGGTTTAATTAACGCGTGAGAACAAGCAATGTCAAGGTTAGACATGCCCAGCAGTAATTTGCCTTTTTTTTAGCAAAATAATATTAATGATGATTACAGTAGGAGTAATCGATTCTGTTTGCAGGCCAACTAGTGAGGTATTCGATTGTTGACGCTATAACTTTTGACGTCGTATTCATAGTGAGTTATTTTAATGAGTCACCTGATAAATATACCTGTGCAGATTAATATGGGTGTTTCCAGAGTAGTGTAGAGCTGGGAGTTTATTAAGTGTAATGCAAACTTTAAAGGGTTTCGATCCTGCCCTTTCAACATGTACATTATGGTTGTGGCCTTAATTAATTAATTTATATACGTATACGTATACTGGATAGTACGGGGACACGGTGGGTGATCAGTTGTGAAGTAAATTATGACCACAGAGTCCCCCTACTGGCGATTTCGTTGTGCTGAATCGTCAATACCAGATAAAATAATATAGCAAATTTTACATCAAATGCATTCATTCACTTGATCCCAAATTTTATTGCATTTGTCGCCGATCTCAAATAAAAATTATGTAGATGCAGTATTTCACAATGGTAATTGTTAACTTAAGATGTTTGATGTAGAGCAGGTACTTTTAGCACGTACATATACTAATGACTTGGATTGCAACTGGAGCAAATCTTATTACTGTAATGTTGGCCAAGAGGAATCATTTAGGACTCGGATTGTCGATGGCCGGATGGTGTAATCACTTTCTTCGATAAAATATCGTACTCGTATAGCAATCGCTTGATGGAGCAACCATATCATAAAGCAAACTACTGCATCAGATCTCTTCTCTCTTTTATCCATATGACGATATTTCTCAGTGGTGCTCTAAATGCGTCAATGAGGGAGTAGAAACCTACGGTTTCTAGTGTGTATGTTACGTAAGGAGGGGGCAAGTATAGTTGCAATACCATCGTATCGCTAGCTCTTCACGGGCCATTCTACAATAATGCACTATATGCTATCATAAAGTACAGTAGGCTACATTCACTACATCCCGGAAGATTGCGTATTGATAGTAGAGTACTAATGTATCTGCTTGTTATAGTCTGGTACAATTGGCTCACTACAATCGAATTACAAGTGATTTTATTACTCGATTATACTTGCTTACCTCCAGCATTGAGATCTAAATTTTCTTGTAACTTCAACAAATCAGTTACTTTGATTGCGCAGTTTCTCTTCGTTTCAACTTCTTGACCCAATTTGACCACACTAAATGCACCCCTAAATTTAGTCAAATACACTCATTCAGTAATTCAAGGAGATAATACTTTGACGCACTTTAGTTAAATGATGTCAATAATTACATAGAGGATCGTGGATAGAACTACATCAAGAAATATAATATTATCGACTATGCTGTGTCGTATGTTTTATCAATACAAATATCAAAATCCGATTATGATCAATACTATATTGCAACAACAAGTTTCAATAGGTTGTAGACTACGAGACCAATAGTCAATTTTATAGTTTACATGGTTAAAATTTTTGCTTTTCGTTTCCTTTGGCATTTGATTAGCATGATAAGCTCGTAAATGCCATTTACTAAATGGCAACAATGTAACACAGCTAATCTACAAGGAACTTGCTGGTAAATATAATACTGCGAAAAGAAGTCAAGTTTGCATGTAGTATTGTGTACTTATTGGTATGGCTATATAGATTATTGAATGTGTCGAATTGAAAGTGATTCATTCTGCGATGAAGAAACAACTTGTAAATTAATCAATTATAATCTGGCATAGCCACGCTGAAGGCACTACTACTATATCACTTGGCCTGGAAGGAACGACAATACGTATTACTCAATATTGAAAAGCATTCTACAGTAAGATAGCTACCGGCCGATGACTTTATCCGACAACTGAAAGCGTTGCCTGAATTCCTCCACCATCGTTTCTTCGAAGTCTTCTTCGAAACCATTCTCATTTCCTTCGAAACTTTCAGCCATTTCTAATGAAAACGACAGTACGTATCTATTTTATACGTAGGACCTAACCTTCGTCGACGGGAGGAGAGGTAGAAAAAAGTGAGAAGATAATATAATAAAAAAAAAATTATTATTTTGTGCTGTAGTTCCAAATGTTACGCGTGCGGACCGGTATGGTACGGTACGAGCAGCAGCATACTGTACAATCAGTACAGTAGAAGCAATCTTGACTGATAGTATCAACTGGATGAGCGACAGGGACTGGTCCGAGACTGTGCACTATGCGCAGTAGAGTGGCGTATGCTGTAAACACTTCGCCAGTCTGTAGTCCGTACCGAACAGTGAAGTGAAGTTCTGTAGTTGTTGAATCATGAGCTCAGAACGGTGTACAGTACAGTACGCCTACACGTACAGTACACTGTACTGTACACTGTACATTGTACATAGTGAAGTGTAAATAGACCTGAGAAAGGTTCGGTTCGGTTCAATACCTTTGTGATCTATGTCTGTGTTAAAGTACAGTATTAGTAACTTTCACACGCTTTATGTAAATCTAAATTACATATCTACATAAGGTGTTTATTCCCCATCGACTGATACCAAATTTGTCTAATTTGGTCTTAAAATTGTGTTTTCATATCATTTCAATCGCCGGGAATTCTTTTTGAGACACCCTCTAATAGTCCCTAGATATTTTACTGTATAAAGAACGCTTGTTACAGCGAACATCAAGAAATGAAGGTGAAAAGACTGTATGATTTGAGCCGTTTCAGACACGAATCAGAGACATCTACGATTCTACTGTACAATGTACTGTACATTCATAGAGTCGTGCAGTACAAAATCTTGACTCGCTGTACAGTACAGTACAGTGTACAGTACAGTAGTACGTTACAGTAAAACAGAAATTTAACTACGGATTGGAAATCTTCAACTACAGTAATACTGTACACTATCGTTTGAACTACTTTTACATGATTTGATCAATATTAAAGCATTTTCAGTACTTATTTAATAATAATAATCTGGAACGAAACAGATCACGCTGTACAGTGTACAGTGCACAGTGCACAGTATATACTGTACTGTACAGTACCGTGCAGTGTCACTAGAGCACAGTAGACAGTAAAATGTAGGATGAATGATCACTGAACAAGTAGTAAATAGTGCAAGACTCGGCTTGAAAAAGCTCTCTATGCCCGTGAAATGAGAGGCTATACAGTTAAATCGATACGCGTAACGTCACGAATCAAGGTGGCTATTATAATATAATATATAATATATATAATATAGGGAAAATCCCTATAATATACAGTATATAATCAGTGAGGCACTAACATGAACACTTGGACTGTGGACACGAATTCGGTCCTGTTCTCAACTGGCTGCATAATTGTGTTTTGCAACTTCTTATCCACTCCAAAGGAGTGATTTTATAGGGTTGAGTTTGAGGCACTCCGACAACCGGCAGCTGCGATTTCTTTTTAATGGGTGAACAGTCGCCAACTCTCAGAATTTTTCTTCCTTTCTTATTATTTGTTGCCAAATCGATTTTGTGTGGAAGAGCGAGCTGTACAAACAGATTCGTTTTAGCCACACGATAGGATATCCTGCAGTAGCGCTTAACGTAGTGACATTAACACTAGTCATTGTTGTGACAGGTTCGCTTATTTTCATCGTTTATCTTGCATGGTGATATAATGATCGCAAGCTGTGATTGATTAATAAACTTTGTACTGTATTGTATCTACGCAAATTATTGAGAGTACAATATTTTGTTCTGAAGTAGAAATTGATTCCAATAGGACAGGTAAAGGAGTGTTTCTTAACTGCAGCTGTGTGAAGAGCTAAAAGTAACTATCAGAAATGATTGAAATCTTGACGGAATAAAACGTGCAATATACTAATTACAAAGGATGGGTCAGCAGCAGAATATTGTAGACAAGTTGTTCCTTGCTGATATCTTTTTATACGGCTAACAAGAAAGATGATTATAGTAGATCAATATTAATTGATGCCAATAATTATAATTAGCAATATACTGCTGTTCTAATCAAAACCTGGTAAGGTGAATTAGCAGAGGGGGTGATGAAATGATTCTTTGTGTTACGCTGGCGCAATATGGATGCACCTAAGCAAAACCAGATCATTATTTGATTTATTTCCATCAAACAGTTATCGAATTAGTCTCTAGGGGTTATCGACTGGCATACAGGCGTAATTTTTTTTGAACAGACTACGTTCTAAATAGGAATACTGGTTCTAAAGCTGCAAAGGACCAGGGTTACCATATCAAAACCACGTTGCTCTATCAACATTTTATAAATACAATATACTAACAGGATACGACAGTATATAATAAACTTGATCTATATGGGAACTGAAAACAGAACTATGCCGATACGAAAGTAAATGAATCAGAAATTAGCAACATTAAGTAACAATAACTATAATTCATTGATATAAACCATCAATAGGACTACATATCGAGAGTACACATTTCATGACATGTAAAATTTATAAATGATGTAGAGTACATATTTAATGGAAGTATTCCTATCACGGACACTGTTAAAATGAAAATGACTGAATAATACAGTTAGGATCAGTTTATTATTGAATTACAGTTATCATTATATTGCAAGTTTTCTCAGGTTTTAGAAGAGTAAACTATAATTCAAAATTTAGTGAGAGATTCCATATTATGTCTACTGTAAGAATACTACGGTAGATATTACATTTAATGAGCCCAAAAGCAAGAAAAAAACATTCCTAAAGATCTGTTCATAGGTTCTAGGTAATATTGATATTATAATTTATTGATGTACGAATTAATATTGCATACATTACAGCTATTTGATTCTAATCGATATTATGTCATGCAAGTCTTTCTCTAATTAGTATGCACAAGCTGAATATAATTGTGCGTATGTTTTAGACCATGGTTTTTATATCATATTACAATTGATGCGATACAAGGTATTTCCATCGCTAGCAAATCCGTTATTAGAATCACACTCTCTATTTAAAATGTCGTATATTATTAATGATTTATTACATTAGCTTAGAGTTGAAGGGCAGTAAAAAAAATAACTCTTTCAAGTTGTATTGATCCTATTTTCTCCATTATCTAAAATAGCTCGCCTTTAGCAATTTTACTCACAGTAATCATAGAAAACTGAATTTAGAATTTAAAATAACGAAAAGTTATTTTACAGAAACATGTAGTTTTCTATTCTTCTGGTCAATTAGTCTGCCCGTAATGCTATTGTTAATTTCTAACTCTAATGAAGGTAAATTGTTAAGTTAAAGAGCAGCACATTTACTCTAGAGGACTAACGTAAGTTTTACACGGCGAGTGTAGTGCTTTTTAAGAACTAAAATACCACTTCAGTACACCATTTAGTAAAAACTCGATCTTGTTCATGCCATATTGCCACTGCAACAATACGATGGTGGATCTGTGCTTATTTTGACTATCAAATTATCCATTCCACACCAATAACTTTGTCTCACTATTCAAATACCATTTTAAATTTTTAAGTTGGCGTGTAAAGGTAAACCAGGATGAAAGATATTAATTATTTAGATCAGTTTGATCAACACAGCAGATATTTCTAGACAACCTTTGGATTGGCATAACTGTCAGCAATAAATTACTTTGCATCAGAAATCAGAGATGTAAAATATTAAAAAATATACAGTATAGCAGATAAAAAATCATGCCGTAAAAGTAATGTTGATCGATGACTCTAATTAAAGCAGAAGGTCTTTAGAAAATTTCTTTAACGCATGCACCTACATAGGGTACCTAGATGTGTAATCATGCTTTTTCTCGTTATTTATTTTCGAGAAGTTATATTTAGCGCTGAAAGTAATATTTATACGGACATGTTGTCTTATTGGTATATTTTATTATAAGTATATACTCAATAGTACTATGCTATTTTTATTGCATCTAGAGTTTTAATAAATTGCTAGCAGTTTGTAAAGTAAGAAAGTTAAATGCTTAAAACAACATTATTGTCTTCTTAAGTGGTCTCTTGCACTGAAATAAATGATAATGTAAGAGCAATTGTCTTAAAATGAATAATATTAAACAATATATAGTCTAGACGCCCGATGTAGCAATTGCTAATATATTGTTACTGCTTTTGTTTAAGATATAAGTCTATTTAGATTATTTTAATCTCTTACTTTAATAATTTATAAAGCAAGTACTATAATAACTTCTATTTCAATAGAATTGATGAAAAACTGATGTCAAATAAAGTTGTTACAACCTAGCGTGCTATGCCATATCACCACATTCCCAGTGTGAAACGATTAATAACCACAACAAGCGCCAAACAATCTTTTGACTCTATGAAGATCTATTTGAAGGCGAATGTCTAATCCATCGATTATTCGTAAGTATATCATTTAGCCAAGCATATGATTAAGAAATAGTTATTTTTCCTACAAGCAACTAAATTTATATCATGACAGAATAACTAGTATTGACAGTGAATAATTAATAGTATATCCAATAGGAACGATTACTAGATTCAAGAGAAGGTGTTTGTAGTTTAACTGCCTAGCAGTGGCTTGACATATTGTATAACATTATTTTTGATATTCTGTCTCATTCACATTGATTTTGCTCTACAAGATTAGGTTATATCCTACTATTGTAGTTAAATCTAACATAGCTTTACTCTGGTAAGGTCTACGATTACTATTACATTGATTAATGCTGATCGCAAACGAGTTTAAAACTGATATTTAAAAACCTTTTTAGGCCCTAAAGCTATATAAAATTAAGTCAGCAATTATTAGAATTTTTAAAGGCACTTCTGTTATTAATTTCTCAAAATGTGATCGTATACAGTAACTTTCCTCCCGTGTTAATATAATATCTAAGATTCAATGGTAGAATTTATGTGTTGTATTTAATCAGTATCAAGATACGTCAATTGATAGGATAGCGCCTAAGCAGGCCTAAAATTCCTGATACAATGTATATTAAATTTAAATCTAGACTGTACTGCTATAATAATAAATTATAGTATAGATAATAATTGTAGCATAAAGTAGCCTTTACTACGGATTAATTTGACACATTTTATTTTCTTAAACCATTATCGTTTCCAGTATTCTGTAGTACTAACTGAAATATAGTCAAAAGCTTTATGTATGTTGGCAATACTCACATTCAGCCTTAGTTCTAACAGAAAGCCCAAATAGAAACAACTTTCTCATTCTCGTAGCTTAATTTCTTTAATCTTTTATAACCTTAGCAGTCATGAGAATTGTAGCGATAATTTTTTGTTATTCTGGTCGATATGAAAAGTTTCTTAAGAATCCTTTAATTTTGCAATTTAGGATAAATATTTAGAAGTCTTTATTACGATGCTAAATTGTGTTTAGAAGGTTTATAGACTGGATTTTGAGGGTGTTGCAGGCTCTCCTGTAGAATAAGATCCTTTTACTTGAATCTGTTTCATCCGGAATCAGAATTGAATAGCATTTAACCGAAATAGATAATTAATCTTGCTGGTTAGACAATTATTGTGCCACCTGCAACGAAATAATATTTTTTCTTTGCTATTTTGCATAGTTATTATCCGAATCATTGATGGTGATGATTAGATATCTTCCTGTGTTCTCTTGTAGCAACAACAAACAACTGGAAATTTAGTCAATAGCTTTATTTGTGAGGGCAAAGAACTTAGAGTAGAAAATTTTAATTTCTCACCCTCCTTCCCTGTCATCTACATTTTTACTACAACTAGCAGTGCCTTTAAATAAATTATCCCAATAGTTTCACTGTCATTAAAGTAATTGAATTTTATTTTTCCTCAATCGAAATGGGTGAAATATTGAGCTCTTTATGTGTTGAGGAGTTCTATAACGAATTTATTTCGATAGATCTTAAAAATATTTTCTTTTCTGATCAAATATATTTAAGATTACGTAAATAGTTTAATTTTTTACCTTTGATTTCGAAAGTGCTTTGACTAAAATTTTGACCTTAAAATTCCTACAGTAAAGGCTTGCAGTTATGATTATAGTATACAGCAGATATCTTACCAACGAAAACTCTTCGTTTTTATGATTTTAGGTTCTGTGAGTTGTCGCAAATCAAGGCATAAGGCTGTTCCTTGTATCATTCATTGCGAATTTGAGAATGGATTAAAAAAGAAGATGGAACGTTTATATCGGCCTATGTTGGATTATATCAATTCTACTCGTCAATGCATATCTATAGAGGACGATTCGAAGCGAAGCTTTAATCGAAGCAGAAACAGTTCTTCTTCAAGTAAGTAACGCTTAGATAATAATGAATAAGATCTGAATTGAGAAGAAAGTATTTGCTCTTTATATAATTGGGAAATTTATGGTAGAGCCATAAAAATGGCCGCAAGTAATTTTCTCAACTAGGAAATTGCTTAATGTTAAAATCCCAGTTCTTATTTGCTTGCATAGGTGAGGATATCAACCAATTTGATGTCGGTAAACCCAAAATTTTATCATTAGGTATTCAACTCTTTCTTCATGAATGTAACTACGGAAATTACCATGATAACATCAGAAATTATCTACAGCAATCAATATGGAATATTAAACTTAATGTTGCATTGTCATCAACGTACATAAAATCCTGTCCTCCAAATGATAATTTAGAATCTTATGTTGCCAATGGGCCTATGATGCCTTGGTGGGCAATCAGGACAATCCATTCTGGCAAAGAAGTTATTCGCATTAATCTATTTGTTAATGATTTGGATAATATGTTGCAATTCTATGAAGTTATACTGCGGCAGCAACCTCAAATTAAGCGAAAAGATTTTTGCTGTTTTACCTTAGTTCGATATCCGGAATTTGATTTTCAATTTTCATTGAAAGCATTAAATAAGTTAAGTCCTAAGCCCACCCCAACTGATGATTTCTTACTAGAATTTTTTCACACTGGTTATTCATCACTAGTTAATTTATTACCAGATTGCGTTACCCTAGTTAGCAAGAAATGCTGGAAAATAAAGGATCCGGAAGGTAACACTCTCCTATTACACGAAAAATCAGTTGTTATTAAAAATTAATCCGTCAGATATACTTCAAGCCATAATTTATTTTCAACTTTTATTTACTATAACCGTAAGAAATAAAGCAATATGAAGTACCTTGTAATATTATTAACAGGCTTAAACGATTAAAACTTAATACTAGCACCTTATTTTATGGATTAACGGAATTATTCAAAGTTTCTAATTTGTTCTTTATTTTTTGCTGTCTGCACTAATCCTAAAACATATATATGACTTGATATTATTGCATAAAAAGTAGCATTAATTTCATTTTTAACTGCCATATTTTTGCTATGATTTGATTCATTAAACGTTGTGTCAGATTAAACTTATATATATGTAGTAATCTGGCAAGTCATAAATAAAATGTTTGCTATTTAAGAAGCTTAGATTTTGAATTGCAAACTCGTGTAGCGCTAGTATGGCTAATAGATAGACCAGTTCTTGCTATTTAAAGCAAGACTTTAATGATATCTTTAGAAAATTAATTTTACGGTATCTCATGTGCAATTAATATTAAGCATCTATCCATTGATAGATTAAAGAAATGGATCAAAACTGAAATTAGTTTTGAGCCTGCCATAAACAAATTCTCTAAATGTAATAATACGCGATTTATGTACTGTAGAATAGATAGTAACTAGTATACAGCTATTCATACTATGGCTGATTACATGCAGTATTGTGGATTTCAATCACTCCGATTATAGCTCATCGGATAATCATCCCTGATAACGGTTTATTCCGATATTGTCATAAATAGAATTGACTGTTTTTTGGAATATATGGATACTGTAGTAGACCATTTCTTAAAATGATATCAGCGTACCCCTAGTTAACTCTCCAGCAATTTTCGTATCTATGGTAAAATCTTCATGGGCTCGTCAATGATTTGTTAAAGCAAATAAAAAAATGGAACTTTAATCTCATTTATGCTAGCGAATTTAATAACCTACTATTCATATTGCCAGCAACTAGAAACTTTTCGTCATATTTCTTAAAGTCTGGATTTAGGTATATATGAGCACTGACAACTTACGATAAATAGTACATAAAGTTGTAAAAGTAATTTCATAGGAAATTAACTCTTGCTCATTTCTGGCAGTTGTACACCTTCTTTACTTTTAATATATGCGTATATATAAGATAGGTATGTTGGTAGTTATTTAAAATAAAAATCAGAATATTTTTCGACTTGGTCATAATCAGCTTGTGATTTGCTATTCTTACATCATAATTTTTCGTACTATGGTTTGATCAGTAAAGTTTTGACATAGAGTGGCTGTGATACATTAGTTATTATATATATGTTACGTATATATAAAAACGGAAGTAATGTTTGATGATACCTACGACATTACAATTTTCTTGACGCTATAAGACAATGTACACATCGTTACTTTTAGTTCAAGAAGATTTCAGTAGCAATTAAATATAATTCTTTGATTTTTGAAATGATTAATATACTAATTCAAGATTAAATTATTATATAATTGTTTTTGATGTATATCATATATATAGCATGTACATTATATTAGTGATACATAATCTTAATCATTCTTACTTCATTACTGATCATTGCTCAAAATTAAAGATAATTTGGGATCGGATTCTTAAAGATAATACCGACATAAATTTACCAGACAAGAATAATTTCTTGCACATTCTTGTTATACTTTTATATATTTATATATATCACAAATTGCTAGTAACTGATATATTTCATTTGCGATTTATGTACATTTAATATAGAGAGTAATATCGTATTGGATGACCGACTATAATATATCATAATCAAATGATTTCTATTTAGAATTGTCTTAAGTATCATTGTTGAGCAATTTGCTTGCTTAACTTTTCCATATTACTTTTGAGAACTCCATTCATTGGGTTCAATATGTATGCCTTTTCGTAGAATTCTTGAGCTGTTTTTAAATCGTTCTGTAATTTAAAATAGTTAAAATATAGAATTTAGAATAAGTTACAATATTCTGATTTTCGAATTAAAAAGTGATCGATGTTGATGTTATCTACCTGTATATGTCTAATTACGCCAATGTGCATTAGGGCACTAGCATGTCGAGGATTATGTCTGACACATTTCAGATAACTCTATGAGAAGGAAGAGAAATTTAAAATTGTAAGTCATTTTTAATTAATGGTAGCCTGTTTAAGCTCAAAAATGTCGTAGCTCTATTATTCTCATGCAATATGACCCGATAGAAAATATATGGCATAGATGCTGTACCTCTTCTGCTTCATGATATCGTTGAAGATCTTTTAACGCTTCCCCTCGCAAGAAGTGTAAATCAGAATCATTTGTGAATGTTTTTAGAGCTTCTGCTGTAATTTTCAATGACTTAAAAGAATAAAAATGGCTATGTAAGTTAATAGTGATGTAATCGAAAACTTTAATTCCAACAAATATAAGCACAAGATGTGGTTTTAATGCAAATTATTCCACTATTACCTCTTGTGGATGCTTGTTTACAGTTAAAACGCTGGCTAATAGTTTACTTGGCTCCAGTTCATAGTTGGTGTTTTTGAAAACAGTTATCATATTTCTTAATTTGGATATGGCTTCCTTCGTCTTTCCTAAGTTGGCTAGACATTGGCTCTAGGGACGTTTACAAGTGAATAGTTAATCAAAAGTTGAGATCCATCAATTAATTAATTGTAAGAGCAATACAGCGCTATATACTCTAAAAACTTACGTAGGCTAGGTTAAAATCATATCTTTTGGGACGTTGATGTATGGCATCCTCTAGTACAACTGCGGCTTCTTTATAGCGTTTATGATCCAAAAGTAAGGTAGCTAGATAGTATAATGTCTCTGGACTACGTTCAATATCTAAGGCTCTATTAAAATATGTGAGTAAACCAATATTAATACACACTTAACTAGCAAATCTATTAAATTAAGTTTGCTAAGTAAAATTTAATCGTATATTTTCAGTAATGAAGATTAAGTTTTATACACACTTAATTATCATACCTTCGGTAGTGTTTCTCTGCCTGATCATTTTGGCCAAATTTTCGTAATAGCCTCCCTTTGTTTACTATTGCAACATGATGGGCTGCATTAAGGCTTATAGCCATATCATAAGATTTTATCGCATCATGCTGACGCCCTATAAGGAATTTTATAGTTAGCAAAAAGCGTGAAATATTTCGTTGATATACATCTATAATAATACTAATTGAAAAGACATCATTTGTGATACTGTCTGAAATGGTACGACAAGAATTATTACGCTTGCAAGTGATAATAACATTAAATAAAGAATAGAGTTAGCTGTTGCCTTTTGCTAATACTAAAGTAGCTATTTTAAAAATGATAGCAGATACTGATTTCTTTAGAAGTTCATTTAGAATTTTAAGGTATCGTGTAGGAAATTAACTATAGAATCGCAAAATTTACTGATATGATCAATCGCTACAATTGAATTACAAGTAATTGTTCGAAACCTAACCTAGTTTTGTTAAGTGGACTCCATAATTATTATAAACATCTGCGGAACGAGGAAATTTACGAAGCATTTTCTCAAATAGTTTTGATGCTTCATCCATCCTATCCATTTCGCCAGTTGATGCTGTCAGAGATATCCAAGGACCCTCAAAAGAATCTTCAATACTATCCAGCATGATCATAATGTAACAAAATAATTTTTTGATATTACAACTAATTTTCGACAGATGTAAATGAACAACCTTGTTTTTTTTAATTTGAAAGTACCTAATGGCTTTCTTAAACATCTCTACAGCTTTGATTAATTTTCCCTTCCGTCTTTGAAATCAGATCGCGATCAATAAAATTGATTAGTTCGATAGTAATTAAAGAATTCTGACTTACATAGTTATTCGATGGTAAATCTTCTTGGACTTAAGAAAATTTAAATTAATTTAGTCTACCTTAGTAAATTCCCGTAATTAAAGTAAGCTCTGGCGTGGTATGGATTATGGAGGATGGCTTTTTGATATAATTCTTCTGATTCCTAAAATATCCATAATTAAATATTGTATATAATGAAAATGATAGGGAACAGATCAAACAGAAAATCTTTACTACTAAAGACTACAAATGTTTTAAACATCTATAAAATTAAATTGCAATAACTATAACTCTATTTTACCTTTTCATCTAGAGTTATTGTTGCTAAATTATTGCTTGAACTGGCATGATCGGGTGCAATCCTTAACAGAAAATAAGTATTAAAATAAGAAAGAAAATAGTTATCAATCTATAATGTAGATTCATAAATAGCTGAACATACCTTAAAGCAGTTTTATAAGCAGTTGCTGCTTCTTGTAAACGATGATGATCTTTTAAGTAGTTAGCGTAATTATAATAAACTTTAGCATTATTGGGTACGACTTCAATTGCAGACCTTAGAAAAGAAAAGAAATAGAAATTAATTAAAATATAGCTATAGCTACTAAATAATCAGGAGGTGAGATTGCTTTATTTAGTAAATGCATAGTCTCAATACCGTAAAACTATACATGTAAACCGATACGTTATTGATCTTATGATGCATGTATTGAGAAGATTAAGCTATACTAAATTGATAAACAGCATAGAATTGAGGACGAACAATTTACATTTATGAATATACATATACACATACTATTCTTACCGGAATAGTGACTCTCTCGTTTTCCAAACGTTATTGCGACTAACAGTTCTGCAAGAAAAGATGATTAGCCAAGCATAGACGAGGATGCCCAGAGTCAGCTTTAACTTGTAAGATAGTCTGGTTGCCCAATTGGATAGTTGATTTAATCCTAGTACCACTATTATGCAAAACCCCATACTAAAAAATTGAAGAATTAATAGTTGGAATGGATTGCTTAAGTAACGCAGAAGCTAAACTGAGAGTTATAAATTTATTGTACCTAGGAAGATAGAGAACTCTTTCGGCCACAACAAAGCCAACAGGAAAGAAGAGATTTAATGCTGGGATGAAAGGGATAACTAATAAAGCGAATCCAATAGTAAGGGCTTGACTTTCATTATCTTTCTGAATAAAAGAATGAGAAAAGTTAAAATTAATCCAGTACTCTAGTTAAACGATTACTCTTAAAAGATTAATTAAGGATCTACGCAGACTTATAAGAATAATAGAGGCATAAACTTACCTGTTGAAATTTTAAGAATGATGAGGCTAGGCCAGATAAATTGTGCATTAACCATAAATAAAAGCATAATGAGTAAAAATTACGTATGTCTGTTGGCTTTTCAATTAATGGAATTGAACCCATCTGCCAGTCGTAACAAAGATCGCGAGGATATAGTAACAACCAAAAATTAAACGCAGGTAAGTAACTCAATGTCATAACTCGAGTTAGACGCTGTTTTGCAAAGATAGCTGGGTTATCATGTTGGCTAAAATTTGGCAGTTGGCCGTTCATAATCCATACACGAAAGGACATTAAGGCAATCAGCTGTAATTAAAGAAATAGTATTTAAGCATTACTAATTGAGCTACTTTAAGTGTGGTAAGCATTGTCAGTATAAAAAGTATCTATTGAATTAATATATATGTATTCTATCTTGTATTAGAAGTCATTACATAGACTGCCACCAAACCAAATCGCCACATTAGAGAAGATCCATGAAGTTTTAAATAATGGCTATCGAAATGATATAAGCATCTAATAGAAATTAAAAATCATCATTGGATGGGAACCTTATCTGTGATTTTTGTAATAGAAGTTATTTTAAATTTTTGATTGAGGATATAACGTCTTTTCTACATATTTTTATTATAGAAAGTTACGACAGTGCTATAAAAAGTACAAGAATAAAATTTAAAATAGACGTTTATAAAACTATCTATCTAATACATTATTGTTAAGAGTAGTACTGATGCGTAGATATGAATTAATTAATATACATGTATAAGGTTCACATTTAAGCTTTATTGACGCGATAATGACGGAAGCATCTATCTAATTATATTTAGTTATTTATGATATCATTGGTATTTTACGTTAACAATATCCTTCATAATAGAATACGATAGTAAATATGATGGTACATTATGAATATTAGTCCTGTAACTAGACAAAATATTGTTTAACATACCTTCGAAAACCTTTTCTAGAAGCTACAGCAACATCGTAAGCCATACAAACCGCAATAACTGTAATACCTTGTTCTTTACTTAGCATCGCCACAAATGTAAAAATAAAACAATATAATAATTCTTTGATTGAGGTAGTCTTTGCAAACTCATCCTGTCAATAAAAATTAGTCAGAATGAATAGAAATTAACCCTCTATTTACTATATAATTCATGTGTTCAGTTTATCGATACATTGCCATTAATACCTTCATAAATAGATAATAGTAAAAATTAGATAATCACTACTGTTACTAGCATAAAAGGCTTAAGTTATGGATAAATTATTTACCAACATGTAAAGATTTATATTTAAGATGAGTGCAAGAAAGTAATTTTATTATAAAATTTAAGAATATAAATGGCCGCTTTTGTTTATTGAATAAGAGTTTTATACCCACGGTATACTGTAGTTTATAACTAAAATTCAATATTTATTTTTCGAAAATGCCAAGATGGCTTATTATTGCAAGAAAAGGATAAAGGTGGGCTAACGAATCAATTTAGTCTTTAATTCAAAATAATTATTAATAGTACGATCTAAGTTTTACTGACTAGAAGAGATCAAATATGCTAATGTAGATTAATTTCGATTTATACATCAATTTCAAATTGTATATTCTGTATAACGTGTAAAACTACACATAGTCTAATACTATAATCTAATGCATCCAACGAGTAGAAACTATATTTATTCTGCCTAATCGGTAATAAAATAATACTTATTGATAATATAAATTACAACAGTATGTATATTTGTAAAATAAAGCTAGCTAGATGAAATAGATTTTGTTATTATATGTAGCAAACTATTATTCCAAATTAGGGCCCTACAAATAATTACAACGTGTACTGTACTGTAGACAAATATATAAGAACGATATTTATCCGCGTCTAAAAATTAAGTAAATGATACACTTTTCCCAATCGTCCTAATTGATTGTACTACTCATTCATTGTAATTCTGACATAAATGGTAAGTTCAAAAGACTAAGGAACACTTAATACCAACGGTTTGCCTCTCATTTTGTAAACATCCTCTCCTTTTCATTGAAAAGAAGTTGGTATTGTATCATGTCTATGATCAGCGACCTAAATACTTTATAAATATGGAATACACTTCTACAACTAGAATATTAGTGCTTTAACTACTTTGTAGTGATTACTACTTTGAGCTTATTCCTTTCTCTTCTAGGATAAGTCTTTGCCGTTACAGATAGTATCTCTATAACTATATATGCAGACGATTTTAAATAAATTTCCATCTAGCTGTATAGCTTAAAATATAGCCAAACTTATCATCATATTATAATAGCAATCATTCATTATCGGTCAAATGTAGTATTGCACAATCATAATTCAATAGAAATGAGCCAAATTAGATATGATGAGGCGATTAAGTCAATAAGAGTGTGTATCCATTTTTCAGGGGACGATATTAATCAATTATAAAGAAATATTTAGCAACTAAATGAAACTGTTATTATTGGAAAAATAAATATCTAACGCTGTTAATGGATCAAAATTATCTCAATGTCAAATTAAATAACATACTGATATTAAGAAGAACAATAATTAATCGTCCTCACTATACGTATACTTTAGCCTACCTTAGAGATCTTGTCGTTTTTCAAGCCAACACATCTGTGCAAATAAATGAGATAAAATAATAATATTCAAGGCAAATACGATTAAAAGCCTTACTATTGTTTGCATTAAATTATCAAGAAGCTATCAGCGTCTTGTGACTAGAGCAATAAATAAGGTTAAGATATTGATTTAGATCGCTTGCATAAAATGATTCTTCTTATTACTATTGATTTTTAACTACTAGCTAAAGTGAGATTTAATTCAACTGGGGCATTTATAGTAATCAGTAGAATTAATGTATTCTCAGTTTCTTAACTACTGACTATTGGCATACTATCGATAGTATAGAAATTTTGTCATATACTTTTTTAACAATGTTATAATTTTCCTAGCGATTAATGGATTTCGTAGAAGGTAATCTAGTATCTGTAATTACATCATCGACAATTGGAAGCTATTCTATCAATCATGACAAATAGACATCTTTATATTGACAAGGCATTCATATGTGTTTAACTATTGGTCAATGCTTCTGGGGAAAGCATTTATGTTCGGTCCCAGTAGGAAGTCTATTGCCTTCGGCACCCTGTCGGGAATTGGCTTTAAGTCTAAATCGTGGATAACCTTATTATAGATACTATTCCTTTACTATCGGAAGATCTGTAAAAATCTACTGATGTTATTCTATCGTAGATTTAACAGAATCTATGGGATAAAACGCTGGATGTACTATAAGCTTTCCTCAAAGTAATCGTAGAGCGGATAAGACTATCTGGCTAGTTAGGATTAATCTATTCTAATGATCACCAAGAAAGATTAACGTTAGGACAGTATTGGATAGGAAATTAAAAAATTTTGGGGCTTAACATAATCTTAAGCAGATTTATAGTTGGCATTAATAAGTCTAAAGGTTAATAACATGATATAACATACTGTAGGCTATTACTTACTTGGCATACGTATAGAATGCTAATAGAAAGAATAAACACGATAAGATTTCTGCCCTTCCGACGATTCCGGCCACCTGGTTAGTCGTCAATAATCAAAAGGATGATATTTGAATAATATTGCTCACGGAATCATTTAAACATTAGCCAATAAAGTGCAAATATCATGTCGAGTTTAATTTAAATTTTTTTTTTGCATGATAATACATTATATTCAATTAAGATAGAGTAGTTATTGTCATTTCAACAGACGGTAAAAAGTTTTTCTAATTACATTATTCGACTGATCAGCTGGAGAGTAACTCTATCGCATTATCCAAGCAGTTATATCGTTTTCAATATAATCTTGTACGTAAAATTAGCAACAAATAAAAATGAATGGATCAAGGTAAGAGCGATCATCTTCTATATCGTATTGTTATTGCAATTAAGAACTGGCGCCATCGCTAATTTAGTTTGACAATAATATTATAATCAACATGGTCGCCTTGATCTATTCTGATTCTACGTGACTGATTCATTGATTATGTTATCCACGCTGAATTGTTGGTTTGTATTAAAACAGTTTTTGATCAATTTATACAGACATGATTGTCTAGTTAATGGATGGTTTGCTAACAATAAAGACTTCCAAAACTCATTCTTTTAATAGCTTAGTCTAAATTACTACTTTAGTTGATATCCCTTTAGAACAAAAAATTTAAAATATTTTTATAAGTTAGCCGGGATTTTTTTTCGGAGATTGTATCAAAATTTCGACAGGATTTTACCGTTAAGTACCCTACTAAACGCATGACCTTAACGATACTAGCTAGAGTTACGTACGAATATATGATTGATTACGGACAATCCTGACAGTTAATCTTTTTCTTTTTAAGGTTTGTGTTAAGGGAGTCTTCGACGTACTGCTGTACTGTTTTAGTAGATTTCAAGGCATCAGAAATTCAGTTAATTTACTGTATAGTAATACGGCAGCTGTAGCTGTATCAACAGGAATGAGCCAGCATGATTAACTTTAATGGCTAGTTTTTTGCTGATCACGTTATTCTGTTATACCTTTGTCAGGGAAATAAGCAGCTATTTTAATGAATATCTCAAGGAAGCTGTATGTTATTTGGCAGGTTTCCAAGCATAACATTGTTATTGTAAAATCTTCATTGAAAATTACATCAAAGTAAAGCAATAATAATATCGCGAATGCTATCCTCCATCATGGAGTAGTGTTGTTTCCATGCCCAACTAAGCTGCTAAATTCTGTAATGATATTATAGCAACTAATTTATATGCAATATTGACTGCATTTAAGGGAAAAGTGGGATCTATTTTATATTGGATCTGTCTTATCTTTATGGTTATCTTGGTTTGTGGTTATATATGAGAACAAGTTATTTCTAGGTACTCTTTGCTAATAAGATTTCCATGAACTAGAAATACTTGCAGCCATCTTGATAATCCTATTATTGTGCTTGTTTAAGGTTTAGTAAGGAAATGAAGCATCGAAAATATTTCTAAAACATTACAAAATGACTTCTTAAGCACAATCGTATAAGTGTGCAAGGAAATTGATCACGATAATTTCCTAATTAGAGCTAAAACTTTAACTTTTGTACTGAGGAAATTTAATTTCATTGATTCTATCAAAGATTGAACGCCGAGACAAACGGCGAGCATATTCTCAGTACAGTCATGATTTATAGTATTCAACGATAGATCAAGTTGCTATTAAACTGATTAATCATTCTGTAATAAATTGATACTATCACGGTTATGTTATGCCTAATTTTTGCACTAATTTCAAAAAACTTGATGCAAAAAGATAAAAATATATGATGGCTAGATCGAAACTTGGCACACTCATACATTGGCTATCCAACGTTGCTATCGAAGTATTATTTACGGATTCAATTTAGCATTCATTCAGTAAAAAGGATCACTAGATAGAGAGTAGCTGTTTTTCAATATAGACAATTTTTCTATTATCGATGTGATTACTTTTGGGAATGAGAATATTCTGTGTTCTACCTACTAAAGGCAGTGTATGCTTTTAATGATAATCATGCAAGGAGATTGGTGCATATAATAAAGTATCGATTCTACATTTCAATAATTAATCTGACAGCTGTAATGGGAGTGCTTTCCTTGTCCTTTAAACTATAGTAATTTTTGCGCGCCATCGCTAATTGCTTAAAGGGAGATCTTACTGAAACATTGGATAGATTATGAAACAGCTTTTCCAGATGTCTATCGATGCACACAAATGATAAACGACAATATCCTATTTCGGATATTATGATAACCTTGGAGATTGGACAGGTTGAAATTAAAAAAGTCTAGGAATCAGTTTACTGGACTTTTTTGTGCTATTTGATTTAGGAATTAAGGTATTACCCTTCTAGATTAGGCTGGTTTGAGGTTATTAGACATAATGTGTGCGGCAAGATGAGAAGATGAAGCAAAATAATAATTATTTTATGTTGGTATCTTAAGCAAACAATAACAGCATGGGCAAATAAAGGAATAAAGCATAGGATGGATAACTGGATTACTAATATAGCATTTGAACAATGGCTAAAGTGTAGAATACAATATTATTGAAATGAATTTTTTCCCATAAAAAAAAATCACTATGCAACGTAGCCATTAAACGAGCGACTACAGTATTGAATACGCTATTTCTTTCAACGGGAATGATACTGTATAAGAAATGAGTTTAATTGAGTTATGATAAGGAAAAATGAAGGAAAAAGCTTCATGTTTCGATAGTTGAATTGAAGCCTAAGGAACCCATTTTGATTCTGCACTTGGTGATGTTCCTATTTGACTAACGATAGTGAGAACTTTTAATATGGACTAGGGTGTGATATGAAAGGATTGAGTACAAGACGAATGGAATTTGTTATGTCTGCATAGAATTGATGTCCCAATTTTTTTATCTTTCAAATCAAAAAATTGCAAATGATTAAATTGAGCAGGAAAATAAAAGCAAAACGATTGTAAACGGTAGAAAATCAAAAAAAAGACAGCACGTATCGTTCGATGAGTAAAATATCTGACGATAGTTGCCCTTATGCTACATAATATGTAAAAATTAAATGCAAGATGTTAATGATTTCTATTTTCAAATCGGGTTGTCAATCTCTATCATCTCGATGATTATCGAGCTCTCTATCAAATTTAGGTTATTTTGTGTATATGTAATGCATCGATATTAATAGGTCTTTTATGTCGTTGAATAACAATTCTATCCACCTTAGTTCACTAGTAAAACATTGCTCAAAGTGATTATTACTTCGTTAAACAATAACAGTAATCCTTTAGAATAACAATAACTTAACTGCTTCGGTATGGATAGGATGGACAGCGAAGAGGATAGCAGTTAGAAAAGCTAATTGGATGGACATTCGTAGCAAACGATGGCAGATAAAAAGGAATATCGAGCAAACCATTGCATGAAGAGCGATATTGACGATATGATAGCCATTAGGATGTAATCCATGCAGGTAGAAATTCCATCGAAATGTTGCAATGGTGAAAGGGCGATAAGATTTATGACTATTAGGGTTAGACATGGATGTCCCCCAAAAATCATGATGAAAAATTTGCCACCAACTGGCATTACCAACAACATCTTGATTCTCGACAATGGCGTAGATATCATCATGAACCAATTGACCATCTAAACTATTGATATAGCATAAACAACTAATGATAAAAGTGAATCCAAGGCTAAGATAGAAGGATAATTGTGGTAGATAGGGTAGATAACATGGAATCAAGGGTGATAATCTATTGCTTTCATTAGTCTTTTGGCCATGGATAAAGGCTGAACATGATGAGCGATTTTTATGAGTTAATGTCGTTGTTGCTGTCGATGATGTCGTGTTTGTTGTTGCCGTTGTGTTGGCCATCATGGTATGATTAATTTTACTTGGTGTACTCGATGTTGGCTTGCCTTGAAGAATAGTCACTTGATGATGATGATGATTATGCGATAGCCATGATTCAATGGGCTGTTCACGTTTTTTAGGGCGAAAACGGGATGAAAACACCATGATGGTGGCGATGTCAATGGATTAAGAATATTTGCTAATGCGATTATTCCTGCGGATTTATATTGTAATAATTGATTATGTTCTGTTCTGGCTTAACTCTTTTTTTTATCCTGGCGCTATACACGTGGTACATTGATGTTGATATAATGTAGAGGTGGATTCTATACATGTTTATTTTTCGGGTTAAATGATACAAAAGTTATCTAAATAAAACAAGTTGATTCTCTCTTCGAACAATATGACATTCCTTTCTTTTCAACTCTTCCCCGCAACGACGTCATATTATGTCCATATTTATTACGCATGATCTACGGATAAACCAATCAATCGCTTATTTGATGAATGGAAAATAGGAAAATTGAGTAATAATGAGTTGGGCAGGGAAGCAGAGATGTAAAATGATCAGTTTTATGTACTTACCATCAAAAGCTTGGATAAATACAAGATACAAATATTCATCGCTACCGTAGCGAATAGGAAGAGTTAACGAGAGATTTCTATTACAGACTGGATAGATTAAGCGAGGGCATTTATCGTTTCGGTCATGATTTTATTAGCAATTAGATAATACTGCTATTTTTATGAAAGGATCAATCATTTTTATCATCTATTTTCACTTCCATCTGCCTGTAAATGATATGTATCAAGTTGAGTTTGCTCTAGAGTTGCAAGTTATTGCAAGCTTTTGATTCCCATATGCTTCCTATCACGTTAACTTACGTATTTCTTGTTATCGTTGAATAACTTTCTATTCAGTTGGATCATGTCTTTATTAATGGGAATAATAACGATAACAGCTATAACTTATAAGATGAATAAAATGATAATCAGTAGATATAGTATAGCAATTTCAACTGCAATAGATCAATACACCGTCATCATTTGTGGTAAGAACAATTTACCGTTGTTGAATCACGACAACGCGTTTGCTAGAAATGCTATCTATCAAAGTGATGTAATTAAGTAATCATTATAATGAGTAAGGTAAATGAATTTTGGCATCTTTTATTGCCATATCAATGCTAAGATAGAGTCTCAGGTTGCATTGTATGCTAGCTAGAACAATATATTATTTTAAATCTGAGTAAATGACCAACTTGATGTCATGAGATTGATATGGCCAGTCATGGAAACATAGCTAGTAAATTGCTCTGCAAGACATGGAAATTACAAAATTGAAGCTATCGATATCAAAAGTTAATGTCAATGTTATTTAACTTAAAAAGTTGCAATAGTTGGAGAAAGAACGGTCAAAGTAAATTAGATTATCGTCATCATTGATGTTCTAGGACACAATTCGGTATTTCATAAACAGGAACAAAGAAAAATATTTTAAATTCACCTTCAATCTGGCAGCTCAATTATTGATGAAAATTTGATTGTATCATAATACTTTAAGAATAGTAGTCATTTCCTATATTAAGATATCGAGTAAACGTGCGAACTAAATCAATTTAGATTACTGTCCATAATAAAACGATGCTGTTAGATTGAGTCGCTACGTAAGTGTTTAATGCTAGGGGTAATATTGAATTTCCATCAGGCGGTTTCGGATGAATGGGCCCACTACAATATGTTAAATAAATGGTAGCAAAATAGAACTACCTTATTACAGTAGGATAAGCTTAGGGTTAAACAAATGTTTTTGCCCTTTATATTCAAACAGTGTAAGCACAGCATAATGTAGTCATGGCTGAATACTTAATATCTAGTGCAAATGTAAGGATTACTATCTTAAAAAGAAAAGGCTGTACATGTTGTGCTAGAAACATCTAAGTATGAATCATAACAACATAGAACACACAAATTTTGAATTTCCATCAGGCTAATTCAGATGAATAGGCCCAGTACAATATGTTAAATAGATGATAGTAAAATAGAACTATCTCATTTCAATAGGATAAGTTTAGGTAGGAACAAATATCTTTGCCCATTATATTCAAATAGTGCGAGCAAAGCACAATGTCGTCATGGTTGAAAGTTTGTCTTTTGCTAATGTAAAGATTACCAACTTAAAGAAAAGGCAATAAATTTTATCTTTAAAAAAATCCAAGTATGGATCGTAACACCATAGCACACGCCAAAAATCACTTACATTATTGATAATTATTTGATCCTAGGCGCTATTAGCACTAATCGTGACATTAAAATTTTTGTACAAAAATTGTATGATGATGAGCTATAAGGTTAATGGTGTGTCGCTACATACACATTTTTAGCTCAACTGTTGTAATTTTAATATTTACTGACGGGGTTGGTACTTAAGTAAGCAAACCTTGGCATACGTGTATACGAATTGATACCCGAAAATCGCTTACATTATTGCTAACGATTTGATCTTTGGCACTGTCAGTGCTAATACTTACATTAAAATTGTTGTAAAATAAATTGTGATGAGCTTATAGGTTATTGGTGTGTCACTACGTTCGCATTTTTAGCTCTGCTAGGTACCAACAACAAGTACACGTCTTAAATCGGCATATCAATCTTGATTTTGCTTTAGCCTTGGGGAAATATGTCATTTATTTTTTAGATTAATGGCTATAGTAACTAGCTTTTACTATAGTTGTGGTAATCCACAGAATCACAATCTAGCAACTATCCTAAAGCTATTAATAAGTCAACTAAGGACCAATGTTGTTATGAAATACAATCTTAATTTTAATCTTAAGCTAAATATGAATTACAAGCATAAATGACTTTAAAATTTATAAAGTAAAACAATTAGATAGATTTATGTCTTAATTAGCAAATTCTATACTCGTATGTTTTGATCTCGCAATGAAGTAACTAAATTAAACAGCTATTTCCTCTGATAGCAAAACCAATTGCGTGATAGGCTAACTTAGCTTTATAATATAGATAGCCTAAAGTATTTTTAACGTCTTCTTATTTCAGAAATTTCACTCAACATAGCGGTAGTTAGTTAATAAATATATCAGAATAAATTGATCAGCCTTACTTACGCTATCTATAATTACTAAACAAGAAAATATCTCCTGGTTTTAGGAAGGTGATAGTACTGATTAAAAATAAAATTGATAGAGTGATATGAATAGGAAACGTATCATTTCAGTTCTTCTAATGGTAAATGATGCAGAGCAATTTCCTATTATTATTACTACAAGATACATTCAGTAATAGATATAGAAGCGATTAGATATCTTATAACGACAGCGAAAGTTCATTTTAAACTTCAAAATGAGGCTAAGATAAGTTATATTTCGAAGAAGATTTTAATCGATTATGACTTCTAGAATTAGAGTGCAAGATCAAGAAGTGTAAATAACTTTAATAAGAAAAGTTTACAAATAGGGCTAATTAATATTCTTTAAATGTCAAAAACTTTAAGATTCAGATTCAAAGGTGATAGAAAATAATGATTCTTGTAAATAATCCCAGATAAAATCTTACATAATGGAAAAATGATAAATCTAGCAACCACAATGCTGCTCGCTTTTTTAATATTTGGAGTTGTTTAATAGTGCATATAAGCCATTCAAAACTACATATAAGTATTAATACCCGTGATTTAGATTTAAAAATCTATCTACTGAAAACGAATCAATCATAAATCTTGGTGATGCGATTAAAAAAATATTGTCCGGATTGACAAATGTCCTAATTTTAACTGATTGTCATACAATTCAACTGTCTACTGACAGCCACGATAGAATATCCCATGTATTTTACTAATCTGGAGTAGTAATGAATATATGAGTGCCCAAAATAGAGTTCATTCAGGGCAAGACAACATAATAAATTAGAAATATGAAAAATTATTCTTGATTAGACCATTGAATTTGTACCGTACCTTTCAATCTCCGAGTTTTATAGGCAAAAATGAATCGAAAATTAATTCTAACGTAGAATGATTGATATTTAAATTGAAAATAGTTCAAATCTGTCCAATAAATTAAATTATACTTGTATTTGATCTCAAACACAAGTATGAATCTCAAGTTAAGGCTAAGCTTTACATACTATCATCCACAACCGATCAAATAAAAATTAGTGTAAGGTCAAGCTGTGGAAAAGATTGGCCACTTATATTACATTATTGTCTTTGGATTAAGGATATCGCGAATTACTCTTCGGTTCTAATGTAAACGGATAGGAATAAATTATGCAGTGTCAATAGAGACCTTTAATCTATACTATAGTTCTTAGGGGATCGAGAAAAAATCACACGTTATACACATAGTAAGCTACATTATTTTCCGCAGTTGAGGCTTTTCTGGTCTCTTCTGAGTTATTTTCTGTTATTGATATTTTCGAAGTATCTTTTACGCCATTCTCCTCTGTTAAAGCTATCTGCGTCTCTTCTACCGTATTCTCCCCTGATGATGTTACTTCCACATCATTCTCAGCTATTGAAACATTCCTAGCCTCTTCTATGTTGTTCTCTGTTAATGAGATATCGGAAGTCTCTTCTGCGATGGTTTCAGGTGTTATTGCTTTTCTTATCCCATCTACATTACTTCCTACGCTATTATCCTCTTCTTTAGCTGCATCATCAATAAAGGTAACCACTGATTTTCTTTTGGTCGATTTTTTAGGTTTATCATGATTTACTAACTTTCGCATAGAACTTCTTGCTGGAATTGGTGGAGATGATGGTGCAGAGCCATTTGGAGTATGGATACCAGCATCGGAGATACGTCCTGCTGGAGCTCCACGAATTGGAGCTGTACTTGCTTTACGAAATGTATACTGTGATATACTTCTCATGCAATGCTCCTTGGTGTTTAATTCAGGCTTGAAAAGAATAGTATAGACTTTGGGTAAGAAGAGGAATACCAAAACGCATAAAGCAAAGCAGGCTATACCCAATGAGGAGAATACTGCTCGTAAAACGCCATCAGTACCATAATAACCAGGAATAGTCAATATACATATCATCCACATACAGATAGAACAGAAGCAAATGTATTTAGCTTCATTGAAATTATTTGGTAGATTCCTTGTTCTCCATGCTAGAAATGAACAAATTGTGCCTAACAAGCAAAAATAGACTGCAGAAAAGGTAATGCCTAAATGTGTGTCACTTTCACAACGTGAGAACGCTTCTTTACCCTTGCAAATTTTATCTCGAAGCCTTGGTATATCAAGGATACTACCAACAATAACAATAATGACTGAAACTGATGTAATTCCAAAGATGAATAATAATTGCATATAACTTTCACGATTTTTCGATTTACCAAAAGGTGTACGACTCCTTAAGCGGACTTGAAATATTTTAGACACCGAATTGGTTTTAGTCAACAGAATTGCCATACAAAAGGTAATTGATGTCGCAAAAATCACAAATTGAACCTCACAGACCACATCGTTAGGATCATAGACAAATGCTGGAGCAACTGCTAATATATAGTAGACACTGATTATATGGAGAGTGGATAATAATCGATTTGAAGCTTTGACAATCGGTGTATCGCGATATCTCAAGAAAATGCAAGCGACAAAGGTGGTCAAAAGGGCGATTAAAAATACGCCAACAAGAATGGCGATACTAACTGGATGATCCCACGATACTCGAGTTATGGGTATAGCCACACAATAAGATCGATTTGCTACTGGTTGTTCGCAAAGTCCGCAAGCTTGGCAATAGACAGTGGTGCCATTCGATACTTCTCCATCGCCGCATTTTGCACATTGCCAACAGCAAGACTGACTATCCGGTCTAACTCGGCGATAGCCTAATTGACATTCAAAGCTACATCGAGATGAAGGAATATTTGTTGCTGTACCGTTTTGAAAGCGCACAGCTTGGTAATGGAGGTTTAATTTGTTATTGTACCAATCTCCAACCGAAGCAAAGTAGCCGCAATTGGGGTTATTTTCATCAAATTGAAGATTAATGATAGAATAGTTCCTAGTGATCTCGCCATTATCGTTAAACGATAACATATTTCCTTGAGAATTTTTAATCTTGATATGACGTAAAGTATTGAGATACGCTTTACGATTCAAATGAATTAAAGGTAGACAATAACTTGAGGTACAATTTAATGATTGATGTAAAGCTTCAGCGATAGCATTGACTCCATCAATAATGAAATCAACTTTATTTCCTTCCGAGTTAACAAAGTAGACTGATTTGCCACAATTTTGAGGCCGATTGTCGTAATTACTTCGTACTAACGTGCATGTTTGCTGTGCGAAGCGACAACCAAGTTTTTCTTCTACCAATTGTGTTAAGGATGGATGATCACCTTGAGCTAAATGATTTTGAAAATAGCGATAAAATTCATCGGATGGCTGACTGCGAGGGACTACACCAAGTAACCCTCCTACAATATCTCGTGATAACTTTAATAATTCTGCGCTATCACTCCAACTTTCTGTACCAATCCATATTTTACCAGTTAGACCTTGATTATTTGCTTCTTTTAATACAGATAGAGCTTCTTTTTCTTGAGCAATTAAAATGATTGCCGAGACATTGGATAGATCGGCAAGTTGGCTAATGATAGATTGTATACGCTGTGTATTATTGGTCTGAGGAAAGTACAAGTCTTTAGCAACACAAATACTCTTCAGGCGTAATCGTCTTTGTATTAAATCCATAAATAAACGACTATAGATATCATCGACTGTAACTGTTGCAATATAGGTCCAACCGAATCCGTAAATTAAATCGGCAATCGCTCTAGCTTGTTGATGATCTGATGGTAAAGTACGAAATAAATTATCATACTGTATTCTGTCGATAAAGATGCCCGAAGTAGCACCGTAAGTAACGGCTGGAATACTGAAGACACCTAAGAATAAAAATTCGATATTTCGTTAAGAAAAGATCAGAGTAAAATTCTTATATCTTTCAGTTTTTAGTGAATAGCCTCTCTCTATGCAATATTAATGTATCATCAGATCTCGTTTTTAATTAATTTCCGACCACAAAATACTAATGTGTTTTAGCCGTTTGCTACCCGTGATTGTAACAAGAATATTTAAGGTATAACGTATCTACATTCGAATACGTAATTTAAAGAATTAAGGAATCGTAGTAGGAAACGAAAATTTAATAACTATAATTAGTTAAAGGGAGTTTACTGTTTGAAATTTACGCATACTATTTCAAAGAATTTTTATGATAGCGAATATTTCTATACTGTACTAATATCTGTCGTAAATTGGTGATAAGACTTGGAATTAAATATCTTTAACAAATATTTACTAGTGCAAAATTACGTGTCGTAAAAGTTATGCAGAAATCTAATACTCCTCATCTTTCTATCGCTATGAAACCAATCCTTTCACCACAAAACTCAGAGAAGGATTTTAATATAACAGAGAGCGATTGTTGAAAATTACACTAACTACAGTATAGCTTGATTATATCGATAAATTAGAGATATAATAGCTACAATTTATCTAAAGAGGTTTCAATGTGTTCTTTGTATTAGGAGCTTAAGCTAATAACAAAATTTTTCCAATTAGCTTTTAATCGACAATTTGTAGAAGATATTCATTTTTATTTGCATCCTTGCTGAATTGTACTTAAACGATTTATGCTCCGATTTTAACGTTCATAATGCCAAATTATGTAGTATAACGGAAATAACCAACAAATTTAACTCATTTTCCAACGAAAAAATTAAAACGATCGATGTTTTACTTAACGCGTTATTTTATGTTTACAGGTGGTAATCTTTAATAAATAGCCATTTAATTAATAAGCTGGAGTTAATTAGATACTTTCTGTACATACGCTACGCGACACAAATAGTCTAAAGTTACATGATGCAGGTTGTTAAATCACTTACAGGTCATCTCTGTTACCTAATAATGTGGCTATGTAATAATGCAGAAAATTTCGCAGTGTTTGTATAGTACACATACTTCAAAATTTTCTAGACATTGTCAATCTAAATTGATCTACTGCCTTAAGAAGGTGTAAAAATTTCTTAACTGTGTAACGCTTAATAGCGATGATATCGATTTCTTTCATGCCAATATTTTGAGGACTTTGTTGAACAAAATCAAATAAGAGCGATGTTTCTGTGACAGAGTACTAAACTTAACGTAAGAGTGTAGTCTGTCTCACTTATAAAATCATTCTATTGGATTAATTTTTAAAATGGTCACGTTTTAAATCATCTGATATAGAGTCAAGATTACGAATTGTTTATTAAGACAGATTGTAGATTGGACTGCATGTAAACGGCTAAACCGCAGGAGTCACGCACGATCAACAGATAATAAGATCATAATATCATATAGGAATTTTATAACACACTACTATCGGATGTTATGATGATCAAGCAATGGCTAATTGCTTTATTAAATCATTTTTTACTTACCTAGGACGTTAGTGGATGGTAAAGTTGTTGAGCTAGATGATGGGCCTACAACTGCAGCAACGCCTAAGGTGTTGTTCTGGTCCAGTCGAATACTACTCATATTACAGCCATATTTATTCAGCAAGTTGTAACCGATACTACCAGTGACTAGATCTTGTGTATATGGAACAAAGTTTAGAATATCTTTCAAGGTATGTCTTACATTGGAGCAAGTATCACGAATATGATAACCTAATGTAATGTTGGGCAATAACTGAGTAGCATTATTGACTTTTTCAATAGCATAGATCATGGCAAGAGCTTGCTCAATCCCTCTAATACTGGTTATTTGACATGATTGTTTGCTTTGATCGTAATCTAAATGAGCTGGAAATAAGCCTCCTAAAAAAATTTGGCCTTGATAAACCTCGTAAACGCCACCGGAAGATGTTAAACTACTGGAAATTTGTCCATAACCTCCGTGTCCATAGCATAAGATAATAACCATCCAAGTTGTTATAAATTTGGTTGAAAAAAACAGACCATAACTGTTAGTCAGCATGATCGACGAACGGGGGAATTTTTAAGGATGCTTCCCTGATTATTGCTTTGCGAAAATGCTATATTTCCTATGAGGAAAACTATTTAACTAATTGAATATTAATTAGTTTTACGATGCTCGTTAAGTTGCTCTTATCAAAACAGCCTATCATACGATGCCTATAACTAACTAGTGATTAGTATAGCGGAAGTTTTGGCTTGCTTAATTATCGATAACGATAGACAAATAGATTATTCCTTGACGATAGATAGAATAGATTTATTATTGTATTACAGAAACAATGCTTATAAGTAATAAATTAAGAGCTGATTTGATAAAAATTGTCCACATACACGTAGAACTTCAAAGAATTCGATTGGCGTTGATCATAATTATAGTAAACAATCGAATGACTTCATGGGTTCCCCATCAATGGTTAAGGTGGGGCTGAGTAATTGTAATTTAAATGTGGTATGTCGCTATTTATGGCCAAGGACTAATTCCGTTCTGTCAAGAGCAAAACGACTAATAAATACGAATCCTTTGAATCATTGTTCTTCTCTATCATTGACGTGGATAGGTAATTGCCATATGTCATTCATACAGGTAGTAAGGTTGTCTATACTACCTATTAGTAGTTTTGACGTCGTTGAACTGATCTGTGGGTATATTAGTAGATGCAGGAGTAGCGGTAGCAATACTATGCCAATGATTCTGCTATATTCGACGTAAAATTCAAGGGTGGTCCATTGACTCAAACTAGAGCCTGCCAATTCTAATATATTGACCTTAAGATAAGACTAAAATCAAGTTGGAATGAAAACAGGGGTCAATACTTATCCAAATTTTAATACGTGAATTTAACACTGGCTATATTCAGCTTCAATCAACAGTAGCTGGTACATTTTGCAGGAGTAGTGGGAAAGAAAAATGAGTTTTACCACGTGATAGTGTTACTTTTGAGGCAGGTACCAGGCTGTTCCTTATTATTTCTATCCAACTTAGACAAACAAATTGCTGTTGATGAATAATTATAATTACTCTCTATACTCTCAACCCATGCGCAATCAATTTGATCCATACTAATTTTTATTTGTGCTTTACTTTCATCATACACACTAGTAGTATATTTCACAAATGATACAGACTATTGTACATATTGGTAAACTATTCCACAAATGATGCTTGTATATTCATTACGGTAGCGTCTAGACTCCTAAATACGCTTATATTTATTATTATACCTGAAAAGGTTTTCTAAAGCATACGCTGCGCGTATGTAACGATACTGTATGTCAGACAGAAATGAAGCTATTTGAAATGCAGCAGCTTTAGCCTATTGATATATTCAATTTATTCATTATTAATTAGCACTAATTTTACTCTACTATGCGTTTCAAAAATTCTTTTACATAGGTTATTCTATATACTGTTAGATTATCGTATATGCTAATATAACGCTTGGTTTATGTCAGTGCAGTACTGTCTCGATTCCTAAATACCTTTATAATTATTATTATACTTAAAAAGATTTCTAATTATAAGCTATATGTATACGACGATATGTCAAATAGGAATCAAACTAAGCGAAATGTATCGGTTTGCCCTAATGATATTTTCAATTATCCATTAATTTACACAAATTTTACTCTACAATACTTTTTAAAAATTCTCTTACATGGATTATTGCGCATACTAGTATACTATTTCGCGCATGATACTTCCTTTACATATCTATACAGTACTATCTAGATCCCCAAATACCCTTATAATTATAAATTATACCGTACTTGAAAGAGTTTTTCAAACTCAAGCTACGCGTGTGCGGTGATATATCGGATGGAAATGAAACTATGCAGAATATATCAGTTTTATCCTAACGATGTTATCAACTTATCCATTAGCTTATACTTACTTTACTCACTATGCCTTTTAAAATTCTCTTTCATGGATTATTATACATACTAGAGTATCCTCCACTCTTTGTACTTCGCGTACCATACTTGTATTTTTTGATGTACTGGATAATTTATCTGGCTTAAGTCATAATTGGAAGGATGTAGTAGAATATTCTACACATCATACTTCGCGTATATTGGTGTAGAAAAGTAATGGATTTAGCCTAATAATATTAGTAACTCGCCAGAATTAGGATTACTGTAATCGAAATTCATATTAAGGCCATAAACTATATCTGACTTACTATATAGATCGTTAATAAAGCTCGTGGCAGACTACAATAGATGATTTAGCCTTTTGAAGCGTACTTACTACGAATTCATGCACTAAAAATGTAATAATTATAAATGATGAAGCGACATAATCTCAGATGTGGTATAACTAGACTAATCTATCGACCATAATGAAGAAAAAGCACGAAATTAAGTAATATAAAAAATTTTAATTGAGAATATTTGCGCTAGCCCACTATTCTAGTAAATTTATATCTACGGAATTAAGTAACTACACTGAATGATATTTTATTGGTTTTAATGCACATAGCAATATTGAAAATATTGAGCAAATATTCACTCTATTAATTTGAGCACATTTATATTAACGGCGTAAAATCATTCAAGTGAACCAAGTGAAAGCAAATTGGCCTAAAAGTTGCACAATAATTGTACAATAGCGAGTTTTGTTATTTCACAAGAACATCATCGTTATGTACACAGGCTCAAACTTTCTACTATTGTTACGAGAAGGGGTATGTTTTAGTCTATAGTCATAATGTAACCTTTAGCTAGATTACAGTTAGCTATGAAGCTATTGCAGCCCTTAATTTTATTTGCTTTAAGCTATTAGGCGAATTTTTCATCCATAGGAATGATAAATAGAACTGTTTTGCTATCATTGTTGCTAACATTATTAAATATTACAGTAGCCAGGCTTCAGTCGACGTTGTCTGACGAAAGTTTCTAACCTCTTGTTATCAAGGTAACACAATTTTTAATATGTAAATAGCAATTAGAAATAGTTATATTGGTCTGTTACATAAAATATTTAATGGAGAATACACGCCAAGCGTTATGCTATTATCTCTATAATTTATACATAGAAATTTTTTCATTGGTAAATTATTTCTAAATTTTGTAATACTAATTATTATTGCTCTTAGTGTTTTTACCACTAGTATTACTGCCATTATCGTTATTACTATCACTGTCATTATCACAGTTAGGATTATTACCATTAGAATATTCACCTTGATTAATAGAGCCAGTTTTATTGATGGTATTATTACTAGAATTATTACCATGATTAATAGATCCAGTTTTATTGATGGTTATATTACCAGTATTGTTACCTTGATTAATAGAATTATTACTAGAATTACTGCCACCACGATTAATAGATCCAGTTTCATTAATAGCATTATTACCACCATTATTGTCTTGATTAATGGAGCCAGTTTCATTGGCAATATTAGTACTAGTGTTGCTACCATGATTTATAGATCCAGATTTATCGATAGCATCATTACTAGGATTATTACCTTGATTAATAGAACCAGCTTTATTGATAATATTAGTACTAGTATTATTACCATGATGATTGATTGAGCCAGTTTTGTTGCTGCAATTAATAGAACCATTTGTATAGACGGTACTATGGCCAGCATTATTAATCGTTTTCTTATTATGGCTGCTATTGCTTCTACTTATGATTGTAGATTCAAGACCATTATGAGTGCTGTTACCAAAAGGAGAATTACTAAAGGAAAATGTTTGGATGCTTTGCAAGCAACGGCGTTTGGTGTTTAAATGAGGCGTTATTGTCATTGTATAAACTTTAGGCAAGAATAGAAAGACTAAAACTGCTAATGAATAACATTGTAATGAAATCGACGCGATAATAGTGCGCAAAATTCCATAAGTTCTTATATATGTTGGAAGTGCTAAAGCGAGGATAATCAATACCGTTATTGAACAAAAACAAATGTGTTTAGCTTCATTAAAATTACCGGGTAAATTTCTAGTTTTCCATGCAAATGCATTGCACAATAAGCATAAAAAGATAAAGTAACCAGCTGGTAAAGCTAGATTAATTGCATTGCTAGAGTCGCATATCACATAAACGCTATTAGTTACTCGATAATCACGTATAGGTCCGATAGGAGTAATAATATTGACAACAATAATCATAATAACACCGACTAGGGTTAACAATGTAATAAAGGCTACTTGTCTAACAACTCTCTTTGCTCTGGCTATAGGTGTTGTTGTATCTAGCAAATAGGCGAAATTGAGGTGAAAGATAGATGCAATATGATGTGTACGAGTTATTAAGACAGCAATGCATAAAATTAACGAGATCGGGAGTAATGATAGACTTAGCGTGCATATCATCGTCGTTGGTTTAGCTAATAATAATATGGAGATACCAAGCATGAAATAAATACTAGTCAGATGAAAAAAGGACAAAAAAGAATTTGATGCTTTAACGATAGGTGTATGCTGATATTTAATATAGATTCCGACGACCAGGGAATTTATTACTGCAACCAAAAGAGATGTTATCGTTAAAGCGATACTAGCTGGATGAGACATCGAAATAGTAATAATTGTAAGGTTAATACAGAATGTGTGATCCGGAGCCGCTTTTTGGCCAAGTTCACATTCATTGCAAGTTGATGATTGACCATCCGATATTAATCCAGGTCCACATTCTAGACAGATCCAACAACAGCTATTTTTATCTGGTTTAATTTTTTTATAACCTGGAAGACAACTAATACTACATCGAGATGTAGGGATTGATAGAGATGTTCCGTTAACCCATCGCAATAAGTTATTATGAATCACTAATGTGCCATTAAACCAATTACCAACATTTTTATAATGACCACATGAACCATTTGTAGATGAAAAGTGGAC